ACAAAGTAAGAAACCTGTACAGTATGAGGCTGAAAATTTCTAAGGTAATAATTGTACAAAGATGAGATAAAAGCTTGATTCAAACAAAGACATGGCAGTCAGTTAGATACTTTGAATTTCCTCCTTAACACAGTATAGGAGATCTGCAAATATGGACTACACATTCAGTGGGAAACAGAGATATTTTCATAGTCTGCTATAGTACAGACTTTACGCAAATACGTATATTTTCATTCATTTGAATGATCTTACAAACAGTCACATACAAATTCGCCGATAACAGTGTAGCAATGAATTTTCTTATTGGTTATCGGTTCTGGACATTTCGAGATGCTTGAATTTTCATTTTCTTATAAATTTATTAGTTGATTCCTTTTAGACCGAATGTTGCTTGCTGAAACGATTTCGCAAATCCCCTGATCACGTGGCGAGCACTATTCATTACACTTGACTGCTACCACCAACTATATATATTGCTGGAATATATCTGAGTGCCTTTTTTCCAACGTAACGAATTTCAGTTTGTGATAACTTCAGAATATTTCACATCTGTGAAAAATTACTTCTGTTGCCAGAGTATATTCGAATTAAATACTATGAAGCAGTCCATTTGGAATTTGTCAACTGATTAAACGCATCTCGAAGTTCAATCCTTTAAGTCATTTGAACAATTCAAGTCATCCAGATAAAAACAAATTAACTGGATGTATAGGATATGAAGATTTTTAAGTAGTGAGTATGTTAAATTATGGTCTAGGTCTGTGTGAAGTGAATTTGTCTTCATTACCAGAATGATAGACCTAATCCCAAATTGCAAATTTTTAACGCTTAAGGTTTATTGGTCAAGAGTTAACTTCAAACGGCTAAGTATATATTAAAACAATTGAGCTCAAGTATTCATTCACTTCCTTATCTCGTATAGACATTATATTTCCTACTATCTCATATTGAACGTTGAAAAGCTTTGTGTGTTTAAACAGGTAACCACCAGATCCACTTTGACTGTCTCACGAGCTACATAAAGACGTACTCACTACTAGTCTGGTTTCTTCTATCGACTGAACGATGGTTGCCTACTGGCACGAAAGATTTGTAATGATGTGACTATCTAATCTATAAGGTCATACGTGGAAGTCATCTTATTGCCTTCACTGGCTAGTCCCATCGCGACATCCACGAATATAATATCAACAACTGATTAAGCACATATTCGGGTTGGATATAGAATAATATGTTTAATATGAAAAATAGTGTTGCGTAGTGACAACGTCTGTATGACAGAACCATGCTATACATACTAAGTATTCAGGCGCTCAACATTTTTGTCCGCCAAGCGGTAAATGTAGGACGCAACTCTTCTCAGTTATATTGTGCTCGGCTTCAAAGATCGTATGGTTGAGAATCAATATCACTACAAGCACACAAGCCCTTGATGCAGTTTCCTCTCAAGCATAAGTTAATGAAAAAGACTTTCCAAACTATTGAAATAGATTTTCTCTCTTTTTTCTTTAAGTCAACCTGTCATCCAGCAAATATTTTAGGAACTGGTTAAATATTGTCAATACTATTTAAACATTATTGAAACTTGTGTTTGATAAGGTTATTCGAAGTATTAGTGACAAGGATTATCACTCTGATTACTTTAAATGTGCTTATTTATGACAACCACGTAATTAAATATCACGGTATAAAACCAGAAGAATAAAACAAATATGGTTTGTATGAAAAATATGATAAAGTTACACTGTTATTCAGAATATTTAAATATGGGTTCGGCAACGAAGGTCCGCTGTATACTGTAAAATTAGATGATGACGTTCTTACGACGGTACAAAGATGTTATTTCGGAGGAGAAACAGATCGATAATGAGGGTTGCGTTATATTCGTTATGTTCATACTTGATTACAGAGGATCAACGAATTAGGCGAGACTTAGAATAGCAAATTTCCCGAATATATATTTCAGTTACATAGTTCATTAGCGCATACAGGAGTAATCAGCAATTAAAATATAATAGGGATGAGTGGATACAACTGGACTAAAATAACAGTGGTATTGAAATAAAATCAGGATTACACGTCTTTGTAATAAACTAGATTTACATTTACACTGGAACTTAGAACCACCACAAATTTTATTAGAATAGAAATAACACTGGCAATGTAATATCCAGCATTTGTAGTGCGGTGAAACAACCCCGGGACTGCATTATATTGGCCTACTCTTCATTGTATTGATGTGTGTACCAACTGTCTAGAGTGTAAATTAGTCGACATGTATGAAGTATTTGTGGGTCAACATAGTGATGGAATACGGCCAACAGAAAGCTAGATGGGTGGAAAACTGAACGAAGGAATATATTAAGTGAAATCACTACAGAGCAGTCGGATTGGTCGTATGACTGAGTGAAAATTAAGCAACAGACCTGAATTAACACATTTGACAATTACATACTCATTTAGGTAACGTACTTCAAGTAGCTTTACTATTATATGAATTAAGTATGTCCGCATCAGGCACCATAGGCTGACGAAAAGAAGATATAAGAATAGAAGTTGAAATAAACGGATAAGAGGTTAATCAGCTAACCATTTAGAGTAGGAGTTCGGCTCACGAGAGCATATCTGCGATACAACGACGATGTCTGTTCAAGTTATTTTGATAAAAAAGCCCATACAAACCAACAAGACCAGGCTCGGGTTTGAAAGTCTGATAAACTGTTTATTTTTTGATGTTGTTTACTATGATAATTAGGAGTAATTGAATTATAGTATGAACTAAGAATCCCAGAAATAACGCAATTGAATCAAGAAGTACCAGAAAAGCACTAGCGAATGTTTTGTATTTAGAATTCGAAATCAAGCATTCAACAAGTACAAAGCAATCATTAGTTCATTCAAACACCACATTCGTCACAGCTTAAATTGGAGTCCAGATGTCTGTAATTGACCGCACGTCTTCTTAAGTTCATCCTGTGTCTGTCCAACAATGTATTGGATAAAGATTCTGTATTATCTAGGATGCACTCATAAGTATTAGAATTGACAACGGAAATCGGAACAGACTCACTTGATTTCTGGGATTGTGAACAATCACCATTACGGTTGAATACTGAAATTACTGCCTAGGATATGAACCATAGAATATCCTCCCCCACGAAATAATGTCGGATCTTCATATCCCCAAGTTATGAATAATGTGGCTTCATTTAAAACATCTTTCTCAATTTGACTAGAGTAAACATTGGAAGTGAATTTATGATAAGGACAAACAACAGTTGATATGGAATTATCAAACTCTAACTCATTTAATACTCGTGCTTCGCATCGAACAAGTTTCTCACAAGAAACAAATGAATCATGAGGACAAAAAATATTTGATATGACATCAAGATTTGATTCTTCTGAAATAGTTACCTCAAATTTATTAAGAATGTCAATGCAGAGTAAAGGATCATTAGAAAAATCAGCATCAATTAAAACTACATCAGTTTTTTGATCATGATTAGGTTCATCCGAAATATTCTCGCCAGATTTGTAAGAAATTTCATCAGAAATATGTTGTAGATCACCAGCGTGGATGATCTACGTCGAAATGATTGAAGGCTTACTCGAATTAGACGTGAGTGGTGTGACAAACTAGCTAACGTCGAAGTCACACTTCGCGGTCTGCACCTTACATAGATTACCCCATTGACGTATCAAGGTACTATAGATGCTTTGAAGACTGTACAACACAGAGGACGTTATTACAGAAATATATTAGTTAAAGTAGACACAAGCGAAGGTAAGACCACTGCCGCATGGGCCAGTCCATGGCGTACGAATAACTGATGCGCGTTGGTTGTCCTTGACATTGACGAGGATTGATGATTTCGTTCGATATTCAATGGCTAGGGCTCAGTGGAATTTTACTGGCCCTACAATGTGAATCATTAGGAAAAATCATATCTGGTACAATAACATGGGAAATCTGATAGGTTGATTGATTAGGAATTGTTGTCTCGGAAGGATTCTGAGTTTCATTTAACTCTGAACTGCTATATCACTCTAAATTGTCTTTTGAAATCACTGATAAAGATAAATGATCATTGTAAATACTCAACTTATTAGGATCAGAATTACAAACTGAGTGAATATGTCCAATACCACCACATTTAAAACATTTAGAATTATAAAATTTACATGAATTAAGAGAGTGGAACCTGCCACAGGACAAACATTGACCAAACTTAGCCCATATTCGTGAACTGCATTGCAACTCCTCAATGAATTATCTACATAACCTTGAGTATGTACTGGGATGGGGTGACGTAATGTAGTGGAATTTTTCATATCATCATGAATCATTTTACGAAATCGCCCTTTACTGCATTCGAAATTTGTATACTTAGCATAGTCCAGAAGTAGTTCCTTGGGAGTTGTATAAGGAAGAGAAATGGGCTTTTCCGGTAAAGCCAAAACTTTTAATAAGCTATATGCTTGTTTTCCGACGAATGTGAGAAAATGTGCCACAATATTAATATTCTCATCATCTTCCTTGGTCATAGCCCAGATTTCGAACCTTTCAAAGTAATCCTCATAAGCATCAAAATCCGAATGAATATCTAACTGTTCCATCGCAGGCCACATCGCGACGCCAATATGATAATTAGGAGTAATTGAATTATAGTATGAACTAAGAATCCCAGAAATAACGCAATTGAATCAAGAAGTACCAGAAAAGCACTAGCGAATGTATTGTATTTAGAATTCGAAATCAAGCATTCAACAAGTACAAAGCAATCATTAGTTCATTCAAACACCACATGTACCCTTATAATTCTTACGAATTATAGGACTCCCTTTTATTTAGCGTTTAACGGTCAGAATATCCTATCAAAACAAGTAATATTGGCTCCATATATAAACCGCTCCGAAATAAAACTGCACCTGAACCTTAAAAACATACTGTAAGAGTTAACAAAGGACATCCGACCAACTAATTTTACTATTGAGGACTGAAAATTGCCGGCGGCATTTCGTCCTGATGACCTTGGTCCCCAAACCTGATAAAATGATCAGTATTGGACGCCTAATCGAAGGCGTTGTACCGGTTAAAGTTAGTGGCAAGGTAGACTCTGTTTTCACTATTTAACTAGAACTTATTAGTGGAAGAAAAAGCTTTGCGCACTTGAGAGACCTGCAACATTTATAAGTAAATTAGTGTTGTTCTGACCCAGTTTAGACTCACTAAAGTTATTCGTATTTAACGAAGATGGAAGTATATGTCGATGCCAAGATGTTCATGCCTACATTCTTGGAGTAGATTCTAAGCATGACGGAGTAATTATGTTCGTATGTACTTATAAGTTACGTTGTATATCATTTCGGCATTTCGAGGAGATGACTAAATGGGATGACATATTGAAAGCTAATTTGAAATGTAAGTCAGGTTTTCGAGCTCTCATATATAATCCGTAATTTTTTCCGCTAATGGCTGGCATCTGGGGACATAACTTTAGGGTATTGAGTATAACCTCACTTGTTTTGACATAGATACTCATGTTAATTGTGTAATATCTTTAAATTTTTAATCATGGACAACCTTTTGAAACATGTGACTAAAGGAACACTTCGGACAAATTTGATCTATTTGTTTCCGTTTTGCGTGCATATGTATTTCCCACTATTGCTAAACTCATCATTTCTTCCAACTCTGCTGTTGTATTTTAGTAATGAAAATATATGTACCTTCAAAGTGTCATTGAACTGCTCAAGTGCCCATTCAACAATGTGATATCACAATCATTTCCAATAAATCAAATGCAATTACTGTGTTGAGTGATACTATGATGTTTAGAAATCAGCCTCTTACAATGTTCAGTCACTTAATAAGTTCTGTAAATATACGTACGGGTCATCCACAACATGCTTGAATTCAGCCTGTTCGTCATCGGTCATTATTTCGCAAGATTTTCGGTCTGTGAAGCATGATCTAAGTCATTATTTTAGAGTTGACTGGTAACGAACCTATACTGAGACAGCTGTCATTCGTATTACCCTTGTTAGTTTATGTAATGATTTTTGGCAACATGATTCAACGGCTTGTCACTAGCACTCAGTATATGTAAACAAGTTGTCTCAATACTGGAATATATTTCAGTAATTGATTCTGAATAATTACTTGGCTTAACGAATATGAGAATGAAAAACAGTTTTTGCCTTCGTTAGGATGATGGTCACTTGGAACCAAGACTGAATAGTTTTGGTATAACGTTTTGTTCTATGCTTTTAGTTTTGGACATAAGTCCCAACATTTTGGTGTCGAGCCGAATCTTATTTTCCCTAGTAATGAGGATGGCTTTCTACTGGAAAAATCGGTGAGACTAATTTATGGACGACACTTGAACGAATCTCAAGTGACCCTGAGAAAATTAGTCAATCAGCAAACAGTAAGTATAGAGTAAAAATACATTATACAAAACCAGAGAAATAAAGTGAATACACTTCTTATACATGGTTCAAAAACTTGCCAAGGTTAGAAAGAGGTTCAGAGGTTCTAAAATCGCAATGCATGCAGTCGAAGAAACCATCCATATGGCTACAGAATAGTCGGCCTCTGGAGCCATGATAAAGTCTCAAACTCTTTCAGCCTCGACCACATGGTTTCAATATTGTTTATGTGCACTCCGGTTGTTGAGAACATAAAATGCCGCTTGTGGATAACGACACGATGCACATAACCAAGCGTATGTAGGAGTCTTTACGCTGACCAAACATCCGTATATATTGTGGTACCCAGCTGCAGTCAGTGTTACTGGTGCTTTTATTATCCAGTTCGCGATAATTGTCATAGTTTACCTTAGTTAGGAATTATGTATGGGGTTTTCACCACGAAGTGACATCAGCTATAATGCCAAAAATTTATTTAGCCAAATGGATGAAAGGCTTTCGCACCAAAATCCGAGATCTTTTATCTTATACCTAGTTGGTTCGTCCACAAGTTATAGTCCTGCCGTTTAATTTGTTATAACCGCTAAATTATCACGTTTTGTACAAAATTCCTTGTGAACCCATCGTACGTTAGCATTAAGCACTGAAGTTGGCGACGTAACCCTGAAATCTCTAAAATGCCTCTGATTGGCTCGTCCATAAATTAGTCTCGCCGAAAAATTCTTACTGATTGTCATCAGTTTAATTCGGCTTTTATCAACAAACATGCATCCTATGAGAAAACCATTTCGTTAAAGAATCTATTCATTGTGGGCATCAGTGTATGAATTGGTTTATGACAATATCTTACTAGCTGCTTTTAAAATACGTTTCCTTTATTTCAGTTTCTTAAGTTGATTTATTGTTTTTTTGTGCTCCTTATAGGTTCATATTTTCATGCTGACTTGATTGTTGCTCCTAAAAACAGCATTTTGTATAGTTATGCACGTCATAGAAGACGTTTTCCACTCATTCAAGGACCTAAAACTCAGATTTTTTCACCTTCAAGAAAATTATATCCTACATTATGCAATAATTCAAGTGATGGCTATTTACATGTGACACGTGATCGTATATGTTTCACTACGGGTCCGGGTTGTTCCCATCCTCGTCTCTTAGCAACATGGACTTTTGATAATGATGAAATAGTGCAGTGTGGTACTGCCCGTGTTCAGAACACTGTGAGAAGAAACTTCACTGACCCTCCATCACTGTTTTTTCTCACTGCCTTCCCTGATCATCCTGAAGCTCCTGGAAGTCACCTTTTCCTATCCAACCGAGCGACTGACTTATGTGATATGATTGAACATACTAACCAAGCCGCAGTTTATCAAGCAGACTGGAGACGCCTAACTTGTTTAGCTTCACTTATTGATTCCCCTGATTGCTCTAAAGGATGCGATTCTGACCAGACTATTTCTTCATGTAATCCTATCCATCCTATTACCAGTTGTTTCTACTCGAACGCAACTCAAAATGCTGCGATTATTTCTCCTACCAAAAATCTGGATAAGTGTATTAGTGAAGTTCCTATGGTAGATTTACCACCCTTGTCTAACAAACTGACTACCACCAATACTGTAGCACAGGTAGTATTACACTTTACATTGTTATAATTTTGTACCTCAAAACTCTTCTTAGCTATGTTTGGTCACTCATTCACCTGTTTTGTTATGTTAGTAGTAGTCGTATTCTTACGACCATTTCTGCTAGCAACAGTCAAATCACGGTAACAATGCTTGGTATATTAGCTTATTGCGTGTCAACAGTGAAGCATGTCTCCACCTCAATTATAGTTTTCTAAATGCATTGTCATTCGGATCTAGTGCTCTTCAGTTTCTCTTCGTACTTAAATTCATGTGGTTTCATAAGGGTTTACTGACAACCATTGTTTCTGCTAACTAGAATATTCACCTCAAACAGTCCTGTTCAAGTTTTTATCAACATACAGAGATTGTTAAAATAACGTTTTCAGATTGAATAGTCACGTGTAGCAGAAGCTTAACAAAATTCACAACCTTTTAAACATCTTGAAGGAAAGGTTGAATACATTTACATGCATTTCTTACTTCTGTCGTGTTAATAACTCCGACCAAATCATCGTTTTCTTGTCGGTGTTTGATTTGATATAAAGCACTAAGAATTAACCCTCCACGTGTTTCGAATTTCGTAGACTGAATATATTTGTTGACCGTAAAATATGTTTGCATGAACATTTTTATCATATGTTATGACTAATCAAGTTGATTTTATAATTCAGATGGAGGATTACATAGAATAGCTGAATTAGTCATTCTTTACACAGTCTGTGTGATCTTTGTAGGAAAAATGCTAAACTACATTCTGCTTTGGTACTGTCTAATGACAAACACACAAATAAACGTACTTACTGATTTAACTGAAAATGAGAGTTGATTAAGCAGTTAAAATCCTTATCGGTCTTATTAAACTATAGGGCAACTTTTAAACCGAAGTTCATGTGTTTCTGTTGAATGAGTATTCCATCTTGCTTATTATATTGCACTTCAGTCTTTGTCGTATTGTGATAGTCGACTAGGTAGCGATATATATGTTCATACTATTCCTCAACCTGATGTTTTATATACTTTTTGAATAGATGGAGATTCATTCAGATGAAAGTTCTAAAGAAGTAAAGGAGGAAATTCATGTTGATTCAGTCAGTGATAGAAAAAAATGGTGGGTGTTGTTGATTATTGTAAATATATTTAATGTTCATAATATTAGTTTTCTGTTTATACACGAATTCCAAAAGAAAACCAGTTGAAAAATAGACTACTAATGTATATTCGAGTCACCAATTATGATCAACATGGACTAATTTACCATAGCATATTAGCACGACGAAATGAAATTAACAAGCTAAATAAAAAGCAGATTGAAACAATGTAGTAGCAATGGAAATGAGAAAGATTAAGCAGTGAGATTATTGTTTAGAAAGACAGAGTCGGAAAATACGTATGACGGTATCTTAGTTTCATTCATCAACAGTGTCCATGTGTATGTACTATCGAGGAGTCTCAAACAGTGGCGAAAGTACTTTATTGTCTCTGATTTACAATAGTTCGCAATCTAAAGTCAGTCCTTGATGAAAGTAAGAAAATTGAACTGATATTCATAGCTCATCAAAACAGCACATTGTTAATGTTTAGGCAGAAGTGCTGTGCTGCAATGCACTTGATTATCAATCACAAGATTATGTCTATTTGTGAGATTTTTAGTAGTCTAATATTTTAATAACTATATGTTCATTTTTGAAATGTTTGCGTACGTGTCTTGAATACCTTCCATGTTTCAACTCATTTGAACGAAAAGTTCAACTAACATTGTGCATCAAATATATAGCAAACATTATATGTAAAGTTATGTCTGTAGTAATCTCATCAATCAAAATTCTAAGTAATTCGAAAGTTTCGTCTTGTAGTCTGCTTGAGGTCTTTCTAGGAAAATGGTCAAAATTATCAAAAATAAATAAAGTTGGAATCAGTTTTATACTAAGCATCTATCCAATCATGTTTAAATGGTTATATGGTTTACCGTTAGATTGTGAGTCATTTTATGTGTGTTCAAAATGCGCCATGTGAAGATGTGTGTATTTATCATTGTCGTCATAATTCAGTAAAAAAACGAGTCGTTTAGTTTTGTCCAAGGTCAAATAAATTGTTTTGCTTATCATTAAGCTAAGAGTACATTTGAGTGGATTGAGTTTGTCAAAAAAATATGATTTGAGTTCTGCATATCTAGCCGAACAAAGATTTTTGTTGTGGCTAAATGGTATTTTTTTAATGTCAATTTTTCCAAAAGCTTTTAAAGTCATTTGCATTTTACACAATCCAGATTCGTTTTCAGTTCAGACAGTGGCTTTTAAAATTAGTATCAGACGTTTAGTACCTTCTACTTAATCGAAAATCGGTAAATCTTATCACGTTAGTGTGTCTAAGAGAAGCGATGACAATATACATGACGTAAGCCCCCAAATGCCCTGGTACGGCCGAGAGTGGGGAGAGTCCGCTCTCCCTCTCGAAATGCTCTCACATGGCCACGCGTATATAGCCTCTGCCAGGGAAGTCCTACTCACTGCCTTCTCGTGGCGGAGGTGTTGTTTACAAAAATGAGAGGATGAAAAGCGAATGTCCGGCGCTTTAACTGGACCCCAAACCAATGATGCACATGGGCTCCAGTATCCTGAGTGAACAAATGGCGTATGAACCAATCGTTGGTCACCGGCTACCATGGGACTGCACCTCCTTACGATGCTCCACTGCCTTGTGGGTCAGACCTTCAGGTCGAAGGCTCGGGGTGTGGCTCCCTAAGAAAACCACCTGCTTCGGTTTGGGCACCCGGGTAGTATCACAGCCCTCACACATATCAAACGAGATCTGTGTGGCGCATATGTACTTGGTGCCTCCCTGTACCTATACTTATGTGTTAAAATAAATAAATACATGACGTAAGGTAGTGAGTCGTATGTGTGATTCTATGCAACTCAACAACCTCATTCACATTTCTGTTTTAGACTATGAGCCACATGTTTTGTGAGAGTGAAGAATATCGTGTCTGTCTAAACTTTGATACGTAGTAGACAGTTTGAATCCATGATTAAATGTTCAAAAGACACAGTATAACCTTTATAGCTTGTCTATCAGATAGTGGATTTAATAAGAAACAGTCTGTTGTGTGGCACTCGATAGTTCTGAAAATTTTACATTAAAAGCTGAAAATATCATTTGGGGACCATAGATAACTCTGAATTAATATTCTCATGTGACAGACCCACCTAGTAAAACTTGTATTAGCTGTGTGTAGAAGATCGGAAAAAACGTGTAAGACAATTTAATTTGGTCAAATTAATTAAAGCAGAAACGCTGATAACACAGCAGTCAACAATGAGTACGATTGTTCTCTCAGTACTTTCTGCTTCAATAAGCTGGAAGAACATACGAAGGCAGTATTTGACATGTGATTCTGAAGGATTATTATGTTTACGAAGTAGAACCCTTCATATGCAAACTTAGTTAACCTAAAATTATAGTAGGAGCATGAGTGAATAACCTCAATCAGGAATCATCAACATAGTGTCTGGAACAGATATGCTTGGACCAACTTACCATAGTATGTTAGCGTGACGAAATGAAATTGATACGATAAACAGCAAGGGAGATTGAAATAATGAGGTAGCAACAAAAATTAGAAAGAATAAGCACTGGGGTTATTGTTTAAAAAGACAGAATGGAAAAGTATGTAACAAGAAATTTTGGGATTCACTATCCAAAGCAAGATATGGAATGAATGCATCTAGGTCATTGTGAACGATTTAGCTCCATGTCATCCAAAGCCTCCAACCACGGACCGTGGTTATCTCGTGGACCCTAACCTACATTTTTCAAACCGATAGTCAGTGACTTCACGTTTTGATTTGGCCGCGTTAGCTTTCTTCTAATCTACTCCTACACTTGCAACCACCACTCATCAAGGTAAGGAGTGAATGGGTATATGTGATGCATATCTTAACAACTCAGTCGGTGAGGATTCACTACCTTTCTAAATTTATGCCGAGATTTCATCAGACATCAATCAATGAGGGGCGATAAGACTCCCAAGAAAAGTGAAGTAGCCAACGCAATTAAATACTTCACTGCCTATAGCTTGTTCATGTGTTGACACAGACCGGTCCTAAAGTAATATTTTACATTTACGAGGAGAGAAAGGTATCCCAAACATGCTTGCATTCTTGCTCAAGGCAATCAAGCGACAGCATTCTTGTCAACGTCTTCACTAAATGCAACTACGTCACAGCCATATTCTAAGTTAATAAATGTAACTCTTAATAAGAAATAAAGCCCTGAAAAGTTTGTTAAAGTTGTTATTGCTAATATAATATCTATCAAAAGGTTACATAAAAATGAGGATATTAGGCACCCCTGACAAACGCCGTTTGAAGATGACATGACTTGTAAGCTCTGACTCAGTCAATAGTTTCTGAGTAGACAGCCCTTTCAAGGATTTTGGGCTTTTTTGTTAGGCCTTTCAATGACAAACATTGCCACAGGACCTCTCTAACGACATAGTCGCGTGCCACCTCAAGGTCTAGAAACTCCTTTCAGAGTCGAGTTTCAGTAAGTATGTTTATGTTCTAACACCTGATGAAAAGTGAATATTTGGTTTGCATATACACGTTCAGGTCCAAGACTAGCTTGGTTTTCCAGGGTTTGCTCTTTGTGGGTCCTAGGTAAGGGTTGAAGATCTATTAAGCTTAATATTTCAGACACTACATTAGTTAACTTTTCAGAGCTTGTTAGTCTCCCTAGTTTTAGATTGCCTATATCCCTTCCAACATCGTTGAGTTGAAGATTCGCTATTCAAGTTGACTGGGTATAAAGAGTAACTGGAGGCCAGTTGGTCTATTTCCTAGTGTTCTGCCCTTTTATCTAGTCTAGATTAATAATGAATAGTAGTTCCATCCTTTTCAAAGATAGTTTCACTAACACCTGTCTTTTCAATACCCATTTTCCTACTAAGTCTGAATACTTGTCTACTATTAACTCTACCTTTCCCATCTTCTTTACTTTCGTCGCTTACCACTGCTCACGATCGTAGCATAAACTTTTCGTTTATTTATATCTGAGTTGTCGCTCTTCACTGTTCTCCGAGCCTCTGTCGGTTTAGTGAATGCCACCTCAATTCACTGGTCTTTCCTAAGTTGCCGTTAGATGTCACTGCTGAGAATTCAATATTGTACCAAAAATATGTTGAATAAAGCTTATAATAATAATAAAAAAGTTAGAGTACCTTACCAACCAAGTTGTATCACTAGCTCTCATGCACGTGATGCGTTGCTCAAAGCCAAGTTTATAGACGTACATGGCAAATAATGTTAGCTGCCATGATAACTGATTCTATAAATCTGAATAATAAACAAACAGTTATTGTCTGCTTGAGAGTAATGATAAGCTCACATTTTTATCACGAACCTTCCCTTTTATAGTTATTTCAAGTAGTACCGAAATTTACTTACTTTTTTCTCAAATTATGTTAGGGTTTCTATGCATCCAAGACGGCGTTTGTCTAGTCATCCTATAGCAACATATCAGTGCACTTCTCTTAATAGTATTAATGTAAGTCCTGTGTAAATATCAAATAAATCTTTATTAATTAATAGTAGTTAAATTATTTCTAGTTGTTTCTGCATTATAAGCCACATAAATATGATCTTTTCTCATTTACCAGAATAATAAAATGATCACATTAGCTTCGACATGCTTTTCGTACTCTTTTCCATATTTCGTTAGTGCGACTGTCTTCTTAGTTTTGTACTTTATAGATGCTGAACATCATTTAGTAGGAGACATGTAGATAGGGCATCATCTAATTATTTTCTTTACATATCTTTTTTATTACTATTGAAAGAGATATTTATGTATCTGTATGTGAATATTTACATTCACTTAATCTAGTCATTGATCTCAAGTCGATCCAAGTTTGTTTATCGCACTGGAAAACTTTGTGAAGAAAATATGTCTCACCTGCTTTCTGTCAAATATATAGCAACAAAATGTAATATACGAGATGATTGTTTGATATAATCCAATGCTTTACAAATTGGATGGATAATATAGAAGAAAAAGTACTTGGTATGGTCTTTGGATTCTCAGTTTCATCGCTCTGAACTCTTTTGGGACACTAGCACGTTAGCTTTCGTTTCTTGGAGTGCACATTTCACCTATCATATAAGTCTGAGGTTACGAAACGTTATTAAATATTTTCACTTATATAAACAATTGTATAGAAGCTGAAAATTTTGTTTCCTCGATAACTAAATATCACTTCTAACTGGTAGATGAATGTCTGTTTATTTTAGTTTTGAAGCATCCTACTGTAATCAAGGTCCAATTTGATTAAAGCCCTAAAATGCCTTGGTACGGCCGAGGGTGGAGAGAGTCAACTCTCCCTCTCGAGATCCTCTTACACGACCACGTGCATACAGTCATTGCCAAGGAAGTCCCACTCACTGCATCCTCGCGGCGGGGAGAGGATGAAAAGCGAATGTCCGACGCTTTAACTGGGTTGGCGGATATGGAGGATTCACCTAGGGGAGTTGGAAAACCCTGATTTAAAACCAATGGTGCACATGGGCTCCAGGATCATGAGGAAACAAATGGCGTATGAGCATATTGTTGGTCACCGGCTACCATGGGACTACATCTCCTGATGTTGCTCCACTGCCTTGTGGATCAGACCTTTAGGTTGAAGGCTCCGGGCGTGGCCCCCTGAAAAAATCACCAGCTTCGGTCTGGGTACCAGTATCTTAATCAATACAAAAATCAAGTGCCTTGTGTGGCTCATATCTATTCGGTACCTCTTTATACCAATATTTGTGTTCAAATAAATAAATAATGCAACCTAATGATTACTTGTTGCATCATAAGAGATTTTTAGATTTCAGGAAAGGTCAAGAGTTTTATTCTTAAGCCTCTTTCCTTAAACAAATTGAAGTATAGTACACCATTTTCTTTTTTGCAACAGTTCAGATAGTTACAATGCTTTAAATCACACTACGTCTTAAGCTCAAAAATTAAGTTCCTCATTGTATTTACTCAGGCAGATTTGAAGCATTTCGCTGAATTTCACGATATGATTATTCATTTTCTTTCGATTCTTTATTGAGCAAACAAAACCTAACATTTAATAATGTTCATATAAAAAAGCAACAAAATGTTGTGAAATGCTCAAAATATGATTGACGTATAAATTCATTGTCTTCCCAGCTCATAAAATGTAGTGTTCATTTCCATACTTCTATATTATTCCTTCAATTGTTAGTTAGTGACAGCCTTTCTTATTGTTCCTTTGATACTTCTAAAATTGATAGGTCAATGTTAACCCCCAATCTTATCCATACTCTGGTCACACACATTGTTTACGGGAATGTAATATTTGTCAGTGGAGAGGGTAAGTAAGGTTTTTATATGGTAGTTGATTCATGACATTGTTTAGTTTTTAAAAAGAAATACCTAATTGTACGGGCAATTGTGCTCAAATAGTCTCTTTCCATCCCCACTTAATAGCCACAACCTTAAGTCGGTATATCCTTTGCCAATCCATTGTTGTTAAAGGAATTTCCTGAACTCGTGAAAGTAACGTACAATAAGGCAGATCTCAAACACCCCATTCAGCACCATATCATAACTAATGGGCCACCAATTAATGCAAGGCCAAGAAGATTAGACCCAAAAAGACGAGCAATTGCAAAACAAGAATTCGACAAGTTGATGAGGCTGGGCATTGTAAGGCCTTCGAACAGCCCGTGGGCATCCCCGTTACATATGGTTCATTTCACAGTTCACCTCCGATATACGATACATTAAAGGACAAGAAAACGACGTGGCTGATGCACTGTCAAGAGCAACGATAAACACGCTTATTGCAAGTGGAATCGTTTATTACGGTCTAGCAAAGTTTCAAGAGAGAGACATTGAATTAAATAAGCTCAGATCCGATGGTACGACATCATTAGTGCTCGAAGAGGTGCAGTTCAGTAACACGAAAGTGATATGTGATACATCGACAGGCCGACCTCGACCGTTTATCCCGAAATCATTGCGACAGAAAATTTTTGAAAATATGCACAATATGTCGCATCCAGGAATAAAAGCCACGATAAAGCTAATTAGTGAACGATTCGCATGGACAAACATGAATCACGATGTACGTAATTGAACGCAGGCATGCATGAATTGTCAAAAAGTCAAAGTACATCGACATTGTAGGACCACTGCCTATTTCGAATGGATACAATTATATCCTTACATGCATCGACAGGTTTACACGACGGCCGGTAGCAGTGTAGTGGACAAAACACTAGTGGGGACAATCGAATGTATTTGATAACAAATTACAGAACTAGTTATTAAAATCTAACAACCATATATTAAATGCTCAAATTGCAAATTGTCCATCCATTGTCTCAAATGACTCAGAATTCCTTTGTTCTTGCATTTTCATACAAATTGCATTCTTCATTCTTTGTTGTTCGATCTTCTCGTCGCTCTGCTACCAGACATTCTGTTCATGACTCACGTCATATACTAATTATGTCTACATAAGTAGCACACACCACAGCAGTACCGATAAAAAATATCTCAGCCGAATCGGTAGCCAATGCACTAGTTTAAAATTGGATTTCTTACTACGGCGTACCAGCGATCATCACAACTGATAGGGGAGCTCAATTCGAAAGTCGACTCTTTCAACAGCTTACAGAACTCCTCGGTATTAAACGAATTCGAACGACATCTTACGATCCGATTGCAAACGGAATGGTCGAACGCCTACATAGGCAATTAAAAGCATCCTTTACACCCGTCATTGTAAACTTCCTCTAGTAATGTTAGGTCTAAAAGCGACAATTAAACAGGATTTGGGATGTTGCCCAGCCGAGTTGGTATACGGAACTACTCTACGGTTACCCGGAGAATTTTTCACTTCAAGTAAATGTGTTCCGAATGATGTAGCAAACTACATACAATGCTTGAGAAAGCACATAAATGATTCAAAAATAACACCTCCCCGACCACAATAACGACGAGTATTCATACCACAGGAACTACATAACAACACTCACGTATTCATTAGAAGAGACAAAGTACAACCACCTCTGCAACTAAATTACGACGGTTCATTTAAAGTGATAGCGAGGACAGATAAGACGATTACCATAGACAGAGCTGGGAAGACAGATGTAATCAGCATCAATCGAGTGAAACCAGCTTTCGTCGATAGAGGTATTCAACCAACAAGTACAAACTCCTCGAAGATGGTCACACCAACGAAACACGAGTCTCGAGAATCAACGGCGCTGACGCAGCAAAAAGACGAGACTCCAGTAACAACCAAGTCTGGCCGCAGAGTAAGATGACCTCAACGCTATGTCGCTACAATTTTCTATTGATAACTTTCTACTATATTAAATATTAATTATAACTCTTCCACTTCATTGTATATGTATGGATTATTAAGCTCATGTTATATACTATAAAACTCGGCATATCTTATGTACCCTTACACTTATAAGTATAATTTTTTTTTAAAAAGAGATACCATATTCCTTCTATTTCTTTCTATTATTTTATATAACCTCACAGACAGGGACGAACCAAATGCACAGCACACATTAGCTTCATACTAATCTTGTATAAACCCATTTCTTCAAACGATTGTAACTACTCTATTCAGTTTACTAGTCTTGGTGCAAACACAGACATTTTTTCTATATATCTTTGCAGGGGGAGAGCTATTATCGCAACTCACGTGCAATTGAGTTTGTTCTCATTTAATTCGGTTAAGCCCTTTTGTTAACTTATTTAGCGGACAAAGTCATCTGTGCTATAACAACTTATTGTACCTTTATTATTGTTGTGTTTGTATGAAATATGTGTATGCTTGAATATCGTTTGCCGCCTACGCATATATTCATTCTGCTAGCTTTATTATATATATATATATATATATATATATATATATATATATATATATATATATATATATATATATATATATATTTAACACTACACTCTCGGTTTGCTGACTCACTCATTCGCCTCTGCTCTGTGATCTGAGTTATCTGCTAATAAAACTGTAGTCGCTGCTTCTCTTTGCCTTCTGATTTCAAACACCGTTGAGGATTATATGATAACGGTTACGAGGGTGATTGGTTAACGAAGCACAGCCACTACAAGCTCTCTCCTTAACGTTGGTACAACTAACGTAGCTATTTAAAGTCAGCAGGTAATAAAAACAACATATAATAACATCATGTTTGTTCAAGGATTTCGATACTATCTCCTTTCTTTGTATTTGTACTAAGTTCACCTTGACATTAATTTATTTAGTGTAGAGTTGCGACAACTAACTTCATAAGTCTTAGTATGATACAAAGTGTATTCCCGAAAAGATCACACATAAACAAGTTTCATGTAACGGCCATTACGTGATATGTAATAATTTTTATTTAGATTATTGTAAACAACCTTGATTCCTTGCTAGACTAATTGTGATCGAGGCATAAAGGAACTTTAGGCCACAGGAACATTTGAACGGTAGCTTCTTAATATTAGTTTATATCATATTAACAATAAGCAGGAGTTAGCATAATGAAAACATTACGCTGAAAGAATAAGCTAAGTAAAATTTTTAGTTTCAGTTCAAACAAGTACTCTCTAAAGGATATGTCATGTGGTAATGTGTATAGTATCAACAGTATTTAAAATGTGTAAAGGTTTCAGTCTCAAATATATTTACTTCAATAGGTCTCAAATTCGTTAGTATGGAATATTGAGTCAATGCATGTGGTTATTAACTGAGGATCCAAGCCGTGTACTGAGCTGTCTGTATCTAGTTTTCAAAATATTAGACATGAATAACGCCGTTCATGATATATCCCAGCGGAACAGATAAATCCCCTCATTCTGGATCAATAGTCATTTTCTGTTACTCTCGGTTGTTACTTCACATTTATCGTGTTATTGGTTAGCCGAAGGTCATCAGTACTGGTTAGATAATGTAGACAAGCTAATCGGACACTGTTTAGATGAATACAACTGCTCTCCTGTCTTACAGACCGATATTAGCTGTCCAAATAACTAAACAAGAAAATCGGATTATTTTCATTGACACATCCGTTTGATATGTAACACGTTTTTGCATCAGACGGCCATTGGTGACCTTTTGAACATCGCTCCTTCGATTAAAACATATCGTTTAAACTCATCTATATGATAAATAAAAGCCTACTGAAAGCAATCATTTTGTCAGTCATAAGTAACGTGGAACTTGGCTTTCTTTTCCTTACATCGCTGAAGCATTCACTTTACATTTAAAGAATCCTGAGCTGAATATGCATCAACATATATTGTGGTCCTAACCTCTAGTTTTCCAAAGCCATCAATCCCCCTTCTCATACCTCCCATAGTAGGTTGTTGCTGATCGTATCTGATCAAAGATCATTAAGGATCTTGGGTAAACTTTTTTGATTAAAAGTATAAGATTTTTAAATAATTGTCTACGTTGGTCAGATCTCATCATTAGCAGCCTACTGTCAGAGAGAACAAACCAGCTTCAAAATGAAGGGAAAATTAGGAAAATACTTTGAAGGTGGGTAGGACATACAGTGCGGAAACCATCGAACTGGGTCGCGCGACAAGCCCTCACTTGGGGTCCTGAAGGTAAAAAGAAAGGAGGAAAACCGAGGAACACATCGCGTTGGGAATGAGAAACAAACATCAAAAGAATGGGTAACAATTGGAAACAACTGGAAAGAATCGCTCAGGACAGAGTTCGGTGAAAAATCCTAGTGGACGGACTGTACTCTTCTACGACGGTTAACAGTAGCAAGTGAGTAAGTACGTAAAGTCGTCTCTTGGTTGAACTATATATGGGGCGGCAAATATCCTACTAGTGTGGTCCGAGACAACTATACGAGACTTTATCGTAACCTGGTCTTGGAGCGATTGCTTGCCATCGCATGAATAATACTAAAGTTGGATGGATTGTGTTGGATGAAGATAGTAAATCTGTTGATGAAATTGGGAATCGTCGTCGATTGAGGTGATTGGGTTATACATGACGTATGCCTAATCACTGCCTACATTAGCGGGAGATGTTTGCTGGTGTAAGAAAAGATAAGGAATAATCTAGGTGAAACAAAACAAGAGGCGGCATCATGTAGGTAAGTGCCGATTACCTAGTTGGGGTTCTCGTGATTACTGTAACCTGTGTTTAGAGGCTGAATAATATAGCTCAGAACCGTTTCTAATGTCTCAAATGAATTTAATCTCTGTCTTAAAATACTTTTATGTCTTGTTTCACTAATCCATTCTTTTCTGGATCATATTATCTATACCTAATGTTTTATGTTACCAATCATACTGTCACTACTCCTACTACTATGGGATTTGCTTTGATAATTTCATGTCCTTGTGCTGAAGTAATGTGGTAACTTAAATCGACCCACACGTGTCCCAGGTTCTACATTGCTTATGACTAATTAACCGGAAACCATTTGAGTTAGAGCAGTTGCATTTACCTTTTATCTTTGTTCAAAGCCTGAACATAACAATTCTTGTAATATCTGAACCAGTGTCCATCTGAATATTAACAGATGTTCCGTTAACCGAAATCTCAGTATATTTTCACTTTGCAACCAAATTAACACTCGAAATGTCTAATTTTCCACCCAAATATGCTTTCTATTGCCGATCCCCCATTCATTTGTGCGGGAATCTGTGTTAAGGCTGAACTGTGACCATGATCAGCGCCAATAGGACTTTTGTCACTCTTTTACCTAGATTTTAATTGACCATTCCAGGAAAAACAGTTCCTCATTATAATCGATTTATTTTCAGAATGGACAAAAGCTTTTATGGTGAACAGTCTTTTTACAAATGCTACGGTATGGAAACTTATATTGATTGGTCGTTCTGGACCACCACATGCAATATTTCTGACAATCGAACACCGTTTACTTCAATCCAGTTCGAGGTTTTCTGTGTGAAAAACAATGTTGATCACTTAAGGTTCTCATCATACCACTGTCAATTAAATGGTCAAACAAGACGGGTTATTGATTCTCTAGAAAAGCAGTTCAGAAGGCATAAGGCAGAGGAGCAGTGGAAGAAATCGTACAGAATTTACTACTGGCACTCAACACAGATTCCCACAATAATGAGTGAGAGGTCGCCAGTAAAAAATATATTTTAGCGGAAAATTTGAATGATTTTGCACAACTTGGAATTATAACCGTAAATGATGCTGTTAATGCTGAAAGTTTTTCTCTTGAGAAAGCTTTTTTGGTGAGGATTTTCCACAGTTTCAAATTAAGGTGGTTGTATGGCATAATAAAAAAGGCACAGTCATACACTAAATGAAAGTGAGTGAATCTATGTGGAGGAGATTTTCTAGTCACATAAAGAGAAGGGTGTAAAGACGACTCAGTGATGTGAACAGAAAAACAAGAAGCTATGATAAACTACGGATACTATTTTTGGGGACGTTATGTCATTTAATTCAAAGCCTGTAAAACACTAACATTTATTTTCACCCCTAGTTCATTCTACAGACCATAAACTTGTTTGATGTATGACTTACTGTCATACCCATTTTTGTTCCAAAGTTACTCTAGACACCAGTTTTGGATATAATTGTATTTTTCTAATTGTTTGTTCGTTGTGGTCATGTTAGTCATCTACTTATTCATGTACCTTTTTGCACTAATCTGAATCGGAATAAGGAATAAATCGAGTAATGTTCCAGTTGGTTCGTCTTCTTTCGTGCGCGCTTGTCAACCAATCAGGTGATAGAATAGTTTTTGTCTCTCTATGCAAGGCAGTTAGTCTCATTTCGATCTCACACGATTCTAGCCTCGAGGTTAAACCAGTCAGCCTATCGTGTCAAAGTCTTAACTTAGATTGAGACAAACTACCTTCTGTATATTGGTGGGTAGATATATCAAGGACGTAACACTCAGTTAATTGCAGATTGAGAAACCTTGCTGAGAGAAGTACTAATAGAAGTTCCAGTGGACAAAATAAAACCGAAAAGTTTGGATTACTACCACAAAACTAGCCCGGAAGATCGTTTTAATTTTAAGAAGAACAGCTAACCTTCAAGTTAATCCCTACGAAGTACCATACTCATACATATCCAGGTAAACCAGGGAGTGTTGGGATTAGATAAAGTGCTAGATGTTACTCGGCTTAATATTCCTCTTAATTTAGTGTTATATTTATTTAATATAGCGTTCTCTTGTATGGATTTTGTTTAAAACCTATTTGTATATTTCACTTACGGATGATATTCATTAAGTAGTCATCAAATACCAATGAAATATATATACTTTTAGTCAATAAGTGATTGCCGTATATTTAGAAGATGAATGAAATCCCCATCTGTCATCAGTTTTTATTTTTTTCTGATCGTGCAAATCTTCATGTTTTCCTCTAATATATCTATTGTTTCTAGTTATAATATTGCTCTAAAGTTTTCACTTTCTTATTGTATTTGTATCTTTTAATTTGTATTTTTTGATGATGATACTACTTACCTTCACTTCTTAGTTGTTATAAAACATGAGAGTTTAAACTGGAATAAATTTTGTTGAATCCTACGTTATCTACGTTTTGACTAAAAATCTAATTAAACAAACAAAAATTTCATATTTTCATCTGTAGCAAATCTTTCAGTGAAATAAATTTTTTACTTAACTATATGATATTAATAGACTCCCCACTTGGAATTTCCCTATTAAGATTGAATGTTTGTTATACTGAACACAACTGTTATTAAACAGCGAAATATGTAACAGGCATTTTTAATGGTTGACCTTTTTTATTAATTTGGGTTTTGCTCATTATTAAATACAAGTAAATATAATTAATAAAATGTGACAATTACATTTTCAACATCTAAACATTTGTCCTTTCAGATCTGAGCCTCATTTGGTGACTTTACCTTCACAACCTCTGGACACGCTGAAATTGAAAGAACTACTCTATCAACCGTACTGTTCGTTTTGCTTCAAAGATTTACCTTGTACTTGTAGTGGACTTTTGTCTCTTTCTTCTGATTCTCATGATTCGTGTGATAATGGTTTTTCTAAGAAAACGTGTAATAATAAGAATGTCTGTCTGATTTGTTCAGAAAAGCTTACTAAAGATAGTATTTCCAAAGATACTTTATCAAACAACTGTTCACAACAAAACGACAATATTCATTCAGATATTCCGTACAATAAAACTCAATGCAACTTTATTTCAGCTGATAAAAATGAACACCTCAATAACGTTACTGCTGATGGTCTCAATACGGAACAAATGGAACTCAATTTAAAGTGCAACCCTCATACACCCTTTTCTGTATCCGAACAGAATGTCTTTAAGCCACTAACGGATTCTCCTGGTCGCTCTAGTACGGTTTCCCTCTCTCAAGATGTTCGCCGACGTAAAAGACTACCAAGCAGCTGGTCTACTATTAGTCGAACACTGGGAAATAACGGTGATACGTCAGGTAATTTAGGATTTATCATCACATTGTTTAATATCATTATTTTTGTTTTCTTGTCATCAACATTAAGACAATATGAAATTATATCTGTATGTATTGATGCATTTTTTCCTGTAATTACATATGTCCTGACCGTTGTTGCTACCTTGACGTGGTGGTCGGGCTTGCCTATCGTGATGAAGCAACTGAGCTATACTGGCTGGAACAACCGTTCCTCAAGGTCCTACCATGCCAGACAGGTCGGTTGAAGAGCGGTAAGACTAAAAGCAACGAAACCAAGGTCCGAAGGCGAAGTCGTACTGCTGACTGTACAGAGGTGTGACAGCAGTAAGGTGTTTCCTTCAGACAACCAGCATAACAGCGATGCTGCCTTCCCAAAAGGAGGGGAGGGGTTAGAAAAGGTCGACCCTAAAAATGCACACCTCGCCTTATCCCACGGATATCCGTCTCCGGCGGTAAGGTCTCAACAAGTACGGAGCTAACACAAAAATTACTCATAAAAAGGTCGTGTGTGACCGACCTCAAGCAGCTGTCCCTTGGGCACTGCGGTCACACTCTCAGGTCACTATGGCCACCTCTAATCCAATTTCCTTTTCAGGTACCTCCAGCAGAACCCTTCCATGGTGTGGGCAACCGGGAAGTGATAACCGCCCTCATACCTCTAACAGCACTCAAGACCACTGTATTCATAATCAACCTACCTCTTCAATTCCTATTATTCCTCCTACATCGACTTTCAAATCTAAACTCCCTCTTTCGGCTTCCTCCTCAAGTGTCACCACAGCCAACGATTCTAGTGCGCAAAACACTGTCCCAGGTCTACTGAAACCTCGTTCCAAACTACACATTGGAGCCTTCAACGTACGCACACTATGCCAAATCGGTCAGCAGGCTTCCTTGGCTAAAACCTTAGAATCTCGTACGATTGATGTATGCTGTGTCTCCGAAACACGCATACAGGATCCTAGTGTGGTCATTCACTTGACCTCACCTCGGCAAAACGGAGTGTCGACGAGATACACCCTCCGTGTATCTGGCGACCCGACGATGGACTCAAATTGACCATATTGCCATCAGTCATCGTTGGAGAGGGTCGATAGAAGATTGTCGCTCATTCTGGAGTACCTGCTTGGACTCCGACCATGCCCTAGTACGAGCACGCATCTGCTTGCGCCTCACTGGACGCAAAAAAGCCACAAAAAAAGACTCATTAGAATCGAATTGAGTAATGAGAAAGCCAAAAGTAGGTTCCAGGAACAACTGAGGTCACACTTAGGTAGTTCTGAAAACGAGGCTGACCCCGATGTTGATTGGAAAGACATACAAGCAGCTGTGAAAACAGCAGTGACATCTATTAGTGATTTAAACCACAGGGTTACAATAAACCAATGGATTTCTTCAAGGTCTATTGCACTGACAGATTCTCGTAAACTCATCCCATCAGGTTCTGAACACGATGAAGAGCGTAAAGAAATCAGATCTAGATTAAGCAAAAGTCTAAGTAACGATCGTGAGCAGTGGTGGGCAACGAAAGCAAAAGAGATGGAAAAGGCGGCGGCTATAGGGAACACAAGACAACTCTACAGACTAATAAAAGAAACTGGAATTAATAAATCAAGTGTAAGTCAGACTATTTCGGAAAAAGACGACACTCTCATCTGCTCCCAGTCCAGACGTTTAGAACGATGGGCGGAACACTTTAAGTAGCAGTTCAGTTGGCCTTCAGCTACTCTACAACTACCCTCTATTCCCAGACAGTATGAATGGAACATTGAAATAGGTCCTCCAACTCTAGCTGAAGTTCAAAAGGCTATAGCTAATCTGAAACGAGGAAGGGCAACTGGTCCAGACGGATTGGCCCCAGAGGTCTTTAAGGATGGTGGTCTAGTTTTAGCTATTAGGTTGACTAATATTTTAGCTAAAATCTGGGAGTTAGACGTTATCCCATCTAACTGGTCACAATCACTTATCGTCCCAATATTTAAGAAAGGGTCAAAATCATCCTGTGACAACCATAGAGGGATTAGTTTAACTAATATAGTATCTAAAATACTAACCTCGATGATTATCGGACGCCTAACTAAGACTCGTGAGCTGCAAACACGTGAAAATCAGGCTGGCTTCAGACCTGGTCGTGGCTGCATCGACCACATATTCACCATTCGTCAGGTTCTAGAACACAGGCATACTTATCGGCGTCCGACAGTGGTGGTTTTCCTTGATTTAAAAGCAGCGTTTGACTCTGTTGACCGAGAGGTTCTGTGGCAGTGTCTGTCATTGAAAGGCGTACCTCAGAAGTACATAAACCTTGTGAAGGCTCTTTACTCGAACACTACTAGTCGAGTCAGAGCTTATGGCGAACTGTCATCTGCTTTTGCAACCTCAAGTGGCGTCCGCCAAGGCTGTCCACTTTCTCCATTTTTGTTCAACTTCATCATAGACATCCTGATGGAAATAACGCTCTCATCGACTGACTTCTCGGGTATTGATCTCCTACCAGGAGGTCGACTTATTGACTTAGAATACGCAGATGACATAGTCCTGTTTGGTGAAGACGCTGATGAAATGCAGAGTCTTTTGGTAGCACTGAGCAACAATGCCAGAATGTTTGGGATGCGCTTCTCTCCCTCCAAATGCAAGTTGTTGCTTCAGGACTGGTCTGCGTCAACACCTGAACTAAGGATAGGGGGTGAAGTAGTCGAACGCGTTGACAACTTCACTTATCTTGGAAGTCTGATCAGTCCTAATGGGCTGGTGTCTGACGAAATCTCAGCACGGATTCGAAAAGCTCGCTTGGCCTTTGCCAACTGACGTCATCTATGGCGAAGGCGAGATATCCGTCTATCAATTAAGGGACGAGTATATTGCGCGGCAGTTCGTTCCATTCTACTTTACGGCTGCGAAACATGGCCTTTAAGAGTAGAAGATATTCGTAAGTTACTAGTATTTGACCACAGGTGCCTTAGAAATATTGCGGGTATCTGCTGGGATCACCGGGTAAGTAATAGTGAGGTTAGACGCAGGGTATTAGGGAATGATGGTAAATCAGTTGATGAGGTTATGAACCTTCATCGACTGAGATGGTTGGGCCACGTGCTGCGTATGCCTGAACACCGATTACCACGACGCGCAATGGTAACCGGTGTTAGGGATGACTGGAAGAAAGTTAGGAGCGGCCAAATCAAAACGTGGCATCAGTGCTTGAAGTCACTAACTTCTGGTCTGAGCCATGTTGGTAGAAGCAGACTACCTGGTTGGGGTCCGCATGACTATCGTAACCAATGGTTGGAGACTCTTGGTGACATGGCTCAGAATCGATCACAATGGCGTCGGTGTATACACTCTCTGTCTTCCTTTAAACTAAGAGATTAAAATCACTTCAAATCTTACTTTCTACGAACTAATTCTATCTTCCTGTAATATCTCCTTATAGACACTCTTTCTTCTATATATTACCACCACTGAATTAACTACTTCTGTGAATCCGGTGTTCATCTTGTTGTGCTAATGCGGTATGGCAACTTGGACCGATGCATGTACGTGCCTGGTCCTACGTTGTAGCTGACTGACTGGCTGAATTACATGTCACACCTGGACATTAAAGTTTTATATATTTGTTCGACAATCTAATTTTTCTTTGCTTTGTAGTGTTAGCTTACATTTGTTTTACCCTTTAACTTATACAGAAATGGAACGATTTCATATAGATACACTTTTTTGACGCCAGTGACTACCTCATATTAGTATTATTTCGCAATAAAACTAATTAGCAAGGTTCTTACCAATCTTTGTTACTTGGACTTCATCCTTTCTTTGTTTGTCACCACGTTAACATAGAAAGCAATCAATCCTTCATTTTACCATAAATTTATTCTCATATTTTCTGTTTAAAATAATTCTCAATTTTGTACTTGAATCATTCTTACAATATTTTCTTATTAGCGTTCATTGTGACCATAACTGAAAACATCTGATAGCACTTGAACTCGAAATAGTAAAAATTGAATTCGTATCGGTTTACAATGGTCAATTCATAATAAATAGTATGCACAACATTCGGTTAACAAACCTTAAGTAAAAATGCTAGGTTCACACGTTTCTCGTTATCGAGTTTAGTAATGGTTAGTTGAACCTAACCAACATGAATATACAATAGGATAGTTATGAACATAGGAAAAATATCATCCCGTATTTCATAAGGAAATTCTATACATTGTATAATACTTATATATTAGTTGTGCTATAAATTTGGTTTAACATTCAAAGTCACATTTGCTTACAGTCTAACTTTTTTAACCATACCACGATTGAACTACCAAAACTTTGCATAATTTGGTTTATCAAGAGATTTTTTCTTTGTTTTTTAAGCAAACGTTACTCAATCTAACATTCACCCTATCCACAGACATCAAACTGAATTGAATCGGTGTTTGTCCAATGAAAATAGCCCACGACACCCTTATATTTCATCTTTGACGACACCAACTATCATCCCAGGAAGCCAGTATGCTAGAACACGACAACATACTGCCAGTACGTGTGAAAGCACAACACCTTATCATAAGGACTCAAGCAATTCACATAGTTCTTCTTGTTCTCCAACCACAAATAAACAGGGCAGTATCAAATCCTCACTAGTTTCCTTATCACCTTCTTCTACACCACTTTGGGCGGACGCACCTACTTATGCTAAACCAAAAACTGGGAAACACTATGTTTCCAGAGAGGTGATTCAGGCTTTCCGTATCGACCAACAACAGCAATTTTCGTCTGTTTCAGATAATATGAAAGGCTTTGGTAACTGTTCTCAGATGAATTCGTCAGACAATGTATGTCATAATGAAAACCATTCAAGTGAATCTGGTAAGGAGTTTATTGTGTTTATTTGTTTTAACTCACCTTTATCATTGTAGTTTGTCGTTCAATTATTTCAAACGTGTATACTAATTTGTAAAAATAAATTTTTGTTGTATGCATAACAATACATTTGTAGTGTTTATAATTTCATATCCATACTTGAATTAAGTGAATCCACTTGTCTGTATAGCTATCAGTATGGGGTTGTGGAGATCATTAAGTTTTTTGATTGTGATCATGAATCGATCGATGTTAGACCATCATTTAAAACCTGGAAGTATTGGACGGCCGTCTCTTCCTAGTATGGAACTCCTCAGCAGTGCTCACCAACGATCCCGCACGCAGAATTCGGATCCAGGACCTGTCTTGCGCGCGAACGCTGAGCCTGCATCCAACAGTGTTAATTTATAACTACCGAGAAGTCCCACACTCGGAAGAGACGGCCGTCCAATGCTTCCAGGTTCTCAATGGTGGTCTGACATCGATCGATTCAATAAAAAAACTTAACAGTCTCCACTACTCCATACTGATAATTACCATGTGCTCACTAGTGACAAACTTCGCGAGGATATTCTCGGAGTTCTAGTGAGAAGCCGCGACCAATGGAGTTAATCCGTGTCGGATAGAGACAGGTATCTACCTCAGACAATGGAAAATGGTCGCTTAATTTTGTGGATTGGTTGAAGTTAGACATTAACACCGTTGGATGCCGGCTCAGCGGTCTTGAGGTGGTTAAACGTTCGCGCGCACGACCGAAGGTCCTAGGTTCGAATCCCGGAAGAGGGATTGTGGATGGGCACTGCCTAGGTGTCTGTATGGTTTTTGATTGTATTATCTTTATTTCAAGTTATTTATTGAGTATAAAGGTATGTGTTCTACTAAATTCTCGTAGCATTTACCAAAAATATAGAAAGGAGACATTTTGCCTCTGTACGTTTACAATGCATCTGTTATAGCGCATTATGATACTTTTTACAAAACCCATTGACTATCCGTAACTTATTCTTTTTCAGTTGACTAAATAGTAATAATGGCTAACTCATGTCACTCAATTACTAATGTCTCTATGTCTCACTGTGCATCTGATGCTTAATGTACACCAAAATTATGCTAAATAGTGATAAAGTAGCTAAACAATTCCATAATCGTCATTTGTGATTTGGAGAAGGTATATTAAAGTTAGAATTTCCCGTTATTATAAATGGAAATTGTTGAAGCTGTTAACTCTTCAAATATAACATATTAGTCAGAGATCAATCTTATTATTCACATGTTTATGTAAAGTGATTTTCATTCATTCGACTTCCAGTGCGTTTTGGTTGTGTTAATTAATTCATTGTGATTTTTCATTCAAGTGACATTTGTCCAATTTGACAAATTCTTTAACTAATATTCGCTTAATGGAATCGATATATAACTAAGTAAATTCGAATATGAATTAATCTTTAGTCTCTACCAAATAAATATTCACGCCATTCTTTTACGAGTAGCCTCGGTTAAAAGAGAATGCAACTGTTGTAACGTGGTATCGAAGAGTTGTTAAGAACTATCATTGTTATCAGAAACACAAAATATAGACCTGGTGTTTCCTACTGAGTTCTTTTTCAGGGATTTATCATTGGTCATTGTAAATTAAATCATGGATTTCGTTATTGCACATTATCAAATAACGTTCTACAATTTTCTTTTTAAGTTTTCAACCTGTAACTGTAAACTGGACGACAGTTTCACTAATTTAATATCTTACCTTTTATTTTAGGTAGTACGCTAACATGCTTAACAGAGGCATTTGACGGGAATGCGACCTTTCAGTCTAAACAGCAATCGTCAAACGCTCCTGCTCAATTTAAGACATCAGCTTTTTACCCTGTAACAACGAATGTGTCGGATTTTAATTTTTTGTTTCAAACTACATCTAATCGTGTTGTGGCGTCTCAAAATGATAAGTCATTAACAAATTCTGGGTAAGAACTATTTATGTTACAAGTACTTAAGTTAATCAGAAATTGTTTAGTAGGGTCTATGAATACATGCGTATCGTAATTATAGTTTATTTTGTAGATCTCTTGATGGGTTTATTCGATTTCGATCTACTTTTAAATGGTAATGTTTAATATTGAGTCTTCTCTAAATTCTACTCTCATCATACCTTTCTTATCGTATATGAGTGAATATCAAACATTCTCTATTCATCCATTCCTTTCCTTGTGATTCCCTCCTTTGTACAATTAAGTTTATTTCCTTGATGTTTCCCTTCGAAACTGGGTTTTCATTCTTCAAGATCTTTGGAGATCTCATCCATATAAATTCATACATATCGACGAAATATAGCGTGACAGATCCTCATAACTGATATCCTTATTTTATATATACCAGCTACTTCGTTAGACTCAAAGTCAAAGCAATCTTGTAATTTCCAACATCGGTTGATGTTCATTAAAAACGATAAGGGGTCTCACATGTAAACTTGCCGCCAATTATATATTCTTATTTGTATCAATTTCAATAGAACGCTTTGTGAACATCTTCAAAATAGCTTTTTCAAATCAACAAAGTTATCTGTGTCACTTTTTATGATCCAATGAATCCTGTTCATGTACTAATTAACTGAAGCAGTACACAGTTAGGACTGTTTGATATAAAAGCTAATGGTTTGTATGTTCCGCGACCAGTGGAGCTAAACCGTGTCTGTTGTAGGGCAGTTACCCACCAAAGTCAGTGGGAGATGGTCGCGTGATGCCGTGGATTGACTGAGGTTAGACATTAACACATTTGAATGCCAGCTCATTGGTCTTGAGGTGATTAAGCGTTCGCGCACGAAACCGAAGGTCCTGGGTTTGAGTTCTGCGTGTGAAATCTCAGATGGGATCTGTTTGAAAGCCCCCTTACCAGGACAAAACTGCCGTCCAGTGCTTCCAAGTTTTCAGTGGTGGTTCATGATTTCAGTAGAATTGAACAACCTCCAAAACCCCATGCTGAAAAGACAAGTGGCAGTGTTTCTTCATGATTATATACTGAATACAACTCTTGAATTAAAAATTTGCTTATCAATCAACTGGAATGCGTTATTAGTAATTTAAGCATGTGACGTTACTATAAAGATTTACCCAACAACCATATTTGTATTCTCTACGGTTTCTTTGACTTGTGTATGCTATCAGTTATTTATTGTCTTACTATGGAAAAAATGAACTCTAATGTAAATTTTCTGATGTAGGATTTAAATAGCTATTGCATCTCACCAATTTTTCACAGTTCATTTTCATAACAAAAGGTTTCATTCTCAACATGTTGCTCAATTTCAATATAAAAATATAAACTGTACTCAACAGTTCGACTGTCTGTACCACTAATACATGGGATATATTGTATCATATAAGACTGAACAATATTCTGGGTGATCAAACTATGTAGAAAGTCCTTACTTCGGTTTAATTGAACTCTCTTCTGTTATTACCAATAAGAAGTAGTATCTACTATACTCGATTCTCCTACAAATTTGTATTGCACAACTACTTTTGTCACTACATTAGTTTTCTTACGTACAAGCAAAGTAAGCTGTTAAACAAATGGGATAATCGACGAAACTATGGTTTCTTGCATTTTCTAAACAATATCTTCTGATTAAGGTGCAAAGTTAAGTGTCACTTGTAAACAAGAAACAATAAGTTCGTATGTGTTAATCATCTTCAATGCATTGCATTTTGGATGTGGAGGCATAGCATCAGCGTAAACTATTGTGTTTGACGTGGGATGATGTGCATGCGACTAAAATGGCTAAAGTTGTGATCCATTTATCGATGACTAGTTCCTTTGACTTACTCCTGAAGAAATTGGTTCAAAATTATTTGTTTAAAAAGAGTTTAAGTCCTCATGTTATTTTGGCTCTGATCTGTTGAAACATCTAATGGAGTTATGTTGCTTTTTACTGATCAATATAAAGCTTAGCTCAACAATTTCATAAGAGAAACTATATTCACCTGCACTGTTCTGACTTTGATGATGGCCGACAGTGTAATTCGTCGTACGAATTTTTCATGATGTTGACGATCTCATGTACACTATAGTGTTGAAGAATGTTCCATGACGTTCCTATCTACGCTGTCAAATGCTTTTTCATAGTCAGGGAAGTTGATGTATAGTTGACGAGTTCCATTCAATTGATTGTTCAACAATGAACATTAGTGTCGCGATTCGGCCTGTGCACGGTCGATCCTTACGGAATCTAGCATGTTGATGCCCCCAAATGCCCTGGTACGGCCGGGAATGGGAAGAGTCCGCTCTCCCTCTCGAAATTCTCTCACATGGCCACGCGTATATAGGCTCTGCCAGGGAAGTTCTACTCACTGCCTTCTCGTGGCGGAGGTGTTGTTTACGAAAATGAGAGGACGAAAAGCGAATGTCCGGCGCTTTAACCGGATCCCAAACCAATGATGCACATGGGTTCCAGTATCCTGAGTGAACAAATGGCGTATGAACCAATCGTTGGTCACCGGCTACCATGGGACTGCACCTCCTTACGATGCTCCACTGCCTTGTGGGTCAGACGTTCAGGTCGAAGGCTCGGGGTGTGGCCCCCTAAGAAAACCACCTGCTTCGGTTTGGGCACCCGGGTAGTATCACAGCCCTCACACATATCAAATGAGATTTGTGTGGCGCATATGTATTTGGTGCCTCCTTGTACCAATATCTATTTGTTAAAATAAATAAATACTAGCATGTTGATCTCAAAGTTGGGTGTCTACTGAATCTTTCATCCGGTTCAGCAACACTGTTGAAAACCTTTCCTCGTACTGAAATAGTGTGATGCCTCTATAGGCCTCACATTTGCTCAGATCTCCTTTCTTTAGTATATTGATGAGGTGTCCTTTTTTCCAGTCTGTCGGCACCTGTTCCTCCTCCTAAACCTTCCCAAATAGAACGTGGAGCATGTTTGCAGTTAATTGTATGTTTGACTTTAGTGCTTCAGCTGGTCTGTTTCGTGATCTTGATGCATTGCCACACTTGATTCGTCGGATGATTATCCTGATTTCTTCTATTGTTTGTGTAGTGACAGCTATCGGAATGTCTGCGTGTGATGTTTCGACTTCCGGTGGGTTTGGTGGAGCTGGTTTATTCAAGAGTTCTTCAAAGTGCTTTACCTGTATGTTCCAATGTTTTTGAATCTCGGTGACTTGCTTGTCTTTTTTTCGCGACCGTCCGTTTTGGTTTACTACATTTGCCAGCGGGCTTCTTCGTTGTATCACATAGTTTTCTCATATTTCCTTCATTTGCAGGTTTCCGCTGTTATTACTATATCTATATATTCCTGCCTGTCGGCGCTAATTCTCCTCTTCACGCTCTTGACTGATTCTGTATATTCGGTCTGTACCTTGGCTTTCTTTGCTATTGTTCGGCTGTCGTTAATTGCTTTCTTATGCTTTTCTTGATTCTTATCCAAACTATCGATAGAAATCCATTCTTTGTGATGGTGCCTGTTGTGGCCCAGCACCTCCTGACACGTTGAAGTTAGTGCTTCTTTGATCCCTTTCCAATTGTCCCCCATAGTAGTTTCTTCTTCTTTGAGTAGATCCTGTAAGGCTTGGAACCTGTTTTTGAGAGAGCTATCTTGAATTCATTTAGTTTGTCAGTATCTCGAAAGAATGCTGTATTGAACCTTTGTAATGCCGTTTCTCCAGTTGTTCAATGCTGCTTTAGCTTCAGTTTCATCTTGGCAACCATCTGGTGGTAATCCGAAGCTATATCCGCTCCTCTCCTGGTTCTCATATCTTCCATTGGTCTCCTGAATTTTTTACTGATACAAAGATGATCGATTTGATTCTCTTTAGTGTGATCCGATGAGACCTATGTATCTTTGTGTATATGTTTGTGTGCGAATATTGTACCGCCTATAACCATTTTGTTGAATGCACATAGATTTGAAAATCTCTCACCATTTTCGTTCCTTTTTCCCAGTCAGTCTATATCGTCCCATGATATCTTTATATCCGGTGTTGTCCATTCCGACTTAAGCGTTTAGATCTCCTACCAAAATAATCAGGTTCTTTCTTGAGCACTTCACCATGATCGATTGTAGAGTCTCATAAAACGGATCTTTATCGCCGTCATTGCTATCATTGGTAGGTACATAACACTGGATAACATTCATTGTAATCCATGAGATTCTCACCCTACAAGTGGTTTTCGTGCTTCTTTGGACAACATCAGAACAACTCCTTGAGTATATGGTGAATTTTCCCCTTCGTGAACGTAGCATAGTAGCATCTCTCCCGTACCTAACATTTACTATCCAGCTTGGGTTCAAGGGGTTTCGCTATTTCTGAGCACCTCCAAGTTGTATCTCCTCATTCCAATAGCTGTTTGATTAGTCTTGCAGATCTCCCACATTGTCCAGACATTCCATTTACCTGTATTAATTGTTGATCTTGTTGTTAGATCACTTCAAATATGAGTCCACATAAGTAATCACCTTGTTCTGCCAATGTTGAAATTGACAAATTACAAAAGTTTAAACGTTTAGCAGAAGTTTCGGCGTTAATCCCGTACAAAAATTCATGAATTAAAATGTCACATATTTAGGTTTTCTTCCTTTATGGTCAACACTAGACTAATCGCGATGTCGACATTGAATATACGTATAAGTCTAGTTTCCTATCAACACTGTTGAATATCGTAGGTGCACCCATCAGCATAATAAAAGCATAACTATTTGTTTATACTTAATACAATACTTCGAAATATTAAGTTTCGAACTTAAAAAAAATTTCACTCAGTGAAGCTGTTTAACTGGTGTTCAATGGGCCAGGGGTTATCTAAACTAGATACCAAATAGCAAATCCTTCACCAGATAATTACAAGAAAGCTATTACGTAAGTAAACTGTTATATCACTATAAAAATGTTTAATATTAACACATTAAGATGTCCCAACAGTAATCATACTTTGGGATAGTTGAGCTGTCTGTTTTATTTCCGAAATAACTTCTGGAGAAATTCACTTATAGAGAATTTATAATTGATTATTTTCGTTAATGTTATTAACGCACCATGTCAAAATGAACTTGAATTATATTGTTTAATTATCATATTGCTTAGTATAGAAAAATTTTCTAACCCTATATCAAACTAATTTTAAATTTCACATTAGACCGTATATTAATATGTTCCCGAATAACCTTCATGTTGGATTAAAACCATTATCTGAAAAAAATTCATCGATCTTAAATTCATCTACTTCAACGCAATCTATTCAAAGTTATAACAATGGGAATAAACAACAAGGTGTTGATCAAATAACTAACAATAATAGTAATACCTTCAAGTTACCGATGGATACAGATATCGTCTTCAAAAATCCTAGACATTATGTGAATTTATTAGGTTTACAGAAAAGTGGATTTACAGTTTTAAATCACTCAGATGCAACAGTGTATTATATCAATTTTTCACCAAATAATTCAGAACGTAGATGTTTTGTAGACCCAACATCTGTACAATCATCAATGTAAGTCTTTGTTTTTATTTTAATGAATAATAACAGCAATAACTTGTTATTTTGTTTAATTGAAAATAACAAAATAGATGATGAATTTTCTAATGATAAATTTATTAGGGTTCAACTTTTAAAGAAATAGATATTGTCGAATCTTTGTTGATTATTAACACGGATGCGAATTTCTGTTAGCTGATTAGTGTCTATATTAAACGAACATAAATTTATAATGTTGTTGTTAGTCCAAATAGACATTTCAAGTTAAAACTCAAAACTTTTGATTATCTTCACAAATGAGAGGCTTTGAAGAAAAATTTAAATTATTTACTTTTGCTTCATTTTACTTTCTACCAAATATTCCTGTTCCAAGCCTTCATTATTCTACTGGTATTTCAGAAAACTGTATCAATATATGAATAGTTTTTAATGAATTCATTCTTTAAATTACATAAGCTAATCATTATATTTTGATTTTTATTTATTACCTAGTTCTGATTCCTCTCTGGTGCCACGTGTTCCAGCCTCACTACCTATTCTTTCAGATTCTTTTCTGGACAGACCACCGACTCCACCAAGGCTGACAACATCTACGAATAATGTTACTTCCAATGGTACTTCATCTATTCCCAAAACACCACAATTACATTACGCTCATCTTACACTATCGGACGAAGTAAATAGTACAATGACAAATATTTGTCATCATAAAACATCGGATGATATAATGAATGATGGTAATATTTGTAAGAATAAGACCAATCTTCACTCATCTCAATCTTTGCAGTGTGCATTATTTTCTGACCCAAATTGTTCTGAAACTGAGTTCCTGGATTGTAGCTGTAACCTAGTTGACAATAACTGTCATGACTGTTCCTCACAAGGAGTAAATTATGTAACTATAGATATGAGACAGACCAAAGCACTTTCTGAATTAGAACAAGAATTGCGCATGAGTACTGGATTAGTACGTAATGCTGGTTGTCATATACCATGGTCAGAATGTATCCTTCATAATCAGAACTGTGATAATGTAAAAAATGGTAACAGATTCACAGTGCTACGCAGGCATTTCACAATTCCATGCAACCTCCCCAGTTATTTCGCCAGGAAAAAAGATGACGTAAGTCTGTAATTCCCATTTGTTGAGGACGAAATTTTGTCATAAGGTATCTTTATGGGACATTATATGCCAATATTTTCTTGATTAAAATATCTATTGTTGCAGGTGTTTTAATCTGTAAGCTAGTCTCCAACTGACTGGAATTAGTAGGCGTAGCAAAACATCAACATCTCAGTGGGAATAAGAGTTCTGGGGATCGGTGGAAATAAATCTCGTACATCATGACTTAATTTTGTGAAAAAACAATTTTAAATTATACCAAGTAATTTAGAAAATTATAATCCTTAGAAGCTATTATCTTGGATCTAAATATGTCTTCTAATTCAGTTACAAACGTACTTGGAAAATTCTTCATAACACTTTGCTTCCTATTGTTCCTCTGTGTCAACTGTTTACTGAAAATAAGTGTATGTACTTCTTATTATCAAAAACTTTGTGTATTGTAAGTTATAATTTGCATGTACTCACTAATCTTTCTGTTGAATCTCCAAAATCAACCACCAGTGTTAAGCAGTTCATCTATTACGTTGAAAGTTATCATACAAATAGGCTGAATATCAAAACAGCGTGAAATAATAATTGTATTACATTAATTTTTAATTATTTATGTATTATTGGCCATGATAATAATCACGGGATGTTATATTTCTCCTATAACAGAAATATATTCTGAACAAACGAGAAGCATCTCTCATCTACCAGTCTCTTTTTAGATTTGCTACTATGACAATTGATTGACTGGTTGTGAATTCCATATTTTCATTGTTTGACTAATCTCGATGGTCACAGCTAGATATGATTAACGAAAGTAAGATTCATTTAAAGCATATCATCCAAAGTCTCCAACCATTGATTTCAGTTATCATACAAACCCTTTCCCAACCGGGTAGTCTGATACATACATAATAATGATTTCTTTTCTTTCAGACGGTTCATACATTAACAAGCTCTCCAACAAATTCACAAGGAAAGAAACAAAATCATGAAAATATCGCTTCCGTGACCAATCGAGTTCTAAAGCGTTTAATCCATTCCTTTCACCTCCCACATCACCAAAATTGACATTGTGGCAAAACTGCTTAAAGGCAAATCAGTTGCTTCTATTTTTTTTTGTATTTATCCCTAATAAGTGCATCTAATGTTTAAATCAAAGTGATAACATCTTATCCTTTATTCATCTAAAGAATAGCACTAAATAACATCTGCTTAACACAAAGATCCATTTAATATAAATAATAAACTGTTTAACTTGACCAATGTGTGCACCATTAATTAATGTTGCAGAAATATGCTATTTTTGTATTACATTTTACATATATATATTTCTTTATCGATCTTTTTTAGATCAAAGTTATTTTTGTTCTCTTTTGTGCATTCTTTCCTATACACATTGCCGTTAAACAGTCATTCTTTTTAAGTATCGGTTGTGGCTTTATTTATCGTTTCGGTTGGTTGTGTATGTGTTAAGCACAATCAGGCTATTTAGTCAAGTTAAAATTCAATTAATTTACTGTTTCAGAGTGAGTCACATACTTTTAATGAACTGTCATTCAGATTTTGTATTTGACGGTTCGATTAACTCGAATTGAAATTAGTTTAAAGCTTGGCACATTTTTCATTAATGTAACTACTGCCTATTAAAGTCTGACGCTATTTGAGTACCCAGCAAAAATCCGTTCTCCTGTTATAACACGAAGTTCAGATATTTTTTTCAAATGTAACTAATTTGAAAAATATCCGTGCAATTTAATATTTAACTGATCGTACTTGTATATAATCTATAAATCATCAAATCTATATCTGAAACGAACGATAGTGATTTATAAATCATCTTTTTGTTAGGTCCTTACTTTGTGCGTGTAAATTTTTTAGTTTCAGACCACTGACTGACGTAATTAAATTTTCGTACTAAAATTAACAATTAATCAGGGAAGAAAATAACATTTAACTGGTTTGTTGGCTATTTTTTTTTAGTACATATATAAACCTAAGGTTCCGTTCCAAGAGGAACGTCGCAAAAAGTTGAAAAGCTGAACGATTTCGAAACTTGACTACGCGTCGATGAATCACCTCGTAATCGAAATCATAAATCTCTAGCTTATAATTGAAATAACACTGACTCACACTTCGAATTTAGGAGTTAAACATTCATAGGAACCTGAATAATATAAGCCATTTGCTGTTGTGAATTGAGTTTAAATTCAGTATTTTCTGATTATGTAAGATTGGGAGATTCTATTACGAAATGGGATCCAGACAGACCGGATTAATAATACACATACAAATTTATCAACAATCCTTCTTACTGTTGAAAAAGAGAGAATATGAGTTTTTGGAGGAAGATATTTTAATAAAGACCCCAGAAGAAATAATTTGCACTCAAGTTTATTCAATTATAAATCAACTATTCAATGATGTTTGATTACTTATTTTATGAAACTGAGCATTTGTCACTCGATACAAAATTACACGGAATTAATCAATACGAGGGAAAAAGTAAATAACTGAGTATTGAATTATCGGTACAAGTGAAAACACATTCAAAGCCAATGAATAGAATTTAGTAGGAACAAATTAATACAACGAAAAACGTAGAAAGGTGACTGGATGAAAATCACCTTAAATTGATGTGTCATATATTTTTATTTCTTTCATCCTTTATTTTAATTGAATTTGAAGACGCTATTATCTTGTTATTCCGTAGCTCTTTCACTTTAATAGATTTCTGCTCTTTTTTCGCAAGGTTATTGTACATGCATTTAACTGCATATGTTGGACGCTTAAATTGATTTTCTTTGATCTTTACTAGTGAATCTTCTATGCACGATTTGTCTCTTAAAGTGACTGAGATCAGTAGAGAAAAGGATGTTGTATCCAGATATCCAAGCTATGATTGAATCCATTGATGTTAGTTTGAAATAAATAAAACCTATACAACTGCGTTTTAGTCGAGTCACAGAACTTTGCAAATTTTGAACGAAAATCTGCTCATAGTAAGGATTGGTTAGATATTGATGTAGGAACTAGGAGTATCTTAATGAACCAATGTTATAGTTACTTCGTACTTTAGAAACTCAGAGTCTAAAGATCATTACCTTTGAAATAAAATACGTATGAATAGCTTTGAGTTAGTTAGTTAGACTGAATTAAGTAGCTAAAGCTCCATTTCTAGACTTAGACTAGTATTTAGACTGCCTAATTTTAAATTGGTTAGGAAGAATATCATATTAAAATTTAGTAGACGTTCTTACTCAATTAACGATCCAAAGTTTAGATATATTTAAGCCTCCGATTCTACTGGAAAGTAGGATGCTGATATATAATGCAACAATGACAAACAATTTAAATTTAAGAGACGGAATTAATTAACCCAATTTCAAATAAGGTCGAATTTTATTGATAAAATTATACTTCCAATTGCATTATATGTTTCATTGCTTCAAGAAACTATAGGTTAAAGACAAAACTCTGTTTCAATTGAATACAAAGCACTGAAGAATATCAGTAGAATATACAAAAATATTTTTAAGCGATACAGTGCGATAAGTAAATAAGTGTATCAAATCATTTTGCTCATAGAAAATAAATTAAATGAATTCATGTAACGGCATGACTAATATTTTGTGCAGTCACTTATGTATTCATCCAATGTGAAAACCAATCAATTTTTGTTGTCCATGCACCAGAGTAGGCTTCATTAAATTTATGGTGAAAATATGCAAGTGCTTCCTGTTCATTATCAATTTCGACAGCTAAAGTCTTTCTTACATGTTCCAAATCACACACTGAAGTTAGTTCGGGTAATCCAGAAGGTAACATCATAGCTAATAATGTTAATATGAGATTTGAATGTTTACGTAACAGAAGGTAAGCTTTACCACATAAATCAGTGAATTCTTGAAAATACATATTACTGATAGTATTATGAACGACTGATGATGGAGTATTAGTTGTGGTTGTTATTGTCCCAGCATCAGGATTACCACGTGCAATTACTGTAATAAAATCTTTTGTCAAAACAAATGGTACACGTTCACGAGTAAAACCAAACTTCTTCTTACGATTATCTAAAATGTGCCCAAAATCAATATGAAACAATCGCCCAGTTGAATCAACCATTATATTATCTGGATGTCTATCACGAATTCCTAAAATAAATGTAGCAACACAATAACCAGCACATGACATAGTAAATGTACGTATCATCCGTTCATAGGCAGAATTATCACCTAATGGTGAATGATTTAACTGTCTTGCCTTTTGTTTAGCATGTTGCATTAACCATTTATATAACTGTGATGAATCAATTTGTAAAGCGGAACGTAAACGTTCACCTTGTATAGACATTACAGTACGTGAATCACGTACCGCTTCAATAATTCCCATTTCATATCCTGTTGCAAAACAACCATATGATGTTAAGCACATATCCATACCTTCTTCTTTCCATATACGGTCCATTAACTACAAAATAAATATAAAACTACAGTTACATGCATATTTTTTCTACTGAATAAATAAATGATATTAATTTACGTAATAGTTGGTGGTTGATGGGTTAATAACCTTATTGATCATAAGGATTAACTGAATCTCATTTGTTCAGTCATTTGATGTGGTCAGAATTCAAGGCGTAAAAGCAATATAAAAGATTAAACTGGTGTATATGAAAAACTGTTCGTAAAATAATCATCACCATTACTTGTAATCGTCCGAAATTAAATATGGCATGAATTGTTAAGTCTTCGGAGTTTTTTGACATTATTATGTCTGCCCAGTGCAATTTAATTATCAATAGCTCTTCAGTTGACCTCAGTGCGTAATGACATTACCCTTAAACCATGTTTGATAATTTTATCTAAACTATATCATACTCAAGTTCACACTGCAGTGAACAGAACACGGGTGGGTAACAATCGAATGTATTTGACAACAAATTACAGAACTTGTTAATAAAATCTAACAACCATATATCAAATGCCCAATTTGCAAAATGTCCATCAATTGTCTCAAAATGACTCAGACTTCATTGTTTTTGCTTTTTCATACAAATTGCATTCTTCCCTCATCCTTTACTGTTCAATCTTTTTGTCGCTCCGCTGCCAGACATTCTGTTCACGACTAACGTCATATATTACTTATGTCTACATAAGTAGCACACAACAGGAGTAACTAAAATCGGTTGGTCTAATTGTATAAAGAATCTAGTTACTAATATTTTTAATCATTTTCTGTGTCTCAAATTAAGTTATGGCATTGTGTATGCATTGCAAGAAACATGTATTGTATGTAACAATTCTTATCACACATCTATGCAACCTGTTTTTGTTTCACCAGTAAATAAGTCATTATACTCCGATCAAGTATTGTATAAAGTTGTATGCAATTACATTTCCTAATAATTATGATTGTAAGCCTATTTTTTGTGGAATGTCATTAAACGCACGGCGATGCTTGTATTTTTTTATTCCGTTTCGTCCAATTAAATTATTAGTTCTAAAATGTTAATAATTAGTTATTTCTTAAAATTCATATAAAATGTATTTATCTATTTATTATTATTATTATTAATGGCTTGTCGATAGAGCCCCTTTTCAAATTACGGACGCTAATAACGTACAAAGTGCTAGCTCTATCGTTTATCACGTTGTCACGGACACCAATAACGCATTCTTGAGTACATTGCATCTGGTAGCGTTCCAATCACTTGAAGCGTTAAAGAGCGCAATCAAAACTTATGAAAGGGCGACGTACTACCACTATGCAGTGCGCGATTCTCATTTCCATCATGATCAAAAGCCGTATATTAAATATGTTTGTTTGAGAAATGGCCGCAGAAAACCTTGCGGATCTTCACAGCCGATTGGACGGAGATAATTTGAATACTGTTATTATATTGTTCATGAACGACTGCTATGAGCACTTAGTGTCGAGCCATCACTTATTGTAAGTTTATTGAAGGTTACTGGACTGTTGTTCGTGGGAATGTGCATAACAATCATGAGTGTAATTCCCTGAAGTGTGACAATTCTTGGATGCGCAGGTTAACGGACGTGGAATTCGAAACAAACTGTGACATATGCAATCTCGCTTAGCCGCCAAGTGAAACTGGTGATAGAATCACTTGGTATTTTTGTTGTTGCAATACAGTGATCCATTCGTTTTGTGCCTGGGACCCACAACCCCAATTACATGGATTTCATTATGCGATAACGGAATAATGGTGACTCTACTGTTCAGGACAATCGAAAATGTTAATAGACCGAATGAAGGTCTTTTTGGGGCCACGCACAATTTGTTTTAAATTCTATTTTTTCAATTCTTTCAAATTACATCAAAAAATTTTGTTAATCTCATTCCATATACCTCCGTTATTTTTAAATGACAGTTCCGCGAAGTAGTTTCATTTGATTCATTTCACATTATTTCGGTTAGAAATTCACTAGCCGGTGTGTTCTTCAAACATGAAAACGTAAAAAAAAACGTTCAGCTCCATTTGTATTAGTGTTCTTAGATAGATAATTCCCATTTACTGGTTGAAATCATGAATCTATTGGGGCTAGACCACTATGGAAAACCTGGAAGCACTGGACGGCCGTTTCGTCCTAGTATGGGACTTCTCAGCAGTGCGCATCCACGACCCCGCTCCTCGCTGGAGCCGTCCAGTGTTTCCAGGTTTTTCATGGTGGTCTAGCCTCAATGGATTCATGATTTCAACCAGTGAATTTTCTAAAATCTCCACACAATCCCTTCTGATAATAATTCCCATTTAAACATTAAAAATTAAAAACGCGAAGTTCAGCGAAGGGATCTCTTTCCAACGAATTTACTATCAAGCTATGCAATCGTATATATATTAGTTTTTTTTGTAAAAGTACTAATTCCGTGAGAAAATGTGAACACAAATAACCAAGATGACGTAATAGAAAGATTATAATACTAGATTACGTAATACGAATAATAACAATAGATTCAGTGAATATAATGAGATGATTAAAATGTTTTTGTTACAATAATTAAAGGTCATAGAGGTGTAAAAATAAATAAGGTGATATGATGAACATTTACGAATAAAAACAATGAGAATATAAGACATAAGTAAAGGGGGAATGCAGTAATAATAATAAGAGCTTCGGCTATTTTTAAGAGTTGGATACGAAGAAATCTGGGTAGATTGGAACAAATCATATAAACAACCTTAAAATCAAACTGTGGGTCCGTAGAATGGTTACAGTCGATTAGGTGTTCAAGTATAGAACTCTTAACGGCTTTCCTTTCACCCTTATAGAACCAAACTTTTACAAAAACAAAATTTTTCATATATATACGATTGTACAGCTTTGATAATAAATTCGTTGAAAAGAGATCCCTTCGCTGAACTTCGTGTTTTTATTTTTTAATATTTTTAGATAACCAATATCTACTATCTTAGCATATGGCTTTATGTTAACTGTGAATTAAATGAACTGTACTGTAAGTTGGAAATTAGGTACTATGAGTAGTTCACTAGTACAACAAAATTATGTCTATGGTAAAGGCCCTGGTACGGCCGGGAATGGGAAGAGTCCGCTCTCCCTCTCGAAATGCTCTCACATGGCCACGCGTATATAGGCTCTGCCAGGGAAGTTCTACTCACTGCCTTCTCGTGGCGGAGGTGTTGTTTACAAAAATGAGAGGACGAAAAGCGAATGTCCGGCGCTTTAACCGGATCCCAAACCAATGATGCACATGGGTTCCAGTATCCTGAGTGAACAAATGGCGTATGAACCAATCGTTGGTCACCGGCTACCATGGGACTGCACCTCCTTACGATGCTCCACTGCCTTGTGGGTCAGACGTTCAGGTCGAAGGCTCGGGGTGTGGCCCCCTAAGAAACCACCTGCTTCGGTTTGGGCACCCGGGTAGTATCACAGCCCTCACACATATCAAATGAGATTTGTGTGGCGCATATGTATTTGGTGCCTCCTTGTACCAATACCTATTTGTTAAAATAAATAAAGAAATAAATAAAATAAAGGTCAGCTGAAATAACACTGAATTATAATCAAACCATAGTGATTAAGCTATATAATCATTTGAAATTAATAATGATAATGTGATTATTGCTCACTGAACTGTCTAACAATAGTACATGCAAAATTTAATAAGAATGTTTCAATGTTTTTTACATTGTTCAGCTAGACAAATGTAGGCTTCTATTTATTACATTTAAATTAAACATTGCTAAATTTTCAATTCATATAGTTGACCTTATTCACATTTAACAGTATAATCGACGTAAAAATTGATTATGTCAGACGTAGGCCTGTTAATTTGCGTTTAATATGACCAATATTTCAATTACCTGCCAAAAAGTTTTGTAATGTTAAGCTGTTTCAGGTTTAATATTAACCTATTCAAATATTACGAGTATGTACATAGAATTTGTAAGTGTCCTCTTTTAATATGTTTAATAAATAAAACCGATGATTTGAAAAATGATTCCAGACGTTATGAATAAATAACGTATGCGATGTCATTTACAAATGACATCAGAAAATTAAGATGACGATTTAATTAAACTGCATACTTACAAAACACTTACCAAATACAATAATTGAATACATAGAGAAGCATATTTATCGTAATTATAAACTGCTCAACTACATAGAATGGACAATGTATAGTACAAAGCAATTTTTTACTTTTAGTGGGTTTACAGAATAACGCAATTACAATCTTGCGTTAATGAACGATACTCCTTTTCAAAGAGAAACTAAACTAAGAATTACTGTTAGCGAAATAATCCAATCATAAATATTGTTTGCTTCTTTCTAAGAAGTTATGATTAAATTAGGAAAGCGTACAAATTTATTCATTCACCGATTCTTCACATTTAGCATGATTAATACATACCCTATTCCTTATCTTATCACGATCATTTATTCATATGTTTACATGCACATAAAGATTATTACAAGATTAAACTCTGTGTTAAAATAAACTACAAAAATACTACAGTGAAAATCAGTTTACTACTTGTGCATTAAACATTCTATTTCCTTTTAAGTTCAGTAATTATTATTATCAACTATTAAAAACGGTTATCAGTTTTCCTCAAATTTTATTTTGATGATATACATATTATTTCCCCCGTCGCGATACCTAACGACTTCAATTACATTTCTACGTGATTTTAAAAAATAGACATCAATTCTATTCGACTTTTCTCCTATACTTCTGTCTGTGAGATAAAAACTTTATTTACATTTTTTCGGAGGTTAAAATTTCTTATTAAAACTCGGATGGAACGGTTGACAATTATTGCACGGCGGTTTTGATTTCCTGCCCCCCGCTGACGAGAAACTTTACGATGTAATTAAAAAACTTCGCCTGGAGTCCTTTTCGGGGGGCTACTGCCGGTCTCAAGCCCGGATAAAGGAGGAGGATTGGGCATGGGGTTAGCGACCCCATCCCGTAGAAAACTAACTCGCTAAAAAAACGCTAACCAGAAAAAATTATTCAAACCATTTAAACTCTGCCCTGGGAGTCAGGTCTTCGTTTAGAAGAATTATGACGCCTCACGATGAAAGCCGAGTTTCTTCGGAAGTCACGAGGCCGATGCCCCTTCTGACAACCAGAGCAACCATTTATTTAGGTACATGGAATGCTCGCACAGTGTGGGAGACTGGGGGAGTTTTCCAAATTGCTGCGGAAATGAGGAGATACAATTTAGAGGTGCTTGGGATCAGTGAGACACATTGGACGCAAGTTGGACAACAACGACTAGCTTCAGGGGAGCTGCTGTTATACTCCGGACATGAACAAGAAAATGCCCCACATACACAAGGAATTGCATTGATGCTGTCCAAACAAGCACAAAATGCACTTATAGGATGGGAATCTCATGGACCAAGGATCATCAAAGCCTCCTTCAAAACAAAGAAAACGGGGGTTACAATGAACGTCATCCAATGCTACGCGCCTACCAACGACCACAATGAAGACGCTAAAGATCAATTCTACGATAGGCTGCAATCAATCGTCGAGAAGTGCCCAACAAAGGACCTGACTATTCTGGTGGGAGACCTTAATGTCAAGGTTGGAATTGACAACACCGGATATGAAGAGATCATGGGACGACACGGACTCGGAGAAAGGAACGAAAATAGTGAGATTTGCAAACCTATGTGCCTTCAATAAACTGGTCATAGGCAGGACTATATTCCCACATAAACGCATACACAAAACCACATGGACTTCACCGGATCACACCACACAGAACCAAATCGACCATGTCTGCATCAACAAAAAGTTCAGGAGGACGATGGAGGACGTGAGAACAAAGAGAGGAGCTGATATAGCATCAGATCATCACTTGCTGGTCGCCAAGATGAAATTGAAACTCAAGAGGCACTAGACAACGGGGAGGACAATATCACAAAAATTTAATACGGCTCTTCTTCGGGATACTGACAAACTCAATAAATTCAAGATAACCCTCAGCAATAAGTTCCAAGCCTTTCATGATCTACTCAATGGAGAAGGAACTACTATGGAGAGCAACTGGAAAGAGATAAAAGAGGCAATCACTTCAACATGTCATGAGGTTCTGAGCCAAAAGAAGCACCATCACAAGGATTGGATCACGGTCGATACACTGGATAAGATTCAAGAAAGGAGGAACAAGAGGGCAGCAATCAATACCAGCCAAACAAGAGCAGAAAAAGCCAAGGCACAGGCTGAATACACAGAAGTAAACAAGCAAGTGAAGAGGAGCATCAGAACTGACAAACGTAAATATGTGGAAGATTTGGCAATGACGGCGGAAAAGGCTGCCAGAGAAGGAAACATGAGACAACTGTATGAAACAAACAAGAAACTCTGGAAATCACCGTAACTCAGAACGACCAGTGAAAAACAAGGAAGGCAAGATAATCACCAACATTGAAGAACAACGAAACAGGTGGGTAGAACACTTCAAAGAACTCTTGAATCGATCAGCCCCACTAAACCCACCCAACATCGAAGCAGCACTCACGGACCTCCCAATCGATGTTGGCCCACCAACAATTGAAGAAATCAGCATGGCTATCAGACAAATCAAGAGTGGCAAAGCAGCAGGACTAGACAGCATTCCAGCAGAGGCACTGAAAGCAGACGTAGCGGCAACTGAAAGAATACTCCAAACTCTCTTCAGAAAGATCTGGGATGAGGAACAGGTACCAAAAGACTGGAAAGAAGGACTTCTAGTCAGAATACCACAGAAAGGCGATCTCAGCAACTGTGACAACTACAGGGGAATCACTCTTCTCTCAATACCAGGAAAAGTGTTCAACAGGGTATTGTTAAACAGGATGAAGGACTGTGTAGACGCCCAACTTCGAGACCAACAGGCAGGATTCCGTAAGGATAGATCGTGCACAGACCAAATCGCAACTCTACGGATCATTGTGGAACAATCAATTGAATGGAATTCATCACTCTATATCAACTTCATCGACTACGAAAAAGCATTTGATAGCGTGGACAGAACAACCCTATGGAAGCTTCTTCGACACTACGGCGTGCCTCAGAAGATAGTCAATATCATACAGAATTCCTATGATGGATTAAACTGCAAAATCGTGCATGGAGGACAGTTGACAAAGTCGTTCGAAGTAAAGACCGGTGTCAGGCAAGGTTGCTTACTCTCACCCTTTCTCTTTCTCCTGGTGATCGACTGTATCATGAAGACATCAACATCTGAAGGGAAGTATGGGATACAGTGGACAGCTAGGATGCAATTGGATGATCTAGACTTCGCAGATGATCTGGCTCTCCTATCGCATACGCAACAACAAATGCAGGAGAAGACAACCAGTGTAGCTGCAGCCTCAGCAGCAATAGGTCTCAATATACACAAAGGGAAAAGCAAGATTCTTCGATACAACACAGCATGCACCAATCCAATCACAATTGACGGAGAAGCTTTGGAAGATGTAAAAACCTTTACATATTTGGGCAGTATCAACGATGAACACGGTGGATCTGATGCAGATGTGAAGGCACGGATCGGCAAAGCAAGAGCAGCATATTTACAACTGAAGAATATCTGGAACTCAAAACAATTGGCAACCAACACCAAAGTCAGAATTTTCAATACAAACGTGAAGACAGTTCTACTGTATGGGGCGGAAACCTGGAAAACTACGAAATCCATCATCCAAAAGATACAGGTGTTTATTGACAGTTGTCTACGCAAAATACTTCAGATCCGCTGGCCGGACACTATTAGCAACAACCTACTGTGAAAGAGAACAAATCAGATCCCAGTGAAGGAAGAAATCAGAAAGAAGCGCTGGAAGTGGATAGGACACACATTGAGGAAAGCACCGAACTGCGTCACAAGACAAGCCCTCACATGGAATCCTCAAAGCCGAAGGAGGAGAGGAAGACCAAAGAATACATTACGCCGAGAAATGGAGATAGATATGAGAAAAATGAACAAGAATTGGATGGAACTAGAAAAGAAGGCCCAGGACAGAGTGGTTTGGAGAATGTTGGTCGGCGGCCTATGCTCGATTGGGAGTAACAGGCGTAAGTAAGTAATTAAAAAACTGAGTCACTCTTAGTTGAGTGTGACTGGTTAAAAATCAGTTCCAATATCCACGCACTACACACTCATTTATGGATGCTTGAAATAAATATATCTTCCATACACTTTGTACTTAGGCTTTTCGAGTTCAGGATTCAGACAATGGATACATATGAAATGAATGTGTTGGATATATATGTTAATTGGGATTAAATAAGGGTTACGAAAATGGTGAACCAAGGTACAAACTAAATGCAACATACGGGAAAACCACTTATTACAAAAAGTAGGTATGATAAACTGTGTACACGTAAAATGAAGGGAAACATACTTTGAGTAATTGAAGTGTCAGCATATCTTGACGGAGATCATCACCATGTTTAAAAATCAGTTGATAGTTTTGATGATGAAATTGTGCCAGTCTATCAGGATTTGTCCATACAAGCCATAAGGGTCTTTTTTTAGATCGCTTAACATCACATTTATGAATTAATAATTCACCTAAGATATCACTTAAACATAACGGAGATGGTAACCATTGAAGATCATGTTGGGTTTCTGTTCGAGACATCTCTTCACGGAATAGTTCACGTTGTTCATCCTCACTAGTTAATTCTTTTAAACGTGTACTTAACGCTTCTAAACGATTAAGAGCAGTTACTTGACGAGAAAGTAATACTAACATTGGTCCACAACCTCGACAAAATGCTTCTAATATTAGACTGAATCGAAGGCGTATATCTGGCAAATGAAGTTCAGAACGTAAATGCCAGAATAATCGTGAACCAATTTGCAGGGGATTTTTTAAAGCACGATATAAGATAAAACGAGTTAGTGCATTGTCCAAATAGGCTTCAGCTTTAAGCGCCTAAATAATAAATAAAAGGATAAGGATATATATATGCCTCACATAAAATAAGTATTTACTAAAGTTGTAAAAAGCAATATAAACTAAGATTGGAATATTAAATAATAGTTAGGCGACAACGCGTTTTATCCTTCACTGAAGAAATTTAAGTTCATTTCCAAATGAGTTCACACGAAGAAGTATAACTTCAACTATGATTTCCAGCAAGTATTTCTTTCCGTATTTTCGATGAGCACTGAATATGTATGCCATTTTTAGTTATAAGAAAAATGTCAAGCTATATCTCCCCTTCATAATACTAATAATAGGTTTCAGATATAATGGCAACAAATAATTATCACAACCACCATTTGTAACAATTGACAAACATTACAACGTTATCCTTCATTTCAAAAAGCTGAATTGTTAAACTACTACTATTGTTAGATATCCTGAGTCAGTAAAAATTTTAATATTATGAGTGCAGAAAAGATATACGCAAGCTAAGAAAATGTTGCCAGATGCCTTTAAGCATCGACACTCAAACACAAGCTGGTAGACTACTAAGTTATGGATTTTTCTCATTGAATGAGACCATTCCTACTGACATTAGGGTTAATAAAAGTTTGTACAATATGACTATCATAAACTAGATATGTGACAACTTGAGCCTATGAGTATATGTGCCAGATTCTAAGTTAATTATGACGGACGAACTAACTGAATACTGATTATTTTGAAGATCTTCTGATTCTATACACTTGGCTTGTAAGTGCAAGTCTCATACTGACAGCAAAATATCATCGGGGATGCAATAGTCAATTGTTTAACTTGGATTTTTAGCTTGATAGTGTATAACCGACTGTTTATGTAAATATACTAAAGTAGTAGATCTTCCAACTGTAAGGTCAGTGGAACACTGACACTACTGATTTCGGATGTTGAATATATACAGAACAGTCGAGGGATTTTATGAAAATTGTATACTGAAAAATAAAATACGAATTCCAAGATATAACACATCAACAGTTGCGTTTTCCACTGTTTTTTGGAGAAAATATCCAATATATAGAAGAGCTTAAAAATCCACATAGTTTTATGATGGAATATGCAGGCTCCACATCAAAAGTGAACTATAGTTAGATTATTAAAAAATGGTATATATGATTGAGAATTTTTGAACATCCTACGGTTTGAAACCAAAAAAAAAAAGTTATAGAAATGTGAATGTTTCCAAACATTTTAGGATCAATGACGTAGTTAAGAATTTATATGATTCAGTTTCGTATAGAAGAATCAAATTTTTACCATTAGAAATTTTAAAAACAAGTTTGTTCACAATGTACAATCATGAAACACCCTTTGTTATTTTCGGTATAAAAGTGTGAAGATCACTGAATTTCATTGAAATAATGAATCGATCCAAATTAGATCACCATTGAAAACCTGGAAGTACTGGATGGCCGTTTCGTCCTAGGATGACACTCAACACCAGTCCCTATCCATGATCCCGTATGTGCTACTCAAACCCAGGACCTCAGGTCTCTTGTGAGAACACTTAACCACCTCTAGACCACAGAGCCGGCATCCAACAGCGTCGATGCCTAATCTCAGTCAATCCACGACATTTCGCGACCGTCTCCGATTGTCTATGGTGGGTAACTGCCTCACACCCGATACGCATTAGCTCTACTGGTCACAGCTCTCCACGAAAACGCCGGAAATTTCCTCTTGAAGCTAGTCACTAGTGAGCACATGATAATTATCAGTATGAAGTTTTGGAGCTTGTAGAATTTCACTGAAAAACAATGCTGTCACGGAATGAAAATTAATTTACTGATTGTTGATTGATACTTTACCAGGAATGAATGAGCTACCTTGTAGTTGGTAACAGCATAGGAATCTGACTATTGAATCCTCTGATCTGTCTCAAAAGGGTACACGCTGATTAATCTGTTTTCAACCAATTGACGCTAGTGAACTAGTAGAGATGCTAGAAGATTTTCATGTAAACTCTAATGGTTTTACTAATGGATCTTTGTTGTTTGGGTTGTTGAAAATATGAAATATTCAATCTCAATTCTCAATCCGATTTCAGAAACGTCGAGTGAAGTATGATATCCAAGGGATGCTAAACAGTAAAATAACATAGCAAAAATGATCATAAAACAAACAGATAATTTGTATCTTACCTGAACCAGTTGTAACAGATAATCACTCAATTCAGCATCACTAAGATTATACAAACTATTTACAGCTAATTCGCGCAAATATAAATCAGCTATTCCACTTGCTCCAACTTTTATTCCATTTGGTAAATCAATAAGATTTGAATTACTTCGTGTTAAATCGAATGCACCAAGTAAACGTAAAGCGATGTCAACACTAAGTGGTTGTGGCCATTGATGTATAAGAGTGTAGAATTCTGCTAATGTATCACGACCACACCAATTAACAACTTGACATATCCATGGTAATGCTGAAGGTAAATTATTTAAACACCAATAACGACCACGCCATAAATAATCTTTTTCTTGTTCACATAATTCATATAATGGATCACGATTAACTATTTCACGTAATCTTGATTCTAATATTTTATTAGTTAAATTTGTTACTGATGAAGTAATAGTGTTATTCTGAAAAGATTTATTAGACACAAATTCTGATGGTATATCTCCTTCATAAGGATTATTATGAATTGTTAAATTATTATTTGATTCTATGCATAAACAAGCATCCACATCACCTATTTCACTTGTGCAAAATGAATAATCTACTTTTGTACTCTTAGCATGACCATCATTCCGTGATTTTAATGGATGACTATCTGAATAGGATTGGGATGAAGAGGAATGAAATTTTTTTGTATGATATGCATTGATAAAACAATTCACTGTTGGTCGACGAATACGACCTTGAGTTGGGTTATGAATTCTGATCTGCAAAAAAAGAAGAGCAAAGTAAAGAAAAGTGTGTGATAAGCTTATTTACAATAACCATAATTGATATGACTTGATGTGTTTTAGAAAATATCATAGAAGCTTGTATTATGAATCAGTGACGACGGAAGAAACACAAGTTATTGAATTGACGCAATCATATAATGTTAGAGAAAAAAATATTTCCTTTAGTGAACTGGTGGGAACTGCTGTTTAATAATGAATTGTATTCGTTGCTAAGTTTTCCAAACCTTTTCTATACCATCAACTAACGAGTAACTTTGATGTTGTATACTGGAAATCTGAACGAAAACGAAAATAACTCTAATATCGAAGAATGTAGCTAGTGAAAAGAATGTCAAGTTTGTAACCATAGTAAAAAAAATTCCCCCTTTGTTTAAACGATGGATAAAATAATACTTTATACACTTTGACCTGTATTGAAGGGTCGCATCAGTTGAAAGAGGTATGAGGACAAGTGTCACTTTCCAGTTATTCCTACCATGAAAGAATAGTCGTTTTAAAGCACCTGAAAAGGAAATCGGGTTAGGGGTGGTTATCTCAATTTGAATGTAACACTAGGAACCAACAAACAAATGACTGAACATGGCCGAACACAGGAGTTTTGGTCAGTAGTTCTTGATGTATTGACTCTAATTTCTAACCCTAACGTCCAACTGAAAATCCCAATCCTAATTCCTCATGCTAATTTATAACCCCAATAACTATATGGATATTCTCAAAGTCACTCATGCATCGCCTGAAGGTTGTCTATGTGCTAGTTTCTTATTCTCATAAATGCTTTGAGATGAATAAGTTATTAGCCCATATTGAAAAATGACCTATTGTAAATGATTTTACACTTCATTTTTCTCAATGTCAGACTATCTACATTAGCCCAAGACAGAAAAACGACACTACTGAAAGATAAACACCACTTAACTTATGGTAAGCCTTTCTTTCGATCTATCTTGGTTTTCTTAAATCAAAGGAATCTTTTCCTCTAACAAGAGAAATACATGTTTTAGACATCATTTATTTATTTATTTTATCGTTCGATACTTGTACGATTTGTAAAGTTATTTATATTGCCTATTATCCTACACTCGTCTTCATCATTTTTCCTGAACTTTTAAAAGGGAAATACACTGTATTCCTCAGAGTGTTGAGGGTTAAATTGTAGGGTGAGTGATGAATCTCTTAACGTTATTAAATGGTTGTGGACAGACATTTGAAATCTTGCAAATAACTGCTTAGTTTTATTCTGTCAGATCTAAACCATCCAGTTTACACCTCTCGCGCTTTGTTTCTTTATTTAGAAAGAAGCGCAGTTATATTAGAATTCGTGTATACACAAAATTAAAAAAGCTCTACAATACCATAACTAACGTCTCCTATGAAACGAAGAAATTGTAAGGGCTCTTGAACATCATATATATACTAAGCAAACAGTGTTGGATTGAGTCATGAACCGATCCAAATTAGATCACCATTGAAAACCTGGAAGTACTGGATGGCCGTTTCGTCCTAGGATGACACTCAACACCAGTCCCTATCCATGATCCCGTATGTGCTACTCAAACCCAGGACCTCAGGTCTCTTGTGAGAACACTTAACCACCTCTAGACCACAGAGCCGGCATCCAACAGCGTCGATGCCTAATCTCAGTCAATCCACGACATTTCGCGATCGTCTCCGATTGTCTATGTTGGGTAACTGCCTTCCGATCCATATCCATATAGATAAACTTATATGCTAGCTCAAACACTAACGAGAGTGAGAAGAATGAGAAATGACTAGTATGCTTAAATTGGTAAACCGAAGCAAGTGTACACAAACCATAAGTATAAATGAACCTGTCCTTCTGACCCAGACAAATATATGTGGGACGAAACCCTGAGTAGGTGTATGATTAGCTTCTTTCGAAAAAGTACCTAATTTATAATCTGTCACATACCGTTCGACCTTGAGATGGGACGTAAGCACAGTCACGTGTTATGTCTAGACTGGAACACACTACCGAATATCGTATCTATTTGTGTAAATAGTTGCCTGAACAATAAATATGTCCATTTTAATATTACTCCTGATCGCTCATTTTCACTGAAGGATGTATGTTATATAGTGCGCCAAGCTCCAATACACGTAGTACAATCATACCGATTGGTAAGTTAATCTAACAGTTTAAACTAACATATTCAATAAGAACGCATGGAATTTACTTGTTTTACCCTAAGTACGACTAACTACAGATGTAGAGTTAATTTATTCGAATATTTGCAATTAGGGTATTTAATTATGCTCCACTCACATCAGTCTGCTTTAGATGTGAAAAACAATAATGTCAAATGCAAACTTCGAATTGTTTATAATAATATTAATCGCTGAACAATTCCCATACAATTGTGTTTTAATATAATAATTTTGCAAAAACCATCTAGATTTGAACAAATAGTTTCACAATAGCTGGACCCCGAATTTATGGAAGACATTGAAAAGGAAATTATGCTTGTAAAACTTTCAGTGACTAAAATTACTACCGACTTTTGGTAGTTGTGATCTTTGATTATTTACTAGATGCCTGGACTAGATCATTGGCGAGATCATCGAAATCATTACATATACAATTTACACTTTTATATTTACGATATTTGTTGATGTCCATCTTTTCATTTAAATCATGATGTTTCAACCGATACAGAATAGTGGTAAGCTTCTATTTAAAGCGCCGTATAGACTAAGGTTACTCGGTCGTTTTTCAGTGCATAGTAAGTACGCAGCATCCCCTATTTTCGAGGATTTTTCAGTTCATTTAATGAGTAACTACCGCATACACGAGGCTATTATCACAAAAAAATTCATTTTACCATAAAAAGCTATTTATACCAGGCTCCTATGAACATGTCACTGTGGCATATCATAAAATACAAGATGAAAAACACAAATATAGTGAAATTTAAGGCTTGAAATAAAACCGTTGGAAATTGCACTCTTATATCCAGCACTCACTAATTAAATGAACAGGAAAATGCTGGAGACTCCAGATTTATTGAACACTAGGAAATGGCCGAAACAAGTCAGCAATCGTGCGATAAAATGATAGGATGGGAAAACCTTAACAGTTAGGTCTTTTACTTGTTACGTCCTCTACTTGATTACGGCAGGATACGATATACAACTAACGACACCCGAACGTAAAGAACCTCACAGTCACAAATAACTAGAGAATGAGCGACCTACAAAATTGATTTTCAGAAGGGGTTTTGTGGAGATTGTAGTAATTTTAATGATTAAGATCATGAGTCAGTTGAAGCTAGACCACCATGGAAAACCTGGAAGCACTGGACGGCCGTTAAGTGCTCGCGCGCGAAACCAGTAGATCCTGGGTTCGAATCTCGCGGGGGGCGAGGTCGTAGATGCGCACTGCTGAGGAGTCCCATAATAGGACTAAACGGCCGTCCAGTGCTTCCAGGTTTTCCATGGTGGTCTAGCTTCAACTGACTCATGATCTTAATCATTAAAATTGATTTTGTTTAAACGTTTATCAGACCTGGCCGTGCTTTTATTCTTGTGTTCAATATTTTGTATATAAGCGTGCCATTTTGTCAGACAAATAAACCTATTCTACTGGCTAGCTGTCTGATCTTCCTACATCAGTTCTATAGGGGTCTGAGGCAAATCATAAGGTCTCGTGAGGAATCGTCACTTGGCCACATCGTACAATTACATATAAACTACCAATCAGCATTTTTTTTCATTATAGAAGTCGAAAATTCATTCATAAAATCATGAACTTACTTCAGGATAAAAAGCGATAGTTAGAATGTGAGTTACATTGAATGAGTGGAAATGACTGTGATTTCATTTACAAATAGAACTTAATAAAATACTTAGAAATCAATCGAAATCTGAACAACATTTACAAATCATTAACTCAGAATCAAATGCACTTCACAAAGGATTCGTCATAAACGACAATCTTCATTTATATATATGACAGAGTGTGTGGAAAGTCTTGAAGTCATTGGCAACTAAAATTCAGTCATAGCTTTGCAGTCAAAACTTTCTGAAAATTCTTTAACTTTAAGTTCTAAATCTTGGTTTCATGATGTCTAACTAAGTCTACATCACATGCGTTAAATTAGTCTCCACAAGCCATACATCAAAAACCTCATTAGAACCCACTTAGCGAAAAAAAACTATGTGCTCACATCGTTGTAACTCAAATCGTGCGATAAATTTTTAGTCTAAATAGAAAGGAAGAAGTAAAATTGAAAATCCATACCTACTTATCAATCAGGAGATGACAAAGGAACGTCTGAAATTCTGTTTCAAGTTTAGTTATAATCAGTAGACAGAACACAAATATGATTACCAAGAAAACAAGTCAAAACAATAAAACAAAACGAAAAGACAGTCTAATCATTTGATTTAGGTTTATATAATCCATAGGATTTAAAAATATTTATTATTGAAGCTATTTACTTCATTTATTATAGATTATCAATGAGGTAGGTTTGAAATCAAACGTTAACAATGTCAAATTACTGGAAAAAATAACAGTACCAATTAACGTTCACAGAAACATTCAATATTTGACTCAGTTTCAAAATAACAAAACATAGAATCTAATTAAGGAAGTCTATATAGTAATATGCAATATTATTAATGTATGTCTATATAATGATCTTTTTATTTACGTATAATCACAAGAGAAAAAAGAACAAACTTTCCACAAAAACAAGAAATAGTTAACAATTAATACATATACATACACGACATAATTTGTTTTTTTTTCTTCTTGTAACTGAGTACACCATAATTGTTTAAAATTTCACAAATACATGATTGATTTTATGAACAACTCTGTTTACACATACATACATACATACATAAAAACGCACCATAAATGTCTACTATAACTCAAGTGTTTCTACGCTAAATTAACTTAACATTAAATGATTTATTGAATTGAATTAAACAAAAAGGCACGCCTTTAATTTTGCAGAAGACAATTAAATCTATAATCAACGTTTTTTTTATAGAGTTGAATATAAACACCAAGAATCAATTTAAACGGATGTACAATACGATACAATATGAAGAGCATCCTGAAACTTTTTTTTAACCATTCATAATGCTGTAAAAGTAGAGATACTTGATGTTTATATTAAATTCAAGAAAATATATTGAAATACTATGTCATAAAAATTGTATATGATATAACTGAAGGTTTTCAAATTTTAGCGAAGTTTCGAGGACTTACAAAAGTACCTTAAAAAGTTGTCTGCTTTAAAGTACAAGAAAAAAAGTGAATCACGTCCTCTTGACTTGAAAGAAACTATGCGTTGAAATATACGTTATGATATTAGTTAATAAAAGAGGAACGAATTATTACATATTTCTAAATTATTTGTTCCATAAATTGGTTTAATATTTACCAACAAAATTATTTATATTAATGCCTCATGGTTAAAAAGAGATTTGAATTGTAGAACAATTTAAAAAAAGGTAGATGTAAACAACTATCCCAAGCTAAAAGAACATATGTTCTAATCTCGCTAAATATTAAGTTTTTTAGGACTCCTGTCTTTTTCTTAGGTTCCATAATTTTCAAGTTATTGTTAAAGCTTTGTGCAAGTCAGTTCCCGTAATATCGAGTGCGTAAAAGATCCCGATCCTATTAGAATAATATTGATACTCCATAATTGGAAATCACAGTAGACCCAACTGCTTCCATACATTTAACAGTTATGTAAACAAGGGATTAAGATGCCCGGCTTTTAGTCGCTAAGTGCCAAGTTCGAACCCCGATTTACCTAATTCGGTTTTGGTAACTGGATGATATCAGTACCCCTTACATTTAGAGTGTGGCTCATATCTAAGTACCGGGTGAATGAATTACAACTATAAAGTATTTAGTCAAGTATATATGTCAAAAGATTGAAAGTTAAGCATAGTCGTTACTTATACAATTTACTGACAAACAATGTAACCAGAGACAATGGATTCAGAATCCGCGTATAGTAACCAAGTTCTATGAAACGATTTGTTTATATAAAAGTTATGATAAAATAGAAAAAGTTGAGAACATTTCCAATTTGTTATTCAGTGATACAGATTAGACATTGAGAGGAAAAATTATTCTTGCTGAAGAAACTGACAATATATGCATAACATACAACTTCATGTTGATTCCCTGAAAACATTGATCAAAAGAATAAAATATAAATAGAATAATATTTACCTGTATTGAGAATTCAGGATTGGGGTTACCAAGTACAGTACCACAAGGATGAAGACTTTCATCTGCCGTTTGAACTAAAGAGGGTGGCCATAAATTTAAAGTAATTTCACCCGTAATCATGAAACCATTGTGATCAAATAAATTGACATTACCCCAGCCATATAGGTATTCACACTAAAATCAAATGAAAAATATACAAAAACGATAGAAAGGTATTTAGAATTTAATTCCATATCTTGATAGCTGAGAATATATTTGATTTCCAACAAAAACTAACTGTAAAAAACATAAATTTTTGTACTAATACGCTGCGAAATTGCGCCCAATGGATTAAATAATCTAATATCTGTAAGAGCATAATTTTAAGCAGTCTAAGGAATCATATTGAAAATTACCATCGATTGTAGTAGACTGAAGAGCTACTCGACCTCGCTCTCGAAGACTTGATGAACTATTCCCTTCCTTATGTGATATAAACAAACAATAAAAGACTTATGTACACAAGCCCTGAATCTTTTCAAGATAATATTTAACAGTATTGATCTCATATGATTGAGTTGAATGATACGAGGAAAGGAACTGACTACATTAAGAACATACAAATCGACAGTAAATACAATTACTTTTACAAGACCTTGTGTCACACTGAACTGCTATAACATTAGACGACACCTATTTCATGGCTGCAAAAAGTAATTGTTCCTAAGAAAGACACTTTGAACCAAACTGACACTACAGACAAAAAATGATTTAATAACTAGGCTTGATCTGTTTAAATGCAGAATGGACATCACATAAGCATATTAATCCAAATGTGGAGTGGGAAAATGTCTATTTTATATACCAATACATTGCATGAACATTAATTTATGTATCTTATTAATCTCAACAAACTAACTTCATTTACTTAGAATCATCTATTTTATTTATTAGATTTTAGGCAAATAACTTCAATCATTTTATATTATCACAATATTTTGAAGTGATTTAAAACAAAACAGAATGTTCTTTTTCACATTTAATCTTTAAAGTATCATCAAATGAAAGACGCTTTTACAAAACATTTGTTGTTTCAGTTCTGATTGAGACAGTATGTTATTTACTAGTACAACTTACAAATCTCACGTTTTTTCGATCCAAAATTTTTCTAATTCGTATAAGCGCTACACAGATGCGCGTAGCAATAGGTAGATCGGCTAAAAGAATGTGAAAATTAAGCCATTCACGCCATGTTAAGTAGTTTCCCGGTCTTTCTTTAGTTGTCTAAAAAAACAAAGTAAAATACATTTCCATAAAATTCTATATTTTTGAAAAGATAAGCTTAAGTGAAAATACTTAGACATTGATAACAAATAAATGTTAACGGAAGCCAGGACATATCGGTCTCGCGCGCGAACGCTCAACATCTATACCACTGAGCCGACATCCAATGGTGTTATTGTTAGTTAATAAAGTTTATGAGTCAGTAAAATCACAAATACACGTAGAAATACGGTTATAAATGGGTCAAAAAACTTTATATTTCCGAAATTCTTATGCAGTATGTTTTGACGAAAAAACCTATCAAAATCACTAGAAAAGGATCTTCATAGATCTAACTAGCTCTTAGTACAAATGAGAGATGCAAATATCTATGAAGTGAATAATGAAAATAGTTGGGAAAACACTACCAAACTAGGAAATTTTTTAATGAAAGAATCAATTCCAAGTACTACTATCAACACAAAACTGGGAAAACAGAATAAAGGACTAAGTAATGAAGGGTCACGTTTGAAAATTACTTTCATTTTCATGAAATTGATCATCTCCAACAATTCCAAAATAATAATTTAATGGGCTATACAATTAATACGTTAAAATAAGATCGAATTAAATTACATTAGCTATTTAGCAAATAGTTATACGATATAGTGAAATAGTTAATTCTGTTAGGCTAACTAATGCCCATCTCACTTCTTATTTGATTACATTTGTTGTGAAAAGTATCCAACAACAAGTCGAGTGGGATGCGTTTCGTAATTGCATGTTTCTCCTTAGCTTCTCTTAGCCTTAGCTGATTGTGGTGTCTGGTCCAGATTTCTTGGTTCACTTTGACATCATATATGACGTCCCCATGTTTCTTTGTGATCTCACCATCTACCCATCTATCGCACCCGTGTCTATAATCCCGCGCATACACTTTTGTACCAACTTCGTAGGGAATTCTAGTATTCTTCATCTGGAGGCTTTGCTGAGCCACTTGCTTGGGTGTCATCGCACCATGAACTGTCCATAGCTTCCGCCCCATAAGCGTCTCAACCGGGGATTTGAAGTTTGGCAATAAGTTATGTGGAGTCGTCCGATAAACCATTAGAAATCATTGTATGATATCTTCTGTGGTCCCCTCCCCTCGTGCTTTAAGCATGGCTCGTTTAAATGTATCAACGAACCTTTCAGATTGTCCATTAGATTGCGGGTGATATGGCGGAGAACGAACATGGTTGATTGAGTTTTGCAGGCGAAATTCTCGGAATGGACTGGATGTGAACTGTGAACCGTTGTCTGTTACTATTGTTTTTGGAAGACCATGCTGAGCGAAGATCTGATTAAGGAGTTTGATGGTTCGAATTGTAGAGGGTGGCGCAATCGGCGATATCTCCGGCCATTTGGACAAAGAATCAACCAGTATCAGATATGTGGCACGATCTAGGGGTTCAATGAAGTCAATATGTACTCGCGACCAGGGTTTTTCTGACTTTGGCCAGGGTACTGGAGGCAACTTAGGGGGATTTTTCGCAGCGGTTTGACAATGTGAACATCTTTTGACGAAGTCGACAATCTATTTGTCCATATTCGGCTAATATGCATAGCTGCGAGCGATAGATTTTATACGGCTTATCCCTGGGTGTCCACAGTGAAATTGGCGTAGGACCTTGAAACGTAGGGTTGTTGGAATTACTACGCGATCACCGAAAATCAGACAATCGTTAACAACACAGAGGGCACTGCGACGATTCGCTAGTTGTTGCATATCACCACTCAGCTGCTTAACTGGCCATCCGCTCTGAATATAGGTGATCGCTTCTTCAATAATCGGGTCTTCTCTGGTAGCTTCCTGAACATCTTCAGCGGTAACAGGCATTGCTCGAACGGCATTCGCTAATCGTGTAGCGCCGAAATTCTCTTCCGTTGATATTGTGGCTATGAGTGTGTCCTCATCAGTGGTAGAATGGTTACTGATAAGTCTGGACAGTGCATCTGCTTGGCCGAAATCTTTGGAACGTCGATACTGGATGTCGAAGTCGTACCCCAATAACGCCAACGCCCAACGTTGAGGACGATTAGCAGAATGGGCAGGAATTCCTTTCTTTGATCCAAAGATTGATAACAACGGCTTATGGTCTGTGAGCAAGGTGAAACGGCGCCCGTAAATGAATTTGTGGAATCGACGGACAGCAAATATTAGGACTAACGCTTCCTTCTCGATCTGACCGTAGCGTTTCTCAGCAGGTGTTAGTGTTCTTGAAGCGTGCATCACCGCTTTCTCTGAACCATCTGGAAAGACATGCGAGAGTAAGGCACCCAGTCCATGTGTTGAAGCGTCTGCAGCAACCACAATGGGTAGTTTCGGATTGTAGTGCGTTAGCAGTAGTTTGGAACTTAGCATGGATTTAAGTTTCGAAAAGACTAACTCACATTGCGTGGACCACTTCCAAGTAGCGTTCTTTTCTAGCAGATGATTCAATAGATATCGAACGTCATGCAGTGATGGAAGAAATGCTGAATAGTAGCTAATCATTCCCAAAAATGATCGCAGTGAGAAGACATCAGTGGGGGCAGGCATTTGTTGGATTGCGTGAATATTTTGAGGATCAGGGTGTCGTCCGGAAGCATCAAAGATAAACCCCAGGTATCTAACGGAACTTAAGAAGAATTGGCATTTCTCTGGACGAAGGCGAAAACCATTATCTTGGAGGCGTTGTAGAACTAAGTGTGTTCTGGTATGCAATTATCAGGCCCCCAAATGCCCTGGTATGGCCGAGAGCGGGGAGGGTTCGCCCTCCCTCTCGAAATACTCTCACATGGCCACGCGTATACAGCCTCTGCCAGGGAAGTCCTACTCACTGCCTTCTCGTGGAGGGGGTGTTGTTTACGAAAATGAGAGGACGAAAAGCGAATGTCCGGCGCTATAACCAGATCCCAATTCAATGGTGCACATGGGCTCCAGTATCCTGAGGGAATAAATGGTGTATGAACCAACTTTTGGTCACCGGCTACCATGGGACTGCACCTCCTTACGGTGCTCCACTGCCTTGTGGGTCAGACGTTCAGGTCGAAGGCTCGGAGTGTGGCCCTCTAAGAAAACCACCTGTTTCGGTTTGGGCACCCGGGCAGTATCTCAGCCCACGCACTAAAATCATGATGAACTATTTGCTAATGGAAAATATTCCTTTCTCTCTGATTAACATTGAAATGACTCGTACTATTATTATTATTATTATTATTATTATTATTATTATTATTATTTTACCACGTCATTTATTCACCCTCTCTTATTCCTACTTTATGTATCTGTTTCGACCTAGACAGCAGCTCGCCTATGGTGAAAATTCAGCTTTATCTAAACGTTCTCGAGTCACTGCCTGGTTGAAAATTGTATGTGACCACCGAATAAGAGTACTGAAGCAGTTTTTCTGAAACCACATGCACCATTCAAACTGGCTGCCTTCAACGTTCGCACACTTATGCAGGTCGGACAACAGATAGGGCTGGTTATGTCTTTGTAAAGTCTTAATATTGACGTGTGTTGTCTATCCGAGACCCGTATTCAAGACCATAGTGAAGTACTACAAATCCGCCCTCCATCTGTCACTTCAAAAAGCTTGTTTTATGTGCGTTTATCCGGGGACCCTGTGGCATTTTCGTCTGGTCTCGCTGGCGTTGGTGTCGCACTAAGCGCTAGAGCTGAGGCAACACTAATCGACTGGATCCCCATTAACAGTCGGTTATGTGCTGTTAGATTAGAAAGTTACATCAAAGTGAGAAGAAATAGGCGTGAGAAACGATGTCTTTTCGTCATCTCCGCATATGCCATTACAGATTGCAGCCCGGATGCAATCAAGGATGAATTCTACCACCAGTTAACTGTTCTTCTCCAGAAAGTATCTTCTTCGACAGATATTGAAGTACTAGCTGGAGACTTGAATGCTCAGGTCGGGCGTCTAGGCACAGAAGAGAGTCGTTTAGGCGGCCGATGGGGACTTGTTGGTCGCAGGACAGATAACGGGAAACGTCTACTGCAGAGATGCACAGACCACAACCTGTTTTTGGCTAGCACTAACTTCCGGCACAGTCATCGTCGATGTGCCACCTGGCGTCCCCCTTCTACATCTCAAGCCTGGATAAAGATTGATCACATCGCGATCAGCTACCGCTGGCGTGGTTGTGTACAAGACTGCCGCTCCTTTTGGAGTACCTATCTGGAATCTGATCATGCTCCGGTCTGCGCCAATCTTACCTTACTTTTCAGTGGACAACGAAGTGACCGCCACCAAAGGATTGATATTAGCAAGCTGGTTGCAACTTCTGTTGCTAGTAAGTACCGAACCGAGCTAGCTTCTAGGCTAGCTACCATTCCACCGAAAAGTATAGATGAGCATTGGTTGCAATTGCATGACGCCATGAAAATGGCGGGTCAAGTCAGCTGTGGGTTCGCGAAACGTTTCGCTTACAAGCACTGGGTTTCTTCTGGTTCCTTACAACTGATTGAAGCCCGTCGGTCTACTCCGGGTGACCGTGAGTTTGACCACAGACGAAGGATGTTACGTAATGAAATCGGGCAAAGCTTGCGTAAGGACCGTGAAGCCTGGTGGTCGGAGCGTGCTAATGAGCTGGAAGCAGCAGCTGCATCTGGTAATTACCGGAAGCTCTTCCAACTCATCCGAGCCACTGGCAGCAAGAAGTCTGATGTGAGTAAAACAATCTGCGAGGATGACAGAACGCTAATCACTAACATCCATCGACGTCTTGGACGATGGGCAGAATTCTTTGAAGGGCAGTTCAACTGGCCTGCTGCTCCGGCAACATCGGTCAGACTGTCCTGCCCTCCATGGCCGATGACGACTGACCCACCAAATGAGGGGGAAGTCCGCAAGGAACTCCAACTCTTGAAACGTTACAAGTCAACGGGCCCAGACGACTTACCTCCGGCTCTTTTTAAAGATGGTGGTGACTTTCTGACTAAGGGACTGACGACGTTGTTTACAAAGGTCTGGGAACTAGAGTGTGTACCAACGTCATGGAATGAGTCGATAGTTGTCCCTATCTTTAAAAAGGGTTCACGTTGTTCCTGTAACAACTATCGGGGGATAAGTGTACTTCCGATTGCGTCCAAGCTATTGGCTTCCGTCATACTTCGTAGGTTGTTCAGAACCCGAGAAGGATTGACTCGCGAGGAGCAGGCTGGGTTTCGTCCTGGTCGAGGATGAATTGATCATATCTTCACCCTCCGCCAAGTTTTGGAACACCGCCATACTTATCAAAGGCCAACAATCGTAGTGTTTCTTGATATCAGGGCTGCCTTCGATTCGTTGGACAGAACTGTTCTCTGAGACTGTCTATTGAAGAAGGGTGTGCCTGAGAAGTTTATTAACATCCTAAAAGCCCTATACACAAACACCTCAGGCAGAGTGAGGGCATACAACCACCTTTCTCCATTGTTCCATTCAAGCAGTGGAGTTAGGCAGGGTTGCCCAATCTCACCATTCCTCTTCAACTTTGCCATCGATGAAATTCTGGAAACAGCTCTGATGGATGTAAGTAATGGTGGTGTGAATCTGTTGCCTGGAGAAAGACTTCTCGACCTTGAGTATGCGGATGATATTGTCTTACTGTGCGAGAATGTTCAAGCTTTGCAATCCGCACTTAATCAGTTGGCAATCAATGTCCGTAGGTATGGTATGTGCTTCGCACCTTCGAAGTGCAAAGTACTTCTACAAGACTGGCAGGATTCTATTCCTGTACTCACTCTGGACGGTGAGCAGATAGAAGTGGTCAAGAAGTTCGTGTATCTAGGTAGCTGCATAAGTGCTGGTGGTGGCGTGAGTGATGAGATCAATGCACGTATAGTGAAGGCCAGAGCGGCTTATGCCAATCTGGGCCACCTTTGGCGCCTTCGTGATGTTAGTCTGGCTGTAAAGGGTTGGATCTACAACGCGACGGTGTGAGCAGTTTTGCTCTATGCTTGTGAAACTTGGCCTCTCCGAGTTGAGGATGTTAGACGACTCTCTGTGTTCGATCATCGCTGTCTCCGAAGGATTGCTGGCATCCAGTGGCAACACCATGTCAGTAATGCAGAGGTCCGGCATCGTGTGTTTGGTCACAGAGACGATAATGCAGTTGGTGTCACCATCTTGAAACACCGACTTCGGTGGCTTGGACATGTTCTACGAATGTCGTCCCAGAGAATTCCTCGTCGTGTATTATTTGCCGACTCTGGGACTGGTTGGAAAAAGCGGAGAGGTGGTCAGTGTATGACATGGTGTCGTGGTATAAAAGAAAGCTGCAAAGGGCTAGCTTCTGTTGGTCCTTCACAACTCCCTGGCTGGGGTCCGAGAGACGGTGTAACACAGTGGCTAGAGACGTTATCAGATATGGCTCAGAATAGAAGCCAATGGCGATCCTGCTGTAACCTTCTTTTACTTTCTTCATAAAAAGTGGTTGTATCTTCTTTAACTGAAAGATTTCTTCTGATTGTACCTTTCCGTTTTCCCCATCATTACTTTTATATATATATATATATATATATATATATATATATATATATATATATATATATATTTCTCCTTCTCTTCAAATTATCATTGTTATGTGTGGCGCATATATATTTGGTGCCCCCCTGTACCAATATTTATGTGTTCAAATAAATAAATAAATAAATAAATTCATCAGCAGTTGAGCCGACAATGAGGACATCGTCAAAGTATGTAGCGACACCAGGAATATCTGCCAGAATAGTATCCATGATCTGCTGGAAGATCGCTGGAGCAGTTTTGATACCAAAGGGTAACCGAGTATACTGAAAAAGTCCTCGGTGCGTGTTAATTGTCAACAACTCTCTTGATTCGGGAGCGACAGGAATTTGAAGGTAAGCATCCGCCAGATCCAGCTTAGCGAAGTAGGTACCACCATTTAAAATAGTAAATAAGTCATCTGGGATCGGTAGCGGATAGTAATGCTGTTGTAGAGCCGCGTTGAGTCCTGTGGAAAAGTCTGCACAGATTTGTATGGAACCATTGGATTTTTTTACAACCACAATTGGTGCAGCCCATGATGAATAAGCAACAGGTACTAGAACACCCTCAGATTCCAAACGTTGAAGTTCAGTGTCTCTCAAGTTATAACATATTGTAAACATTCTTTTACAAAGCAGAATATTGTAAAGAAAAAAATTTATTCAGTTTTAGAGACATAAATCTAAATCCCAATAAGATGAAACAAAGTATACTCTTTGAGAAACACATAGCTGATAGTCATTAACAGATGAAGTTGGAACACAAATACATGTAATATCAAGCCATCTGCACAAAAATTTCATATACCACAGAAAGTAAGTTTGGAAAATTGAGAAAGAAGAAATATTCACACACAAATAAAATACTGTATGACTTTGGTAAATGCGAACATTTTTATCCCACTTCCTTTGAATACAGTTGGTAGTTAATACTCAAATCCAGCGCAATTCTTTAAAAGTGCCTAATTCCTTTTTTTTAGTTTTGTTGAAAAATGTAGCAACTTAATACAGAGTGTAATAATTTGGTTAAAATAGTTCACTGAGACAACCATTTAACGAGACTAGCATAACACAGATTTTACACATATTCTAGTTCTAAAGAAGGTAACGCCAATAGTAGTTTAGAGGGGGGCAGTAGCAAGATTAAACCTCACAGTGAAGTAAAGTTATCAGAAGGCTACCCAAAAGTCAGGTTTGAGAAGCATAACAACAAGAAAGTGAATAAGCCTTAAAACACATCGCTTGGATACAACCTACAATTAGTTGATAGTGAAAAATGTTCAAGAGATTACTGATAATTCAATGGTTTTGCAGAACAAATCATAATTCGTCCCGTTTAATCTAGGAAAATGCCACTAAGATGATAATATATGAGCATATGATTATTTCATAATTAGAACCTAGAAAAATTGAATGACTGCTTATTTTTACAGAGGAAAAGTAAATTTTAAAGCTATCGAATAAATATATATATATATATATATATATATATATATATATATATATATATGATCACCTTACTTGACATTCAATTAAAAACTGACTACCATGAAATATTCCCACTCGTACAACATAACTTCCATCTAAAGCAGCTCCACCATGTACGCTTGTATGTTGTACAACATTTAAGTTAGGATTTGACTGATGTATTGAAGAGGACGAAAATGAAATTGTTGATAAAGAGAGGGAGGTTGTGGAAGAATTTAAATTTGTAATATTTTCCACAAGAAACTGTGCTGAACAAACTTGTATACTTAAAAATCCACTTAATTCCCAAAGAGATACATTTTGTTGACGGTCAGAAGTGAGTGTAAATGGAGACTTTACATTCTTTTGCCTACCTTCAACATTTTTTGAAGAACAGATTCCAGATAAGAGGACTGTGTGGGCACTATCAATATCGTCAAAAGCTGATATATTATCGTCTTTGTTGAAATCAACAGATGATCGACAGTCGATAAAATTGTCGTCAGTGTTGCTTATGCATTCATCAGTCTCACATTTATCAAATTTATCATAATTGATTAAAAAATTTTCTAACTGTTGATATAAATCAACTGAGTTATTATTGTTGTTATCAAAGTTATTGGCATTGGTATTTAGGGTGGATGTTGAAGAGATTATCCAACTATCATTGTTATGATTCAGTTGATAGATGGGATTTTTATTATATTCATTAAGACAGTTATGTAAACTTTGTTTAATGTCGTTCTTTAATATTGGACTTAAACAAGGATGTTGATAATGTTCAATACATTGTTGTATATATTCATATTGAATGAGTAATTCGTTCAAATCGAATAGATAAGCTTGCGAACAACAAACTTTCAGTAAATAATTTGATGCATCTGGGAGACCATAACTCATTTTAACATGACAATCTTGTCTAGCCAGTTCAGCTTGTGCATGCAAAATTTCATTGAGAGCGTTAAATACAGTAGCTTTTTTATCCAATTCGAGGACAACACGACATTTTTCCGGTGGATCTTTACCATCTAATACCCATGCTGTTATTGTAAGATGTGTTTGCTTTTGGAGAAGAACTTTTAATGACTGGCTTAATTCACGTTTACTAGCTGAAGTTAAGTAACGGATCAAGCCATCTGATCCGGTTTGATTCAGTGCTTTTGTATGCATATTAGCTACGCGTAATAAACGTAATCGTGCCCATTTTACTTCAGGGTTTGTTCTACAAGCACGTATGATATCTGTATGTGGTATGCCTGTACAACTGAAATATTAAAAAAGTAAGTAAAATTTGTAAACTATATAATGCAATGATGAATTAAAGAAACTTTAATATCAAAAAATATATCACGGAGAATGTAACTACTCCAATAAATAAACTGATATATACTCGTAGTCAATTAACGGCTCATTTCAAAACTTAGTGTTTACCTAGACCGGCTATTTAACATGACTTAATGCCCAACTGTGATGACTGTTAGTCACGTCTTGATTTTTTTCAAAGTGATAATATGGCTTTCTGTTTATTTAGTGTCTTCACAGAACAGAACTACCATTCATATGCTGTGGGTTGATGAGAAGAGCGTTTGACCTTCAACTACTGGGGTTGAATATTTGAAACACGGTTCAACTGTTTCGATCTATGCCGCCGTTTGAATATCATTAGTTCTCGAAAAGAGAGTAGTTAGAGAGGTTTATAACTTTTTCATAATCCCCTATAAAACTGTATGCTTTTGAATAATTTTTCTGTAGTCAAACCGATTTGCTTGTTACTCTTTTTAAACTCAAACACTGTCAAGCGATTCTTGAGAGGTTGAGCTAAAAACCTTCGTCAAGTTAAGGAAAGTAGAGATTTTAAAATATTCAGTACTCTTGTATTTCTGGGCCTAGTGTGACATGATCGAGATATCACACAGGCTCCAGTCAGGTATTGATTAATTATGAACACTAGAATTTAGAAGACTGTTAAGACAACCTACGATCATTACAAAATGATTCTTATCCCCTCTAATAAAATAACATTAGCTACCACTGATATTTTTCTCATAACTCATCTAGTATCTCAACCAATCAGGCCATGGATTTTTGGCTGGATTCCTAGAAAAAACTTTCGGACGTTACTTCGCCTACCTTAGCTTTGTCAGAGTTTTCTAATTTTATTCATAGTTAAACGCTTGATATTGGTTTCTTATTTGTGTTGCCCCCTCTACTGCATGGCGCGAGCTCAGTATGGCAGAAATGCAGTCATAGCTCTATCTTTGCATGATGTCACAATATGAAGATTTGTTTGCGTTTTATTTGCTTTCTGAAATATGTAAAATGTCATGATTAGGCTAGTTTTGTGCTCTACATCTACGATTACGATAATTGCAATCTTTCTAGTCTCACTATGGCTACAGTAACGATTCAACTACTGAGTACAATACAAGTGTAGAGAATGGCATTAGTAGTCTCAACTCTTCGAGGTCTAATAGTACATTTAGCGCATACGGATATTAAATTAGTCGTATTAATACGTAACTGATGAGATCCGTAGCCTTGTAAGCACTCACAATCGTAGATCATTGCATAAACAACTTTATTTCATACGATAAACAACAATCAGTATGGACATATTAACTGTGATGTTGATACTGAAAAGAATGCTCGCTAACTTGAATTATTTAGAAAATTCGGCAGCAATAAATCATGGATTTAAGGTGAATGAAATACTACATCACTATGGGTTAGTAGAAGCTTAGTCGTAATGCACGTAAACTTAAAACTAGTAAACTATTCACATTTAAATGATGATAGTTCGAATTCTTGGCTACCATGTTTTGTACTTACTTTTTCTAATAATTGCGTAAACTATTTTTATGGTTTGTTATCAGATGAGTTTAACTACTCAGAAAAAAATTATATTTGAAACATTTGTTTCATAAATATTTAAATTAAACATCAGTGTGTTAATAGACAATAAAACTCATTGCTCCAATGTAGTGGCCTAAAAGAAAGCGACAACATTTAAAATGTAAGGTTAACATTAATATTTGTTCCTTCTATTTCTTTAGTTGCGAACAATCAAATCAGGATTAAACATTTGTTATTCAATATGAAGAAAATAAAAGGTTATGAGAATTGTTGAGAGGAATAATTAATTAAAACACCAACAATACACTGAAATGTTTTCAACTACTTATAAGTAGTCACATTTGTGTATCATCATTCGTAATTTAAATGTTGGATTAATTCGTTCGTGAGATACCAACCTATTTTTCCCTATTTGGTCGAAGAAGTACAATTTTGATTCTCTCTTAGACCAATTCCATGTACATTTAAGGAATGTATGATAATGTATGATAAAGCCTTCAAATTAGATGGATTTATTCTTCTCTTCAAATATTATTATTACCCTGAAGAAGTCCAGACAAGTTAGCTGGACGAAACGTTGGAATTATTCGAATTTCAATCGCTGAGATTATTTCAAATATAATTTTCAAATATAATTGTTTCACTTGGTTTGAAAAAAAATGGTCAAAGAAATATGCTCAACTGAGCGGTTCGTAACATTCATCCATGGTGGAATTTCCAGCCAGAAACCCACCCCAGTATTACTTGCCACAACAGAGTGATCAGAAACATCCTAAGTAGAGACAAATAACAATGTTTTGGAGAAATAAGTGAAGGGAAGCTTCGTGATTAATGAGTACGTTAAACTGTACCGTTTTGAATAAAAAGACAAAACAGATACCATTCAAAACCACTTGTTATGAACAACAAGAAAAAAAACACAGCATGACTGACACTGGATATTATTTTGATTCATATCTGACGATGCATAAATCAGTTGAGTTACACAACTTCTAGGATCCCCATCTAAAGAGCTTTAATGAATAGGTAAATTGTAAGCCAATATAATTGTTCTTTCTTCCCTGGCCTCATATCATGAACTGAATGCCTGTTTGATTTCGTGTTCATCCCCAGTGTCAGTAAACAATGCACAACATGGAAGCCGTTAAGCCAGATTGGGTGAAGCATGACCAGAGTGTTTTAAGACAGCAGGATTATAATTTTCAATGATAAATGTCCCAGAAAAATAACAGATAGTTGATAGAAAATGTAATTTTCATTTTTCAACACAAAAATAATCACCTCGAGATCGCAGCATTCTGATTACTGATTTTTAATAGGGTAGTATCTCTTGCAGTTTCAGTAACACGTAAGTAAGGTAAAAGAAGTGGAATTTCATGAAGTCGACGATTTATATCATAAAACTCTTCTTCGTCACCAGTTTCTCGATTAACACCAACAAATATGTAGTCATTCTTTGATTGTAATATATCAAATAATGGTAATTTTGCTGCGGAAATCCAAAGCTGTACTTTGATTTCTTCTAATGTTGACTCTGAATTCACCTGAAAAATTATACACAAACAAGTTCTAAGTATATTGAAATATTGACATGTGAAATAATATCGGTTGAACATTCATCTAAAAACAAGCATAATTGACTCAATAGTAATGACATGTCGGTTTGTGAAGCTACACTACACATAAAGAAACTAGTCAAAAAAATAAAAAAGCCGACTGAGAAACATTAACTAACAGAAATACAAACACGCTCGATTTGTATAGAAATATGAATAAATCCAGTTGAAATACTAGATTATTTGTATAGTTACTGGGCAAGGATGCGATTCAGATATATGAACTTAAATGGCACTTGGGATGGAACAAACTGACCCAGTAATTAAGTTAAAACCGACTAAAATATGTAAACACACTAATCCATACTATTTCATATCTCCTTTGTGACAGTCTATTTACCATGAAAATTATTATAAAGAGTATGTAGAGACTTCGAGTACTGCGACTAAACTTAACCCAATTTCGAGGTTCTTGTCATAGAGATCATAATTTAGTCTATGTTCCTTTGACCTATTAAGTCGTCTTACAGATCCTGGTCAACAAAGATTTACAACTATATTGAATATTTGGCTTTTATTAACCAAAAACAAGAGCTTAATTACAGAATTGGCTTCTCATTCGTTTATTTAGAAATTAGTAATATCACCCACAAGCAATCTGGTGTTTTTAAAACTAATAGCGATAAATGACAACAGCACAATAAAAAGTAGGCAATTATGAGGTCTATTTACCTGGTGGTCAGTAGGTGGGTGCTAAACATTTTCAACAAGTATTATAAATTTGGAACTCTAATACATAAATCCCAAAATAAAAGATTTTTCAGACAACTGCTTTACAATCGACTGACGTATTCTATTAGATTTACTAGATGGCAAACTATCTGGCGTTATGATCATTTCACTGGCCCTATAATGATCACTACATTAGTGGTAAATGTAGCTAAACTCACTAGTACTTATATGATGTAGGCTACTTATGTTGACAGATATAAGTTGTATGTAACACCAATCAGAAGTGGGATGCCTGGCAGTAGAATGTTGAGAAGATCAAATTGAAGAGAAAAGGAGTGTAAATAGAGAGTAATTGTAACAACAGGAATGAAGGAACGGTGAAGTTTGTAAGAAACAATTGATGGAAGGTGTACAAATGAAGCATTTAACGTGTGGTTTTTAGATTTTACGAAAACATCCTGTAATTTCGTATTAAATAATAAAATTGACCTTCTCCACCTGAATACTCGTTTACTACGCTTAAATAACTGAAATCAAATAGCTTTCTTAACATAGTCCTTTAATAATGCAAATGGATTATTGAAATGTGAAATAAACGATGTAAAATTACTCAACTAATGAGATGGCTATGATAATCAGAAAATTGTAGATTTGTTTTCTATATGTACAAAATTACGGAGATAACTTACTGTAAGTGGTATTATAATCCCATTAGGTAAAAGAAATTTTATAGTTATGTCCGAACCAACCAGTAGGGAGAATGTCCTTTTAAGCTTAGCAGTTGGAGACATAAAGCTAATCAAGCATTTAGTATGTGAATATCACGCTGAAAAGAAAAAAAGACCGGTACCATAAATCCTGATATTTAAATTAGTTCAGACTTATGTGCAACCCTCTGATCCAGTTACTGAGACCACCGAACTACTCTGTTTCTTAAGCCGAATTAAGTGAGGAGAAGAATGATGGCTAGCAGTAGAATGCAAGACACGCGTTTCGCCCTATCAGCTAGTGGCTATCTGGACCCAATAGCTAAAAGGATAATGCGGTGGAGTTCAAAGCAAACGGTACCGGGTTCGAGTCCAGGAGTGAATGACTCCATAATGCAGTGACATTCAGTTGGCGAGTCCAAAGTAGAGCGAAACGCGCGTCCCGAATTTCACTGTTAACAACCATCCATCTCTGCATATAATTCTAGTGACTTAAGGAAATGTCGAAGCAATCGGATGCATATATCTCAAAAGGGACTGATCTATCGTGGTCTTGAACATCAAATAAATAATACGAAATTGGATTAAGTGGGGAGAAGGTTCATAACTAAATGACTAAATACGAATTCTTCGTCTAGTGAAAGTTTCAAATCAAATCATAAATAAAATTTACAGAAATAATATATGCCTTATCACAAATTACTAAGTAAATGATGTATTGAGTGTTTTGATGTTCGTATTGTGTCTGATGAAAGAACAGATCCATCATTTAAAATGCTTGTATTTCTGGTAGTGTATAAAAGTGGTGCACTAAAAACACACAAAAATGGATTACACATGGTTTTCCTGTAGAATTAGCCCATCCTCTGTAGTAACTTTATTTTCTTAAAAATACTGGATCCACATAATCAGTTAATAACTCAGAAGAGAAACACGTACTATTAGCAAGAAGCAAAATAGTTTTGGATGTAGGCTGTCAGCTATAACTGTTTGATAGTGACTCCACAAAACGGTTTATATTTCCAAGACAGTACACACTAACAGAAACCGGGATGAAGCAGAATGGAATCTAAGATATTCAAAACAAGAAGATATATTGATATCAATGTAAACGGCTATTTCACAAAAGTGGGAGGGTAAGATGTCAAACGAATCAGTCAGCCAGTCAGCAACAACATAAAACTTTGTAAGTACGTACAACAGTTCAAGTTTCCATACCACATTAGCACAGAGGTACAATTTTCGATTTAAATCCCATAGTGCTAGAGGTAGTAAGAGTATAAGCAGTAATCGGAAACATTAGGGTTTGAAGATGTTATTCATAGAGTATAATCCAGTAAAGTAAATTTGGAAAGAAAAAAAGGGACATGAAGAATTCAGAAGATTAGGATTTGGGAGAACACAAAGAGTGGATTCACCAGCGCCATTGCAAACGATTTTGAGCCATTTCATCCAAGGTCTCTAACCATCGGTTGCTATCGTTTCGCTGATTCCAACTAAGTAGTCTACACCTACCAACATGACTCAGTCCACTTGTCAGTGACTTCATGGTTTTGTGCCATGTTTTGGTCTGGTCATATCTAGCTTTCTCTCAACCTACTCCTACACTATAAGACATTGCACGTCGGGGCAGTCGGTGGTTGGGCATACGTAGCACATATCCCAGCCATTTTAACTGATGAAGTTTCACTACTTCATCAATTGATTTGTCATCCTTACCTAGTACCTGTTTCCTAACAACTGCATCACTTACTCGGTGGTCCCAGGATATACGAGCAATGTTTCGAAGACACCTATGATCAAATACTAATAACCTCTACTCTTACCGGCCATGTTTCACAGCCATAAAATAGAACGGAACAAACTGCTGCGCAGTTAACTTATCATTTGGTTGGTAGACGGATATCTCGCCTACGTCATAAACGACGCAAGTTGGTACAAGCTAATCAAGCCTTATGTATCCGTGCTGAGATTTCGTCACACACCAGACTACAAAAGCTAATCAGACTCCAAAGATAAGTGGAGCGGTCGACATGCTGAACTACTTCATTCCCTATCATAAGTCCATGTACCGATGCAACCCAATCCTAAAGCAACATTTTGCATTTCAAGGGAGAGAATCGCAACCCGAATATGCTTTCACTGTTGCTTACGGTGGTCAGAAGATTGCATTCTGTCAGTATCTTCACCAAATAGAACTATTCTATCAGCATATTCTAAGTCAACAAGTGGATCTCCCGATAGAAGTTCAACTCCTGGAAATTTAGATGAAGAAACTGTCATCTCTAAAAGCACATCAACGACAATGTTAAACAAGAATGGAAAGAGTGGACAGCCCTGACGAACACCATTTGAGGTTATCAGTTCTGATGACAGTTCGCCTTAAGCTCTCACTCGACCAGTTGTGTTCGAGTAGAGAGCCTTTATACGGTTAATGTAGTTCTTTGGTACTCCTTTCAGTGACAAACACTGCCATAGAACCTCACGATCAACAGAGTCAAATGCCGCCTTAAGGTCGAGAAATACTACCATTGTGGGGTGTCTGAATGTATGTCTATGTTCTAGGACCTGACGTAGTGTAAATATTTGATCTATACAACCACGTCCAGGTCGAAAACCAGCCTGGTTTTCTCTAGTCTGCTCTTCACGAGCTTTGGTTAGGCGTCGAAGTATTATTGGAGCCAATATTATATACACTATATTAGTCAAACTGATTCCTCTGTGATTATCACCAGAGGACTTTTGTCCTTTCTTATAGACTGGTACAATCAGTGCTTGAGACCAGTCAGATGGGATTACGTCCAGTTCCCAGATTCTACCTAAGACCTCAGTCAATCTCATTGCTAATACTGAACCGCCATCCTTAAAAATCTTAGAGGTAAACCTGAGATAAATCGCACTTAAAATAAGTGAAATTGAAGGGAACTGTTTTTCAATAACCACTGCTACTTAACAACAACCTAGTTGTAAATCGAGAAATTATAGGACTTGATGCTCTATGACACCTGTTTAACAACCAATATATATAATCCACATAGGCCATCAGCAAACAATACAGGCATTGTGTTCCTTTTTAAAGCAGATACTGTTTACATAGTGGTGTGGGCCAAACTCCACAGTCTCCGAATACACTCAGTACGCGAGCAGTTGGTCGTTGGATAATGCATCTGACTTTTACCTATTAGGTTGTAGATTACTTTTTTTCGTTCACCGGGGTATATGTAGCTCACCAATATCACTAAATTTACCACTGAATAGTACGAACTGAAGTCGAGCACATGAGTTCATAGATGATTGATGCATTTCATTGAAGGTAATCCAACTTATTGAACATGCTCCAAAAACATGAAATTCTAAGATGTTGCATTTAGCTTGATACAAGGTGCGAAAAAAAGTATTAAAAGAATCGGCTGATTTTGGATAACGGCAGAAATGTTCATATGTGTTCCAGCTGACCTATATTTGGTATGTTATAAAAACCGATCAGCAATTTAAAACCAAGTAATTCACAGAATAAGTGGACATTTGGGACTTAGATCAAACAGTTTGCCACTTTGAGACTAATTCCTACTGAATAAATGGGAATTAAAAGGATTAGAATCAAGTGATACCTACTGTGAGAAAAGTAGGTGTGACTGACTACTAAAGATGCTGACGGTATAGGAACAGTCATCAACTTACTTGAGAGTCTATGGGGTTTCATCCTATAGGATAATCAGAGAGGATTCATAAGTCAAATCGTGAACTGAATAGTTAGAAATATATTTGAAAATCAAGGGATACAACTAGATGTTAAAATACCTTCAGTATCCTGGCACTCTAACACACAGTATTTGCAGCTACAAGATGAAAATTAGGGTGGAATACTTCACCTACAGTATAACGTTTTACTGCAAGAGAAGGTCGGTAAGACACGAGATAAGGACCTAAATGTCTTACTCCAAATCACATTAGTAAAGCCAGAGATAATTCATCTCATAATTACGCAATAATGTAAGGCTTGTTGGTGACCAAAAACTGAAGCAACCATTAGAGGCAAAGGGCGAACAAGAGGTAAATAACTGGGACATTCCGTTAGAAAATAGAGGGAAAATAATGGAGAAACGAGTCAAAGTCCCATTACTCGCCTGTCATGAGGAAATGAGAATCTTCCTCTTTTTGTCGCTCTGTTTTCGAGATATTGATGATTTTTTTACTTTTCGTCTAAATATACGCCTAATTAATTAGGCGTGGTGCCTAATTAGGCACCACGAAATAAAATAAGCGATATTGCAGTCAAAGAAGGGTAGTCTGAAAATCATTTAACGAAATGAAACTCGTTACGCCCACTCCCAGTAAGATTGTCTACCCCTCAAAACTAAGATTGATGAACAACTGATTATAAAAACGACCTCAACAGCTGATACAGTCCCGACCTTGAAGAACAATTTGTTTAGCGCTATGGATTTCAGCAACTTCACAATTGATTAATCACTGGGTGGTGATAAATGTCATGTGTGTCAAGTCCTTATTAGTGCAAATCGAATGCTATCGACCATGTTGCAATGTGGACACTAGTCTAAGTCACTCGACACTGCAAGCAGTGGTTGGAGGTAGTCGACAGGAAACCTTGAACCCAGGTTTCGTGCTACTTGGCACTCTTCAGCAAGGTCCAGGGTTACCTGTTGACTATCTCCAACCACCATCTAATCTCAACACAGTGCACGCAATGTCGAATCACCTAGACTATTCCTGCGCCACCAATCAACCAATAAATGGGAAATAAAGGCAAAAAAGGAGAAATAAAAAGAAAAACACGCCTAAATGTCGCTTTTTTCGCCTATCCGTAGGAAATAATGACGATTTTTCCCCTTTTGTCGCTTTGTCGCTAAATTGTCTATTTTTTCCCTAAATATCCGCCAAATTGTCTACTTTTCGCCTAAAGGCATACAGAATTGCATTTTTGATTCAACTTTTAAAACACCATTGGCATAACCCCAAAGGTCTCCAATGTTCGCCTTTATTTCCACAACGAATCACACTAAAACTGCGATCAACGGGAAAAACGGTATATTTAGATAATTTTATTTAAAAGGAAAAGCGTATTATTGTATAACAGTATAGCAGAAGCTTGAGCATCTATATTTTTGAATTTCCAATGTAATCGATAATTCATTGTTATTTGAAAAGATCTGCAAAAGAAGAAGCAAGTGATGTATTATTTATAACACATATGCATTTAGTCGCAAGTTCACTGACAATCAAACACACTCTCTCAACACTTCAATAATTTCCTATGTAAGTAATAAAGTAAGATCTTTTACAAAATGTACAACACAAAAAACATTGCACGGACTACCTGCTTTAGTCACGTATGTTTCGTACGCTACGTATAATTGTCGAAAAATATCCCCTAAATGCACCACGTAAAGGCGAAAAAGCGACATTTCCAATTTATTTAGAGTTTATTTCTTCTTTATTTCCCTTTTTCACCTTTATTTTCCCTTTATTGAATGATTGAGCCCGTAATCTTTGAAACGAAACGTCCAAGACAAGTTTGATGGTGGTCTAATTAAATCCCGATATAATTGTTGTGACAAAAACTTGGCTTACCGTAGATTTAGACGGTTCTCATGTCATGACAGGCTGCATCTGTACTAAAGTGATAGAGTTATAAGTCGCATTGTAGGATGATTGATGTTCTATGTTAGGGATCACTTTCGTGTAAAATCAACCAGACTGTAGGCGCATGTCTCCTATGTTTGGATCATATATTTCCAATATAGTTGGTTTATCTGCTAGCAAATCTGACCATATCACACAACGAAATAGAAAATGAAATTTGTACAAAAGCAAGACAAAAGTGATTCTGACTGTGCGAAGCTGTGACTAATAGATCGAGATTAACTCGAAAATGGTAAATCATATAACGGTAACCAACAGATTGAATAAAAGCTTATAATAAGAGAAATGTATATATATATATACTTTGGTTTTTTAACAATCAGACAATGGGAATATACGTACAAAACTGCCTATAAATAAACGCCGGCTGTTTTATTTTTGTCCGGATATAACACGGGCAACACGGGTTTCGAAAAAAGCATTCATGCCTGATCAACATATTATTGAGCGAGAAGATTAGACAGAAACCCTAAATAACGGTCCGTCTGTTGATATGATATTCACAGAATTTAGGAAAGCGTTTGATAATGTTTCGCACTTCGGTTTTATGTAGAAGCTTTCGAGCTTCAGATTAACAGGCGCTGTAAGTAAACGGATAGAAAACTTCATATGTGGTTAAGGGTCTGACATTGGACGCGTAATTCAGCATGAACCGACTATAGAAACCTACTAAGTTGTCGAACGTACGTAGTCGCTTGATCGTTATCGATTCTGGGTATTGCAGAATGACCGTCACTTTCCTTTTTAAAGGGAGCTTACCTGAAGCATCAATAATATGTCCGAGAAAATCTAAGAAGATCGTGACGACTTGACATTTCTGAATGTTTACAATAATAACGTGCTTTTCTGTCTTTTGAAGACGAGGTCCAGATCCTGAAGTGAGATCCACTGTTCTGGCCTGAAATCAAACAGTCATCAACATATGCGTGTACGAATTCGAGACCTCGAAAAAAGACATCCACGAATCTCTGGAAAGTCTGTGTTACGTGAGAACTAAAGAAATTCGGCTGATTACAACCTTAATATTGTAAATTCATAATTTAACTGTGTTTTTCGGGTGTTTTTGTTTTACTCAACTTCTGAACTTGTTTGTTCATAGCATTATTTTCAAACATCTTGGTTTCTTTTGTTTTTGGTTTGGTACTTGGAAGCTTTACTCCGGGAACCTACAAAATTGAAAATTTGTTTGTAATTGTTATAATTATTGTTGTTGGAACGACATTTGGTTGACTATTCGTGAATTGCTAATAAACTTGGTGTTTAAATTAGCGTTTGACTCTGTTGTTTATTTAGGATCGTAATTTGCAAGTAGATCGATACACCGTACTTCAATAATTGGGACGGGCGATACTCGGACATAACAGTTTATTCGACATTTCTTAAGCCAAAAGGCATTCGCGAAAATTCGTAGAGACCGGAAGGTGTGATGATAGCGATTTTAGGGGTGTTGTCTGCAGCCATAGGAGTTCAATTAGATGCATTGACAAGGTCGATTTCCGAAAAAAAATTGTAATTTTCAAAGTAGCTGTCAAATCGTGAATGTTAGTCAACAGATAACGATAAACAACGGTTTTTGCATTCGGTCACTGATAGTCACCAATTGGACGTCGGTCGTTGTTCTTTTCCAGGACCTTGTGTATGGGAGATGCCCATGTGCTGTTTGATGGCCTAATGATCCCTAAGTCCATCATATTGTCGAATTAGTTTTTATTTATCCTCAGCTTTTCATGAGCTATTTGCGCGCTTTTGAGAATACAGGTGGTCCTGTAGTCGTGCTGTGATGTATGACATTGCTGGATACATATGGTTATTCCGGTCGCATTTGTTAAAATTCAAGGTACTTATTGAGTATTTTTTGATAGTATGGATCCTTCGTGTAAATCGATGTTTTTGGCGAGTTAATCTTACACTTATCCATCGGTTGGAACTCCACGCTTAAAAATAGCGTTTTAGATTTTCGTAAGTATCAGAAAGATTACGAATAAACATATTAGTTATGATGTACCTGTTGAATTAGTGCTCTCACTGCTGCGAAGAATTGTGCACAGGAACCGGCAACGCCACGTTCGTGTTAGTCAGCCTCTGTGTAGCAGAAACAGGCTCCGATGTTGTCGGGCTAAAATGATATTACGCGCAATGCGGGTGGCGAAAGAGTCTTGATGTCAATTAATTTAGGAATGTGTTCGGTCATGATGAATATAAAGAACGAAAATGAACGGGAATCTAAAACTTTCAAATATATGAAAAAGTTTATCACAGTACAGAACAATGGTGTGTAAAATTTAAATAAAACGGACTCACAGATCACGGAGTGCTAACCTCTGAAGATGCTACAAGTATTCGAAGTTTAATAAAACCTTAACCGGTAACACGTTGGTGGTCAAAATATACCAACTCAGTCAAATCAAGTCAGAAGCAAGCAGTTTTGGAGATATATTTGATAGGCTATCGATATATCGTGAATTGGTCAATCTTATCTGGCTAGCGGTTGTAGAAGACGTGAAGCACGACGCACTCACTCGTGATCTGGTGCGGATGAGTGACCAAGAGCTTTCCAAGATCTCCAGATCTATTGATTTCAGGGATCTATGTATCACTACAGGTCTTTGATTCAAGTATCACAGATAAACACTAACCTAGACAATAATCCTACAGATACCCAATGCATTAAGTTAAGGAGCCGAACGAAGACATGAAAATAATGAATAGCACTTCCGAAAAACTGTAAAACATTCAGTTCAGTCACAGGTATTTGGAGTTTGACAACGTTTAAACCGTAAAACCTAATATGAATCGTACACACCAAGTGAAATAAAAAGTCAGAAGCGAGAAGGTTTGAAGATATATTTGAAAGGCTATCAATATATCGAGGATCGACTGGTCTAATCTGGCTAGCCATTGCAAGGGATGTTGAGCACGGCGTTCTCAATCATGATCTGGTGCGGATGCATGATCGAGCGCCTTCAGCCAGGTGAGTCCCTTAAAACTAACGTGATCAGCATCCAATGTCGAAGACTAAATGAACTATTTATTTTTGGGGATTTTTTTACCGCTACATGGAGATCCAATTTTTAAATGTTTCAGATATTTCTGCAACCGACGAAACAGAACTAAAAGTTATAAAGACACAAATAACTGATAGTAATGTATTGCAGTGTACTCGAACTAACAAGATAAGTATTATCAATAGTTGAAATCATGAATCAATTGAAGCTAGACCACCATGGAAAACCTGGAAGCACTGGACGGCCCTCTCGTCCTAGTATGGGACTCCTCAGCAGTGCGCATCCGCGATCCCGCACCTCGCTTGATTCGAGCCCAGGACCTATCAGTCTCGCGCCAGGCGCTTAACCAACTAGACCACTGAGCTGGCATCCACTGGAGTTCAACCAAGTCTGTTGTAAGATATCAGCTTACTGAAGACAATGGTGACGGTGGCGCAACTTCGTAGATTGGTTAAAGTTAGACATTAACACCGCTGGATGCCGCCTCAGTGATCTAGTTGGCTAAGCGCCTGGCGCGAGACTGATAGGTTCTGGGCTCGAATCCCTTGGTGTGCGGGATAGTGGATGCGCACAGCTGAGGAGTCCCATACTAGGACGAAAGGGCCGTCCAGTGCTTCCAGGTTTTCCATGGTGGTCTAGCTTCAATTGATGCATGATTTCAACTAGTGAAATTACCAATTCTCCACAAAACCTTTTCAAGATAAGTATTTATTAATATTCTAAAATTTGTGAACTGTTTAACGTTTCTCCGTGTTTGAAATAATCGATATACACTACTTTCTATTTTGTGACAGATTTGAAATAGTTTCCTTAATGTAATTTACTTTTGGTATTGCGTCATTTTAACGTGTCATCAGTGGTTTATATAAATACCCCTACTGTTTTAATTCACATAACACGTTATGGCTTCATAATTGATGTTTCATTCCTTGTTTTCCGTATGGTTGTAGTCAGAAATCTGGAGACGAATAATCTCAAATTAAAATCTTAAGAGGTCTATGCGAAAACCATCGGAGCAGGATGAGGATATTAGTTTACTTATCTTTATAACACCGAAGCTGCCAACGGCGGCAAGTAATGTTATTCAATCCGACTATCCTCGTTCATTTTTACTACCAGCAAAATTTACGAAAGCTCTGTCAGAATTAACAAGTGAAATTGCAAATGCTTTACCTACAGAGTCGTCCCGACCGTAAGTATGTACATAATCTATCTATTGAATTGTATAAGCTGTCCAAAAAGCTAAATCTCCATAGAACAATCAGTGTTGCTGATAGCAAGGTTGGCAAACTATTAACAATGTGTTTCGAATGAAGCTTTATTCATACAGCAGGACCAAAAGCTTTTCAATACTCAGTGGTCGGTAACTGACACTCCATTAAGTGGTGGAGATATCTGTTATCGATAACATTGCCATATCCACATGACCTCGGCAATAGATGAGTGACTATGGCGTTGGAATTTCAAATAGCAGACCATGTGCTCAACCTCTTACCACGTATTTCGGTTTGAAAAGACAAATGTAAATCTCCACACAAATAATGTGGCAGAGATATATTTTGCACAACTCAGCAGCATGAATCAAGATCGAGTTCGTTAGATCTGATAGTCCAAAATATTTTCGGTCTTGTCATCTGTAAAATATTTATTTAGTTCTTGTCTACTAATTTATCTTTTAATGGGCAATTATAAGTATGTTTCATGTAAAATTTATACTGTCTTTGTTGCTGATAGATACATCACCACTTGAGTTTCATCCGTCCACTTTGCTTATCTGCTGGTTTTACGTGTTTAAAATACCGTGCTAGAGTCCGAACCACATGAAATGGTCAATTTAAGTGAACAAGTTGCTGCCATCAAGACTATCGTAGAGAAACATTTAAATGATACGTTATCTTTAAGACTGAATCCCGTCAGTCAATTAGATGACTTTGTGAATGCTGGTAAGCACTAAGTATCTTAACATTTTGAATTTATGAACAAACATTTTAATTTTTACATTTTCGGTCATCACGTATCTATACACCAGTATCTATTTCCAGTCATGTTAGGGCTATGTTCAAAAGTTATTCTGCTGAATAATAGAGACTAATGAAGCACCAAAAACAATGACACAACACGATATGTTTACTATAAGTTTGTCAGTACTGCAATCAGCTGTCAGTAAACCAATATTTCTTATTAACTTCTAAGATCTGTAGAGGGCTTAAGCGCTTAGAATTTATCAGGATCTTGTATGTTTAATCCCCTTCTGTTCGAGTTCTTTGGAGATAATGACAAGGAACTTTTGGATAAATGTCCAACAACTGTGCTTTTAGACCTTATAACGTTTGATACTGCGGGATGTTTCTGTAACATGATCTATGATCGTTTGTCATCTTCCAATGGTTCAGCGACTAAGTGTCATATACAGATAGTAAAATAACCGTAACAGAATTGGATCGTATTCATTTATCGAATTAAAAAAGCAATTCTAAACTCATTGTCATGGTACATGTGAAATCAAATTCTCTGTCATATTTTTAATTAGAATTTATGCACATATTGCATATTCATGTTCCTTCGTTCTGCCTTTTTAAAAAATGAGTAGCCGATTTTGGTTGTTATAAAAGTGGTCACAGTAAAAGATACGCTCCATGTACTATAGTTAAAGGTCTTGGAAAATATGCTAAATGACGATTATAGTTGTGTCAAAATATTATTTAATCATCACCATATAAATCCAGAGATCAAATGCTATTTCGCAACCTTGATTGCTCGATTTTTCGCTATTTTCACTAACACTAGTTGTTTGCAGACTTCCATGCTGTTCAACTTTTTAATTTAATTTAGCGATGCTGATTGTAATCTCGTTATTCAAGTCGTTCGATATTTGTAATAGTTCTACGTTCTGTTATTATTCTTAACTGTATTCCTAATTCTATCTTATTTCATCTAGACCATTTACCCATCGATCTTTCGCAGATGGATCTACAATTAGCTATTACCACTGCTGAGGCCATATTAGATAATGTGCGTTTCGAAGATGACGAATTAAAACGGGATTGTGAACAATTATCACAAAAACTTGAGCAGAGTGTAGCCCGATATAAAGCAGACTTATCTGAAAAGGAAATTTCCAAAAAAGAACACCACTTAAAACTGAGAACTGCTAAGTAATTAGTCCCATATTTTTTGCTTAATTAGTAACGTTCCCATGTTATGACACAAGACCCACTATAATCCGTATCCATCCAACTTGGTTTGACGTCGAATTTTAGTGGGTAAATGATTTTCCGAGGTACTGTTAGTGTCCGGTAGTAGAAATATAATAGCGCAACCACAATTTGATTTGGTCGGTTAGCCTTGCATTGGATATGATTGAAGCCCAACAATCGTGAAATGCAGTATTTATTTCAATGCTATTGAGAATCAAAGCGAACGGAGGTTAGTTCCATCTGCATGTTGTTTCCTTCGCGGGCTTTCGAATGCACACTTTAGATGCCCTCGAATCGTCAATATGGATCTAACAAGTGCAGTATGTTCGGGCTTCAATTAAAATTGAGCAACAACACAAGCAAATTTGAGTTGCCGACAAAGCGGATTAAATTGTTCTTATCGATACTATGTCTATCATGTTTTCTTGGCTACACTATAACACGCTTTACGAGGCTTCTAAATTTATTATTTCGTAAAGTATCCTTCTCACCGGTGTAGGGAGTTGCAGGCGTGCTAATTAGGTTCCTCAAAACATTATTAGTCCATTTTTCCATAGACTTGCTCTTTTTAGGCTTAAATTGTACAGTTTTTGTGCTTTTCTTGCATACGGGAACCAATTACAATAATATCTGAAGACAATATTTCTGTATAATCAAAGTTTATTTATTTCTAAGTTAAACTCTTGATTCTAAGCAAAATCTTAGTGACATCTGTGCAAGAAAACAGGACTCGACTAGTAGCAGTAGCAAAATTTTAGCATTCTCGACCAAACTTTATGCCAGATGTGAAATAAGAATATCTTTTAAATTGTACCTATATATTGAAAATTGAATTATTTTTGATGCAACGAACTATGTAAGTACTCAAACGAAACATTCTCATATAGCTCGAACTCTAGCATAAACGACTGTTTGCAAATTACTGATACACCACTACAGTGAATCTCCCAAGCAATATTAATTGAATAGCCGCACGTGCATTAAAATGAGTTCCATTCTGCCTATCTTTGACGTTTGTGAGTACCAAATAATCGTCCCCAATTATTTTATTTTTGTTTAAGGGCGAAACTATCGGTCTACGAAAAATTCACGAAGACGAAGTTCACCATTAATCAAAACTCCATCACAGCTTGTATCCTTTTTACACTTCTCACAACTTCTTTTCATATAGATTTTGTGTTCTAGTTAAGTTGTAGCCTTGGTAGCACGTGTAGTTACATAGAGCTACCCAGACTACTGTAAATGAAAATATATTGTCTAAGCTGACGACAGTTCCTTATCAAAATCTCTCCATCATAGTTATTTTCAACCCGGATGACATGGTACAATTAACTATTCCAGAAACCCTGACGAGTACCGATATTTGTCAAATGATGAACTCACTCCAAAAGAATGTGACGAAACCCACGTTAAGTGAAAATGAGATCAGACAAATGAAAAATTTATGGGGTCGTATGAAAGTTTCTGAGAAATGGAAGCACTTAGTCGATCAGTAACCAAAATATCAGAACTAAAAAGTTGCGTGTGCAGGTGGGAAGATTTGGAAATAATACTGCATATTCAGTTGTATTTATTTAAAAAATCAAACTTCCGTGTGAATTTGCTATTTATGTGTACCGAGTTATTTCATTAACACAGTACTCGTTAAACAAGGGAAAGACTAAGCAAATGTTCAATATCCTCATGTGTCGCATATTGCAATAGATGTATGCTTGAATGTATAATTACAAATGTAAAGGAAAAATCGACGTTTTTTTACGTTAAGATGTCCTTGATCTACCAGATTATTAATGACAAACCTGCTACGTACGTACGTGGTGCAAGCTATGGCATACACATGCATGTTTGTGTCAGTTTTATGGCAGCTTTATTTAAATAGTCAACCGATTATTGAATTTCTAGTTTTGCAAAAAGAAATACACTTTACTGTTATCAGTCAACCTTCGCGTGGGGTAATGGAAATAAACAAATAGTAGGACAATTGCTTGATGATCGCTGGGTATAGTACTCATAAAAGATTTGTATCAGATATTTATGTTAAACATTTGACTTCACTATTAATAATGCTCACAATGTACTTAAGAAGAGTATAGTTGAAAAATCTTTTTAAATAAAACAATATGTTGTAACAGTTTGAGTAAAACATTTACGGACGTTGCTCCTAATATAAATTAAGGAAATACTGATCTATCTATATTTATCTTTATAACAGACGTACATTAGGGCGCTTAAATTATTCACAGCCAGAAGATGATAAATGAAACAATTCCCTAGGCACAAAAATACCACAATCTAGAGTAAAAATAGCCTGAGCGGAAAGAAAGTTGAAGCAGTGTTCAATATACACAGTAAGAACACAAAAAAGAGTAACATTTCATTATATGGTTTACATGTCCCTTTTACCCATAAGTTTGTTAATAACAAAGGGTTGTGACAAAGTCAAAATACAAAGAATTATGTTAGGATTATAAACTACACATATTCTTTGTTATACATAAGAACTGACAACGAAGTAATATTATCTTAAAACAAATTGTCTTAATAACTTAAGTAGTGGATCTGTATGCGTACATTTAAATAAGTAGGAAAATAAGTTACTTTTCTACAGAAACGAGGAAATGAGCTGCGAGGTACGAAGCAGCTAATACAGTAAGTTAACAGAATGAACCACGACGAAAGAATAATAATTGCTGCGATGCTTTTGTGTGTAGTAAAATTAAGTAAATCTGTTCAATTAAATCTTAACCGAAAAAATAACAACATAATTAAGATAATTGTAAATATAAATAATAAGAAAATGAATTATTATTAGTAGTAATGTTGGTTACTAAGATTATAAGATAGTTGATATATTTATTCTTCATGGCAAAAAAAGACTTCTAAGGAATTGATACATATGCTTATCACAAAAATTCGTTATACTAATCAAAACAAAATGCAATAAATCTTCGGAAATGAAGGAAACAACACGGACTAGCGACGCGAGGCGCTGATAAATAAACTGAGAAGGGAGAGGAAAAGCGATAACTTGGTAAAGACATAACGGCAAATATTAACTAAACAATTATCATACATAGATGCAACAGACGAGTTCAGGAATTTCTATTAATAAGCTACTATATAGGAACAACAAATCTGCCCAAAATATTCGTCAGGAAAGCCCTGGCTCTCGCAAAACAATTTATGATGCACGAAGTTAAGGCCACTAGAACTTTCTGTCTGAAAATTGGAATATAACTAATCACAAAAATAGTCATTCTAAGCATTCGTGCATGATACGTTTCACAACTAGTTAAGAATAACCTAGACAGAAGTATTGGTGGTGAAACTAACCTCAGTGGATAGTAATTGTCAAAAAACGTAAAATATTTCTACTAGAAGAAAAACGAATGAGATAAATAAAAGATCTGGTTTTAATTTACAAAAATCATTATCTTTTTTATTACTCTAGTAGCGTGGATGGACGTAGTGAAGAATTTGGGCAACGATTAAATGTTTTTGTTTGAATAATGTTTAAAGAACAAAAGTTATCTGTACATAAGATAGGTGCTGGGACAGTATGGACACAAAAATAGAGAAATCAGGATACAAGGATCTCGAAGACACCGGGCAAATTATCTGCGATATTAAGTTAAAGATAAAACCGAACTTTTATGCAGGATATATAAATATGCATACATTAAGCGGAGGAGTAAAACAGGATGAGTTAGGGCCCACCTCTTTCAATCTGTAAACAATTTTCCAAGTTTTGATTGGAAGCTACGATCTGCAACAAGTGAGCGGGGAAGTATGAAATAAAATTGTGACAATATCTCTACTGATAGCATTTGACAACCGAAGACTACTGTATATAGTACAATATATTCATAACTTCAACATCCAAAAACTAAGTTCGTATATCGTTAATTTAAATTTCTGATTATTCTGCAAAGACAATCATCGATACAAAACAAGTGTCTGAGCAAGCTGTCCATATAATTTGCGGATTACCCCGATTGCATATACTATTTTAAAGATACGTCAAGCTTCAAATGAAATGAGAAAAAATAAATTAGAAATACCAGTAATAAACCAGTTAGTAAAGCGACAGTGGAAAATCTGTTTTATTTACTTTAAAAGATTTGAACCTTTATGAATGCTGATGCATCAAAAAAGTACAGAGTTTACTTAGTACGCTATTTTATTATAAACAACTGGAACAACAAACAAATGCATAGTATTATGTTGTGATGAAATTCGTGCGACTTCCACTCCTTTGATAAAACATGGGTAATTCTTGCTTTTCATTGATTTTCAAAGAATTTTAGCCCGTATTAAGTTATCATAGGAAATGAGCTCGTATTCATTATGTACTTCTAATAGTTACTATCAGAATGGTAACCAAATAGATGCACAATCTCTTCCTAATTAGAAACCTCCCTATTAACTGATCATTAGCTTTCTTGAAAAGAACATCACTATGCTCATGCCTAAAAATCGTTGGAAATTTGTATTTTGACTTGGAAATGAACACCGACTGTAACACTTAATACAGTATGCCTGTGCTGAAAAAATTTATTTGAACTACATCCAAGCAATCTGCCACTACGTACATGTTAATAGAGACAATCTCATGAAGAAATTGCAGGCCCCCAAATGCCCTGGTATGGCCGAGAGCTGGGAGGGTTCGCCCTCCCTCTCGAAATACTCTCACACGGCCACGCGTATGCAGCCTCTGCCAGGGAAGTCCTACTCACTGCCTTCTCGTGGCGGGGGTGTTGTTTACGAAAATGAGAGGACGAAAAGCGAACGTCCGGCGCTATAACCGGATCCCAATTCTATGGTGCACATGGGCTCCAGTATCCTGAAGGAACAAATGGCGTATGAACCAACTTTTGGTCACCGGCTACCATGGGACTGCATCTCCTCACGATGCTCCACTGCCTTGTGGACTAGACCTTTAGGTCAAAGGCTCGGGGTGTGGCCCCCTAAGAAAACCACCTGCTTCGGTTTGGGCACCCGGGCAGTATCTCAGCCCACACACCAAAACATGATGAAATATTCGCTTACGGAAAATATTCGTTCTTCTCTGACTAACATTGAAATGACTGATACTATTATTATTATTATTATTATTATTATTATTATTATTATTATTATTATTATTTACTACGTCGTTTACTCACTATCTCCTATTTCTACTTTTTGCATCCGTTTCGACTCAGACAGCAGCTCGCCTATGGTAAAAATTCAGCTTTATCTAAACGTTCTCGAGTCACTGCCTGGTTTGAAAATTGTATGTTACCATCGAATAAGAGTACTGAAGCAGTCTTTCTGAAACCACGCGCACCATTCAAACTGGCTGCCTTTAACGTTCGCACACTTATGCAGGTCGGACAACAGATAGGGCTGGCAATGTCTTTGGAAAGTCTTAATATTGATGTGTGTTGTCTATCCGAGACCCGTATTCAAGACTCTGGTGAAGTACTACAAGTTCGCTCTCCATCTGTCGCTCCAAAAAGCTTGTTTTACGTGCGTTTATCCGGGGACCCTGTGGCATCTTCGTCTGGTCTTGCTGGCGTTGGTGTCGCACTAAGCGCAAGAGCTGAGGCAGCACTAGTCGACTGGATCCCCATTAACAGTCGGTTATGTGCTGTTAGATTAGAAAGTACCATCAGAGTGAGAAGAAATCGGCGTGAGAAACGATGTCTTTTCGTCATCTCCGCCTATGCCCCGACAGATTGCAGCCCGAATGCAATCAAGGATGAGTTCTACCACCAGCTAACTGTTCTTCTCCAGAAAGTGCGTTCGACAGATATTGTAGTACTAGCTGGAGACTTGAATGCTCAGGTCGGGCGTCTAGGCACAGAAGAGAGTCGTTTAGGCGGCCGATGGGGACTCGTTGGTCGCAGGACAGATAACGGGGAACGTCTACTGCAACTATGCACAGACCACAACCTGTTTCTGGCTAGCACTAACTTCCGGCACAGTCATCGCCGATGTGCCACCTGGCGTCCCCCTTCTGCATCTCAAGCCTGGACTCAGATTGATCACATCGCGATCAGCTACCGCTGCCGCTCCTTTTGGAGTACCTATCTGGAATCTGATCATGCTCTGGTCTGCGCCAATCTTACCTTACTTTTCAGTGGACAACGAAGTGACCGCCACCACAGGATTGATGTTAGCAAGCTGGCTGCAACTTCTGTTGCTAGTAAGTACCGAGCCGAGCTAGCTTCTAGGCTAGCCACTATTCCACCGAAAAGTATAGATGAGCATTGGTTGCAATTGCATGACGCCATGAAAATGGCGGGTCAAGTCAGCTGTGGGTTCGCGAAACGTTTCGCTTACAAGCACTGGGTTTCTTCTGGTTCCTTACAACTGATTGAAGCCCGTCGGTCTACTCCGGGTGACCGTGAGTTTGACCACAGACGAAGGTTGTTACGTAATGAAATCGGGCAAAGCTTGCGTAAGGACCGAGAAACCTGGTGGTCGGAGCGTGCCAGTGAGTTGGAAGCAGCAGCTGCATCTGGTAATTACCGGAAGCTCTTCCAACTCATCCGAGCCACCGGCAGCAAGAAGTCTGGTGTGAGCGAAACAATCTGCGAGGATGACGGAACGCCAATCACTAACATCCATCGACGTCTTGGACGATGGGCAGAATTCTTTGAAGGGCAGTTCAACTGGCCTGCTGCTCCGGCAACATCGGTCAGACTGTCCTGCCCTCCTTGGCCGGTGACGACTGATCCACCAAATGAGGCGGAAGTCCGCAAGGAACTCCAACTCTTGAAACGTTACAAATCACCAGGCCCAGACGACTTACCTTCGGCTCTTTTTAAAGATGGTGGTGACTTTCTGACTAAAGGACTGACGACGTTGTTTACAAAGATCTGGGAACTAGAGAGTGTACCAACGTCATGGAATGAGTCGATAGTTGTCCCTATCTTTAAAAAGGGTTCACGTTGTTCCTGTAACAACTATCGGGGGATAAGTGTACTTCCGATTGCGTCCAAGCTATTGGCTTCCGTCATACTTCGTAGGTTGTTCAGAACCCGAGAAGGATTGACTCGCGAGGAGCAGGCTGGGTTTCGTTCTGGTCGAGGATGTATTGATCATATCTTCACCCTCCGCCAAGTGTTAGAACACCGCCATACTTATCAAAGGCCAACAATCGTAGTGTTTCTTGATATCAAGGCTGCTTTCGATTCGTTGGACAGAACTGTTCTCTGGGATTGTCTATTGAAGAGGGGTGTGCCTGAGAAGTTTATTAACATCCTAAAAGCCTTATATACAAACACCTCAGGTAGAGTGAGGGCATACAACCACCTTTCTTCACTATTCCATTCAAGCAGTGGAGTTAGGCAGGGTTGCCCAATCTCACCATTCCTCTTCAACTTTGCCATCGATGACATTCTGGAAACAGCTCTGACGGATGTAAGTAATGGCGGTGTGGATCTGTTGCCTGGAGAAAGACTTCTCGACCTTGAGTATGCGGATGATATTGTCTTACTGTGCGAGAATGCCCAAGCCATGCAATCCGCACTTAATCAGTTGGCAATCAGTGTCCGTAGGTATGGTATGTGCTTTGCACCTTCGAAGTGCAAAGTACTTCTACAAGACTGGCAGGATTCTAATCCTGTACTCACTCTGGATGGTGAGCAGATAGAAGTGGTCAAGAAGTTCGTGTATCTAGGTAGCTGCATAAGTGCTGGTGGTGGCGTGAGTGATGAGATCAATGCACGTATAGTGAAAGCCAGAGCGGCTTATGCCAATCTGGGCCATCTTTGGCGCCTTCGTGATGTTAGTCTGGCTGTAAAGGGTTGGATCTACAACGCGACGGTGTGAGCAGTTTTGCTCTATGCTTGTGAAACCTGGCCTCTCCGAGTTGAGGATGTTAGACGACTCTCTGTGTTCGATCATCGTTGTCTCCGAAGGATTGCTGGCATCCAGTGGCAACACCATGTCAGTAATGCAGAGGTTCGGCATCGAGTGTTCGGTCACAGAGACGATAATGAAATTGGTGTCACCATCTTGAAACACCGACTTCGGTGGCTTGGACATGTTCTACGAATGTCGTCCCAGAGAATTCCTCGTCGTGCATTATTTGCCGACTCTGGGACTGGTTGGAAAAAGCGGAGAGGTGGTCAGTATATGACATGGTGTCGTGGTATGAAAGAAAGCTGCAAAGGGCTAGCTTCTGTTGGTCCTTCACGACTCCCTGGTTGGGGTCCGAGAGATGGTGTAACGCAGTGGCTAGAGACGTTATCAGATATGGCTCAGAATAGAAGCCAGTGGCGATCCTGCTGTAACCTTCTTTTACTTTCTTCATAAAAAGGTGGTCGTATTCTTCCTTAACTGAAAGATCTGTTCTGATTGTACCTTTCCGTTTCCCCCACCATTGTTCTCTCTCTCTCTCTTCTTTTTTTTATAAGTCCCCACGTTCATTACTTTTTTTTTCTTCTCTTTTCTCCTTCTCTTCTAATTATCACTGTTTTGTGTGGCGCATATATATTTGGTGCCCCCCTGTACCAATATTTATGTGTTCAAATAAATAAATAAAGAAATTGCAGAACAGTTACCAAATCAATATATACACAACTGGTAACAAAGACGTACTTAATTCTAACCATATCACTAAATACTGGTGACAACAACAAAGTGATACTTACCAAATTAGCTAGCTAATCCACTAGATGCATTTGGTCATGACACTACGGTATGATTAACTATCCGTTTTAATTTGATGTGACGGTGATGTATTTTGTTCATTACTGGAAGACATTTTGCTTCCTTGTAGAATATTAGTTTTGGTTGAGGGAGATTCAGTTACTACAGGTTCTGATTGCTGACATCCTGTTGATGAATCATTGAAATTTAATTTACTCGAACAAGTACATGATACCAATGAAGGACTTGACGAAGTTGTATGGATACTGAGTGAGCTACCACCAACAACAGGACAGCTACAACAACAAACAATGTCTTTAGAACTGCATAGAGATTGGTTTTTACTAACTTCAGTAAGAGTAGTAGATGCCACAGGGTCTTCACCTAAAAAGATTTTAGGCAAAATGCAGTGAATACAAACAAATTTTGACAAACGTCTGTTGAGTACATTTCCAATGATGATAAAAGAGTCAGGTATATATATGAAGCAGTAAGAATTGTTACAACCTATTATCACTATACAAAGATCAAGACAAGAGACTACGGGATGGGAATAATAGGGGTAAGAATCTACACAAAAATGGGACACCATAGTAGACAGGAAGGTTTGTCACTAAATTGAGACAATTCTATGCACATTTCCATGGATTATAGCCTACTATAGTCCAATATATTTGGTATAAACCTGATTAAAAATTTGCACATCATGTTGTACGAATCAAGCCTGGACTGAAATGGGTTATACTGTAATTAGCTACTGGTAAAACGGATGTATCAGACACCAATAACTGCGCAAACAGGATGCCATGAGTGGCAAACACATCTTATCGAGACGTCTTTATAAATACTGAGGTTGTGTGCATTCCCCCCACATATTAACAACTGTCAACCTTATTATGCGATATTGAGCGTACAGTATCACGCTTACAATTCTTTTCACGAAGGCTGAAAAACCTGGTGATCAGAAAGTTATCGGAGAAGCCTATCAAGACTTAACAACTACCAAGCTTGTATAACACTTTCCATAAAATTTTAAAACCTGCTATTGAAGTAAGCAATGTCTATTAGAATTTTTTCGGAACTGAATTCATTATCCAGCTAATTCAAAACCGAGACAACCAATTGAATATTTTGGAAACCAAAAAATATTTCAAATTGTGCACATATAAAAACATACCAACATCGACATTGACTGATGATGATGCACTGAATTCACAAAACTGTGCATCATGTGATTTGGAAGGGAATGTGTGTATAACATTTTCTTCTTTAGTAGGAATACACCCAGAGGACTGTGAACATATCGATTGATCAGGATGATGTACATGACCTGAGACTAACTCTGAATATGATTGATTTTGTTTCGAAGGAACACCCAAACTTTGATTATGTGAATAAACATTACTAGTAGAGTCTGAATAAGAAGGTGTATGTTTGGAAGTTCTCATGAAACTAGTATCAGGAACAGTAGATGAACGCAATCCAACAAACCAGTTGGCCGAATTATCTGAGTAAATGAATGGAGAAGTTAAAAATTTGACAAGAATAATTCTAAGTGTTCGCTTACAATATAACTCAATAACTGTATTAAACTTATGTATGAGCACAAACGCTCATAGGTGTTAAGAACTAACATAATAAAACTCTGAGTACTATTGAAATGATCCAGTTGAGAATTAAACTGTCGTCCGACTATCCAAATTTCTACTGATTCCTTTCTACAGAGGAAGTAAACAGTGTCGTTCAAACCAAGAAGAGTAAGAGTAACGAATTGAGCAAATCAATGTAAATTCATTTCATCTAGTCAGATTAGCATCAACAGTTTACAACTTACAATATCCAAATATTAAGTATTCAAGCAATTCAAGCAGAATATACATAAACTGGTATGAGAACAAAACAAGGTGATATGTAAACAAAAGATTGTGCTCAATTAGAATGAATCTGAATGGTATACTATGAAGTTGTAGTTGTATTGTTCGAATAATAGTTCATGTGAAACAAAAATTAATTTCGATAATTGAAAAAGAAAATTTATAAAATGACGGATTACATAATCACAGCGACTAAATAGATATTTAAAAATAATAAAAAACTTTAGAAACGCTTACCATTGGACCATACGCATAAAATTTGTTAAAATGAACCATTCCAAATTGTCATTTTGGAATTCATACTCACTTTGTTCCAAAAACAAAACTGTTAGTGGTGATCCCTCAAGATTATATATCAAGTAATTCAAATGATACGACGTCTACTGTTATTATTCATAGCAGAGACTAATAAGCTTAATTATTGTTTGCTGGGCTTTCACAATATTGAACCGTATGGTTTATTCGTGACTAAATATGGATAGAACAATTGATGAACCACATTTCGGGAAGTCCTAATACGTCATTTCCTTTTGAATTATACTGCTGGTGTTTAAAGTGAAGGAAAGTTTCACAATTAAACTATCCAGATCAAACAGCAAAACACCTCCGAAGTTCTCCTTATTAGCTACAAATCTTTAACTTTTTTTGGCTTATAAAATAATTTGGATAAAATGAGTCTGGATTGTCCGTTAGTGTCAATCGAACTATTTGGTCATACCCGTAAGGGGTATCAATAGCGCTTATGATACTCAATACGATGGAAACCACAGAGTGATTATGAATTTGACTTAATTGAATAATTATATGATTTTGAGCATAATATAAAAATGATTTAGACATACCTGACTGACATAGGTTCCATAAAAAATACTATCTATAAACATCCAATTATTATATACATAACTAAAATATACAACTATTTGCTAATGAAGTTGATTGGATGAAAATCGATTAGCCTAATAAAACGATAACTCATTAGACAATCACAGTTTAGCTGCCCTGATTACATATTACATCAAAGATTATGTCCAGTAGGAAAGAATTGTATTTATTTCATTTATTTATTTGAACGCATAAATATTGGTACACAGGGGCACCGAATACATATGCGCCAAACAAGTCACTTGATTTATCTGTTGGCTGTGATACTTCCCGGGAAAAAATTGAAAGATGGTGTAATCGAACGCAAAAGAAGTAGTGATTAGTTATTGACGTAGTACATCCATAATTACTGCTTCCCACTGAATACATAAACTCAATTTTAACTTGAGTACATTCAAGTCTAAACCTGAATTTAGATTGTAAATGAAGACATATTAACTTAACTTCTATTTATGAAGTTCTTGTTTCTGTTATGAATAGTTTCCTTTTTCACCAAATGACTAATAATTTAAACTCACTGAAGTGTATTATGCATTCTACCATAACTAAGCATATAAATACTAGGAGTCTTAAACACCTGATACGAATCTGACAAAATGAAATGAAATTTTCATTTCATTAAAAGAGTAGAAATCGTTCAGAATCAAAGTTAACTCACAGTTAAAGTTGAAGAGATTATTATCAAATAGAGGAATCGTATTCCTGAACAAAAATATATGATACATTGTCTTAATTTCACTAGCTATGCATTTCGAGGAACTCAAGTATAAGCATAATGAGGATCTATCAATCATCTACATGAGTGTTCCTATAAAATGATAAGCCTCAGACATAATTCTCGTAGTTGGTAGAATTCACTGTGTCAGAAATGAGGAATGCAGAAAAATATTTTTATACTAATGTACATCAAAAAATATGTTGTCTAAACCTATGAAGGAGTACTTCATCAAAAAAACTATACAAAATTCACAAATAAAGAAGTTAAGAATAAGGAAAAAAAAATTTGATTATCATCTTATCTGTAGATATCAAAACGTGAAAATTGTTCAATACGAAAGAAATCTTACGGAATTGTGCGAGTGATTTTTGAAAGTCAACATTTAAGGAATACTAGATTTACCTTCTGGTAAAATTACACTTGGTCTACTTTCTGCAGTTGGTGACGGTAAATGCGTAGCAAGAAGAGGTGCTATATAACTAGCTGGTTGAGAACCTGCAGGTGATATGAGGGGAAATGGTCCTGACCCAGCCATATTCAGAAATCCATGATGTGTAAGAGTTGAGAATGTTTGGTTTATTTCAGATACATCTTCAGTTTTACAACCCAAACGCAATGATCCCAATAATTCATTTAATGTTGGTGGTTGTTGTCTAATCGGTGCAACTTTTACATCCATTTCCGAACTAACACTAACAGGAAAAGGTTGAGATAAACACAAAGAAGGAGAAATGCCAGGGTAAAGTGTAGCAAGGTGAGGACTCCCTGGGTCTATTTGAGGAACACCAACAAGATTCCCACCATTACCACCCATTAATGATGGTGAAGTACTATATGGAATCGTGAATGATGGCTGAGATATACCAGTCATGTATGGACTAGATGGTGCGAATATATCTGGATGAGATGGATATGATTCACTGGGGTGTCTAGAAGCCATTGCAGTTAAAAGTGATTGATTCGTTGGATAAATAGCTGCAAAAATACAAAAATAATCATGGGTGTGACTACGGATGAAAACAATTAGTTACAGCATTTTCGAATTATTAGAATGAACTGGGTAAGCTTTCTAATCATGGTTAGTACAGTATCAAAGAAGGAAAATCCGTTGAGGTCAGATTAGTGAAATACGCTCTATGAAATTAAAAGATCACTTTTAGTGAATCGTAGGACATTCAAGTATACAATATAAAGGTTAGGTGCGAGGTCACTAGGAAAAGATGGCGTATCAGCTGTTTAGGCTGAGAATTTTTAATAGCTGAGGTTCTTAGGTAATGCGTTACGTATGTCTGTCTACCACCCACCATGACGCGCAACGTACAAAGGAAACTAAAGGGCGGTCTAACCAGAAGGTGGTATCGATTCATGAAGTCATTGACTGCTGGAGCGAAGCACGCTGATAGTTACGGAATACATCGTTAAAGTTCAAGCGATAGCTGGAGACAGGGTAACATGACCCAGAACGAAGCACAGCTTCCTAGTCGCATTCACTCGCTACTAGTGCACTAGAGTCTTAGTATACCATTACATCTTATTTTCGAACCACGTTTAGTTTATCTAGTTACCAATCATACTATAACTCTCAGTTTTATATTACTGTAGTGTTTTGATATGGGAGCTTCTACACATTTATGTCAGGCTCTACACCCATTATGGCTAACTGAATAACTTAGGTAAAATATTAATTTGTTAAGGTTTATTGTTATATTCTAAAGCAGGTCGGAGATTGGACGCGCTTGCACACTTATTTCATTGAAATACCAGACCCGATAACACAAACCTTAACAGTTACCGGAAATTGGAATGTATCGATCCAGAACTTACATCATTAAGCTACAAGTATGCAAATCCAAGAATACCTGTCTTTTACAGTTTAGAAGCTTATTGTTTAATAAATCCGAACATACTTTACACATAGAGAGTAGCCTATATTCTAGTGTCACTTTATACTTGATTATTGAGTTGCATTAAGAATTATCATCAGGTTAATTCTGCTTATGATTAACAGGGACAATCAATTTCCCATACTAGTAAAAATCGAACCGAGTCCTAGGAAAGTATGCACGCCTTGCAAAGCCGACACGTTTTCGTCGCTATGTAATGACTGTTTACAGGTATTAATTCTTGGGGAAGTTTTGTGGTTAGAGCTCTCTGTTATCAACCACAATGTGGCTGGTGAGAACCACCCAGTCTACTTTGGTTTGGAAAGCCAGACAGTATTTCGTGATTGAGAAACCAAAAGCTTAATATACAAATCTACCATGTCTTTGTTGCTAGCATTACCTTGAATTACCCGATTTGGTAATATGGTGTCCACCTTTTAGACTGGATTGAACAAACACAAGACTAAGAAATAAATACGTTTCAAATAAAACTGTATATCAAAATTTCAGTTTAACGATCGCCACATAGATCGAAGAGTACTAAGTCTATTATTATTTGAGCCTAGAGCAATGGATGTCACTAAGTTGAGATCATGAGAATTTTCTGAAGGCCTGGCAGATATTGAATTTATAAAGGTCCATATGGATTACCACATTGTATCTCGAAAAGATACTTGTTAACGAAATAATTTATTTTCAGGAGAAAAACGTAACATTTAAGTTTATTTTTTAACGTTAAGGACCAAAATATGTAAGATGTACATGATTAGTGAATGTTATATGTCTGATCTCAAGTGTTTAGTGCGACTACCTGGTTCCTATTCCATATCACTGGGGACAATTGCACTCAATTATGAAATGTTCACATTACTACTAAACATTCATGACAAAGAAGTACGTCAACAAATTTATTATTGAATCCGAATCGTTGATAGGGAAACCAGGTTTTCTTGTGGATGCGTGGCTCCCAGAAATTAGCACTGTTCTACAATTGAGTAATCGTCTAATAATTTGCATCTTAAGAAAATTTTCCTAAACAAATACAAGGAAGTTCATAAACACAAAAGGCCTGAAGCCTTGTTTAGTAGCACAAGTACTTATAAGTCTAAATCTGCTGTTACCAAAACTCAAACACTGTATTTCCTTCTTAGTCCACGAAACTATGTGATAAAGTCTACTGTTGTTTTGCTTTAAATATACATAATTACGATACTAATTACCATCATGTTAGACACACCGTATGAACAAATTATTTATCATGGTATATTAAATCTAAAAACTTTGATAATAATGAGTGTACTTACCCAACCAATACCTGTACAACAAATAGGTCTTAATTGAGAAACGAGATATTATGGTGATATTGAAAACTTTTGATAATAATTGGGATACAACATAAGGAACATGCCCTAACGTTAACGAAAAATAAATGGACTACTCGAAATTGTAAAAGTATTATTAAATGTCGTTGATCAGATAATAATGATAATACCTATATGTGAAGACCCTCCGAATGACCCGCGTGAAATATGATTGGGAATCTGGAGAGTAGAATCTACGAAAAAAATATGTGCTAGATATTTGAAATGAATACCGAGATAAATTAAGCAGCAGTAAAGTTTTCGAATTGTATAACATGCTTTAAAATAGACGTATCATATGGACTCTTCAGTCATATAAATACTAACAACGGCAACACATTCATACCGATCATTTCTAAACGTATGGTATGCTCTTGTCTTGACAGAATTGCATTCCAGATGACCTCCAGTCTTAGATAACTAACACTACACAGAATGCTTCATAAAAGCGATTCGTGCATACAGGAATGGATTTTTAACAAACGTAGTTACTGACAGTGAAACATAATTCTTATCAAATGAAAAGTAGTTATAGGGCTCCAACCGATAATCTCTAATCACTGTTTCTTGTTAAATGAGAAACTGATCAAAGTAGTTTAAAGAAACCAACCGAAATTTAAGGGTCCCGGATAAGCTGCATCAAAACATGTGGGTGTCTGAATTTGAGATTCACCAATGGGCCAAATACTTTCGTGCAATAAAGTGCTTCCGTGTCCGCCACTCCCTCCGCCGGTATTCGAACCGCCTCCACTTGCACCCCCTCCACTACCTAATAGAGGGACATTACCAGTAGGTGTAGCTGAACAGAATCCTTGCCCATACTCTGGCAAAGCTGGCGGTAGTACAGTGGCATCCTCAGGTGGTACGTACCCGATATTTGTAGATAGTCCATGAGTAAACAAGGTGGGCATATTAGTTGGAGCCATATCTACAGATGGCAGAGTTGGGTAGTAACCGGTGGTATTTAGATTTGCCGCCAGAGCCGCGGCTTGTACCTGGAGTAACGCAGCATGGAAAAGAGACGATCCAAAAGGATTAGCAACGGCTGAGAAACCAACACCACTTGGTACATTATCATCCCATCCTTCGATGTTACCACAAGAAGCACCACGACCAGGAGGTAAGCGTAAGTGTGAACCTTGGCTTGCATCGAATCGAACAGATGGCATAATTGCAAAAGGAGACCCAGTTGGATAAGCGCTCGCTACAGGACCACGTACATGTGAGTAAGAAATGGCAGGGTAGATGGCTGACTGGGGGTCCTCGGCTATTTTGGCTAAAACTAAATCTACAGCTGCACGACACTGATCTGGTTCACCTACAATGAAATAAAATGAACAGCAACTGAAGTATGTTTGATAAAGAAGAAATGGAAATAATTTTCAACGAAGTAAATTTACTGAGGGAAAACAACTGAAATGTAGCGTACAAATGAATTGTAGTATAAAAATTACACTGAGTAAACATAATTTAGAACCATACAACGTAGATTGAATTAAAAACCAAGACAAAAGAAGTATATGATATGAATATCTGAAACAAAAGAGTATAGCGCTTGATAGCTATACGGTAAACAGCCGCTTCTCACCTGCAATAGTTATACAGCGCTCCAATAAATTGATTTCGACAGACTTCTGTGAAATCTGTATAAAGGCCCCTGTTCTGTCTTTTATCTCTCGGACATAACTACCCAATTTCCCAATTACAAGACCCGCAGTGCAGTTTGGGACCAAGATCTTAACCTTCAACCGAAAATAATTGAAAAGGGGTTAAAAATTAATTTCACAGGATATATATATATATATATATATATATATATATATATATATATATATATATATATGATTGTGTATGGATGAGAATGTGCTAATGTGAAAAAGACGTATGATGTAAAACTAGCGAATAAATGAAGTAGTTTTGTAAATTAATCAGATGAACATGCAGCTTATCTGCGAAGTATTGAGTTAGGTACACAGCCGTGAGACACTTTGTGCATGCGTTAATGATGCAAAATAATGAGATTGAAGGATGGAAAAAATGAAATAACACTAAAAGTAAATTCAGGAAGAAAATGAGTGTTTCTTTGAACGCTTTTTATTACAAATTACTACAATTAAACATCTTTTAACCAAGGACTATGTGGCCACCGACATGCCATAGACTGAAAACCAATGACTTAATGAACTACTACAGTAATCTGTCCATTATAAGGCATTTTGCAAGCTACTAGCATGCAATGCGGTGATTGGAGATAGTCGGCAAGAAATCCTGGGCCTAAGTTTCCTGTTGCCTGGTACTCTTCAGTGAGGTGTACCTATAATATTAAGCGGAGTGGTGATCCCTAGGAGGTTTGACCTCATGTCACCCAAATTCACAGTCAAATACTGCCACTGAGCTATATAGGATACGGTTGATCTCTTGTAGGACTGAGAAGTATTTAAAACTGATTAATCACCAAGTACAGACTAATGTTATGTATGTTAAGCACTTCTTAGTGCTGATCGAACTTTATCAATAAAGTTGTGGTTGGAGGTGGTTGACGGGAAACTCTAGCTACTCGCGTGTCAGCAGGCATTACGCTCCAAGATGATGGTTAAACATACGTTACGCGTGTCTCAACCACCGTAGTCGATATAGGCTTGCACCATTATTAACAGAACCCCCACTTTAAACTAGAAATTAATGCAGATCAATCCTGAAGCAACACCTTGAGTCTAAAGTGTTATGATTTGATGTCCGGCTTACGATGACGTGGCTTATCCACCAAATCAGAATACGGCTTATACAAATCTTCGCACTATGACAAGTCCAATGACGTTCAACCGGTCTGAGCAGTCTAGCGTCCTTATTGGGTTCTATGTCCTTCTAACCCGTCCTCTTGAGTTCAGAATACAACACCAGCTTCCGTAATGAATCGAATCAGACCAAATCGAATGGAATCGAACCAAATCGTTTATTTCAGACATACTCGGTTTATATATCAATCAGGCAGACCACAACGTACCATAAAATAGAAAATAACATGTGTACACAAATAAGCCAAAAGTGGCTGTGAACATGAGAGACAGTAATTAATAAACTGAGCATAATTTAGGGACAGTAAATCGTACAATGGTAAATTATAGGTCAAAATGAAGCTTATAATAAGGGGAATATAAATATACATAATCTAACTATTGAATAGTTATACCGTAAGAATATAAAGATAATATTAGTCAATTAACATCTTAGAAGTTACTCGTGATTTAATCTTCGCTCGGATATAACATAAAGTTAGAGAAATTCATCTCAAATTTTTGCTGCCAGTCAAAGCATTTAGAAGGCTGTATTTAGACAGTCTCCATCAAGCAAAACTGTGTCATCTTCACGCCATAAGGTAACAGACAAAAAAGTTTGTCATTTCAAAAAGCACAACTAAGAAAACCCAGGAAAGTGGGTAGGCCTAAGGATAATCGAATATGACGTAGAAAACAAGTGGTTACATTAGACGATAGTCGAAGTCCAAGATCAACAGTCTCCTACCGACTGTCCATAAATATCATAGAAAGACACATAGTTTCTGTGCTTATCATCGTCTGTGCTCATCAGGTCAAACAATATTTAAGTTTATGCTTAAAATAGGTTTTGACTTTGTAAGTGGTTTATGTTGCATCATTTCCTTACTTTTCAAACCTTACAGTCAGCAATACGAATTAGTCCTCCAAAAACTTAACCACAATTAAATAAACCTGTTTGACATGTTAGGGTAAATTAAGAACAATCCTTTGAGTCACACTATACTCCGTAGCCACCGCGCCAAGGCATCCGCCACGATCGGCGAATACTACAAGTGAAAATAGAACTGTGGAAAGTATATAAGGATTTCTAAGGCACTTTCAAGCCCAATCTGAACCAACATTATGCAAATAAAATTGACATATTAGCTCCACGATACACAATTTGGAAGTCAATACTGTTTGGAGGTATCACTACCAAACAGTAACAAATTAAAAACTATGAAAAGGCAATACAGTGAGTCGTAAGACTAGGATAAAGCTAAATACATTCAAAAATAGGAAGAAATGAACTTGCCTGTTTATGTCGACCCCATGGTAAACGACTGCCTGAGAGTTCTAAGTTATGAGACCAAGTGGACCCCTTCTGCAAGTGTGGCATATTGCTACCCGAGTCACCCTGAGTAGTAGAACTGATAGCAACATTTTCAGAACGCGAAGTTGAAATAGTATTAGTGGTGACACATGATGCAGCAGTACCAGAACATTCTGGTTTTTCCAGAACACGATCCATAATGTAATTGTGCATACGAGTTACACCCTCTAAGGTCCCTTGAATCAGACAAACTCTTTCTTCAGTCCCTAAAAGTTGAATGTTAAAATATATTCTACGGCAAGCACAAATAATACTACTCAACTTAGCATAAATTCAAACAAATATTCATCTCTTTATATTCAATCATCAAGACCAAATACGTTCCGTATCATGGACTGTCTGACTAGCTAGTCGTAAAAAAAACAGTGAGCTATTCCAACCATTTAATTCAGTAAGCCAAACCGTTAGTCGCTTATGTGTGCCCATCTGAGACTCTAGAACAAGGATACTGTAAGAATTTTTCGCTAGAGATCACTGAAACAGTATGAATCGTTTCATCGTTTACAGCACTTACTTTTCAACAATTTGAGGTTAGCATTTCCCAAGAACTATTAAGCATACTCGTCATCAGATTTTGACTTCAAGTCGAAAAACATGATTTTTGTTAGAAAAAAAATATGGATTTAAAACGTTTGCTCTAGAGGATAGTTTCTAGACTTAATAATTCTGGTTGTTGGTGGGAAACGGCAACATTATAACCAAGATTTCACAACCAATTAAAACTTACTTAGTACTGCATTGTTTAAGTAATTCAATAACTATGCAAATCCGAAGCACTGGGTTTGTACTGGATGTATAAATATAAAAATAGACTAGAATAACTCAACAGATGTTTTACTTGAAACAATTTTATCAGCCCTTGAGTCGCTATAAAACACATTCATTTACGAACGCGACCTTATTCATTATACTCATTACCAATAATTGGGTCAATCAGAAAAAGTTGACTAGGATGGTATCGTGGGTTTTTCGAGATTTAACTTATTTGAGGGACGTTTCGTCTAAGTAACTATTACACTAAAAAACTGTGGTCTAGCGAAACATATGAACCAGACCACAAACTAAGGGGGGGGGGCAGAATGCCATCACTAACATTTAAAAAACCAATTTGGTAAAGGGTGCGACAAGTCAAGTAAATAGAAGATCCTTACGGATTACGCTGTAGTGATACATGTATTACATTTAGGCAGCGAAATACTAGATTCATCCAGAAAATTATCCATACCAAGCATCTTTCTATCAACATGATTGCTTATTACAATTTCAACCCGTATAACAAGTTATTTTTAAGTCTATCGGTAACAGTACACTCGGATCTGTAGTTCATAAATCCACTATAATGTATAAAACTTGACGGCATGTTAGATGTTTCCCGATACTTCATGCAATTCTTAAAAACACTACCGAATCCATTTTAAAAATATAGTACTGGTGCATTTTCGATTGACCTGACACTGAATTGGGAAGGATTAACCTTACTTATTTACGAAAATTAAGAAAGAATTACCCTTACTTGACCCTCAGTTTAAGGAAAGTAAAGGTTGATCAACATAAGACTCTTAGGTAGCGCTGTTTATCGTTTTGCATCTACTTTACAAAAATATGGCTTACCATGTCCACCCCTTTCGACTAAACAATTTCCTCTTCATGTCCCCAAATTCATCTAAAGAACAGGACTTGTCTGAAAAGAGTACATTTTGGAGTATCAGCTTGGTGATTTCCCTACAAACAAGGAGAAACACTTCTCTTCAATAACCAGAGATGGTGCTTCATGTGTTACATATTTTACTTTTCCTTCGGGTATTTCCTTTACTTCAGGTACCTTTGTTGCATGAGCGTTGTTTCCTTTTGGGATGCTTATAAATAAACAAGTCCAGTGAGTTTTCGACAGTTTAGTTTGTCTGAGAACTTTGAATGTAGCACCCTGTTTCAACATCTCGTTTGAGTTTTTGAAGAATTACAGTACTACAACTTTTGTGATGTAAAAAAATGAGTGTTTTGCATCTTAAAGATACATGCTTCTCTCAGAAATTGTGTTGGTAGATATGGACTACGTGGTTGTGGTCAATGGTTATAGGAAGACCTTAGGTGACATAGCTCAAGATTGATCGCTGTGCTGCTAACGTATTCATTTGCGTTCACTAAATCAAGTCTTTAGAATTAATGCACACATACTCGTTTATTACACTTTCCAAAAACAATGTCCTCTATATCTAGTCATTCTTATTATCGTTGAAACTTGTTCTTTTTTGCTATTCATTTTATTTTACTGAGCTACAATGTGGCAACTGAAGATGCATATTTGTGCCAGGTTAGGAAGTAACCCGGATCTTCCAATAAAGTGTCTAAGACAAACAGAATGTGGGTAGTGAAACTAGAATACTGAAAAACTGGAGGAAATATTACTTAAGTTTAATTAAGATGACTTTTAACCAATGATTGAGTTTTCCGAACCCGTCAATAAATGAACATGGTACAATTCATAAAGTACTAACTAGGGAACGCCAGTCTGAAGAGTTGCTTACCTAAATTTTGTGGTTTATTTAGAAAATGAAAACAAACTATTGAATTCAAGTGGTTTCTGTGCCTGTATTTTACTTTGTCTGACTAAATAGGAAACAGAGGATCATTATTTACAACCAATACATGTAGCAAAGCTGGAAGTAGTTTTATTGGTCATAATAATATTTACAATAGCCAAAACCTGGACGGTAAGATACACCAAATAGGTTGTGTGCACAAAATAATATTGCAAAAGGAGATATACTTTAATCGGTCGTAGTAATGTAAAAAAATAAAGGACCCATGCGGCAAAGATGGCTTGAAGCATCAATATATGCGTAAAATGTCCGAGAGATTTGAATATGCAGAGCCCATAATGATCCGGAAACTGTACAATTCGCCTCCTACAACTACATTTACGCACCACTAATGAGCTGTATACAGCTCAGGGATTTATAAACTTATTTCACTACTATGTACACACATATCTGTACTAACTTATCATTGATGAGATGTGGAATAGTCTGTGGGCATGAAGCAAACATAATACCATAAGACAGGACTGAACTAATAAAAAAATAGTCACACAATGGTCGAACGACAACCCAGTCTCCCTATTTTGAGGAGATTATGGGGAAAGGGCACAAAAGCCTAAAAATTTCACCAGACCTGGGGAAATTCTCCAATATATCCCCGAAATAGGGAGATTGGGAGCGTTCATCGAAAAAACCGTCACAAAAACTAGAACCCTTGTCAAACTGTACCGATTAAAAAGTTGAAGAATCTCACCGGGATACAAGTCATTTACTTTCGATAATTTAATCCTTGCGCCAGTTTCCTTCTGGATCTTTGCAATGGACTCTCCTCCTTTGCCAATAATAGCGCCGACTGCTACCGACGGTACCAAGATTTTTAAGTGGATGATTTCTATTTTATTCAAAATACTACCAAAAATACACTACCTTGTCTCCGCCTATTGCATTGTGGAAGTGATTTAACATCCTTATCTGACTTTTCAGGTACTTCTCCCATACTTGTTTGTCAGGTGTGTACGACGATAGTCAAAAACAAATACCCCAGAAGCAGGAGAAATGTGGTGAAATCATGTAGAATCGGTTGCCAAACATGGGCTAATTGCACTAGAATAATAACAAACAATACAGCTGATAAGTTACAGGTAGAGCCCCAGTCGATGGAGCACCCATTCGCAGTTGATGCATTAAAACACTCACCACACTATGCTGTACGAAGAATTATTTCTATTTCATATCCCTTAAAATATTGTTATTTTACACCACTTATCGAAACAAAATTGCCAAGTCAGAGTTTTTTAACGTATAGAAAGCGAAAATATGTCCTTTTTTAGGATTGGTTGGTGTAATGGTTCCCGTCGAGCCAGAAGGTACCCTGGGTGATAAATGAGCGTGAGTGAAGAAAACTGAAGTAGTGAACAACGAGAGAAAAAGTGAGCGGGTGACTCAGTATGTAGACAGAGCTCACCTAAGTATAAAAATGGAAGCGGTCGATAGCAATTATAAACAGCATGCGACCAACTTAATTTTACAATACCAGCTTAATACTTCAAATTCTTCATGGCAAATCTATGAAAAGAAAGGCGCTACTGTGTTGTTTGTGTGAACTAATGACCTCTTTGTGCTTGTGGACTGCTTGATTTCAATCCCAAATATAATACGTTTTGGGATTTCTAGTTTGTACAATAATTCAAAGATTGCTAATTATCACAGTTACATTGGCGAAAGATAAACTGCTTGATGATTGTCGGAGCCAACTGGGACCGTTCCACTGAGTTAGAGAAAAATAGTAAACTATCTTACTGTGATTTATAACATACTTAATAATCCAAGTCATCCTAATTATGATGTAGTGTCATTGGGCCCCAACACTAGACAATACGAAAAATAGACATTCAACATTTAACGCTGGGAGATACCTAAGAATGAAGAAGGCGGGGATAATGAATTGAATTAGTCGGAGTTAATCAGATGGCATGGCTCGACCATGCAGGCGTGGTCCCTCCTGAATTTTACGTTATGTCTTTCATTCATATTAAATATATTGTTTCATCTCTAGCCTAAGACTGTTCTATATCATGTATTGGTAATTGTTACGACGCAGTGAGTTGGTGTAGATGATGATGTGACTTCCACGTAAGATCTTATAGATTAGGCAGTTACATCATAACAAATCTACAATTTTAGGATTAGGTCTATTATTAGAGCAGTGCTAATATCATAGTAGACCATAATTCTACAATGACTCCACAGAGACACAATTTTATTAATATTGATCCCAAACATTTTTCTGGATTGTAGTGTTATTTTCCCGGTGCCGATACATTAGTTTGCTGACTGTCTCTTAGAAAATATTCTTTGCTACTAAATTCACTCCTAGTTCTTAATTACACTTTCGCCAACCAGGTCACAACTATTGAAGTGAAATATTCCATGAAATAAATTACTTTTAAGGCATTCAACACTGATACTGACCATTTTAGTTTCCCTACAAACACCCCTGAGACTCTATCAAACATCAGCTCCGTATGGCTTTCAACCTTCCGTGGAATACATATACTCTAACTGATCATTATAGGAGTCACATGTCACTATACCTCTACCCACTATCCAAGTATGGTTTTTAAACGAAATTTTATCTTTCCGTTGACTTTGGAAACATTTTGATGAAAGAACCCAGTGAACCAATGTTTTCCAAATTACAGTATCCGAATATTATTCACGAACAACTTTGTCGACATTAAGAACATCTGAACATATGTGACTTGGCCGACAGAAAACACTTTAACCGCTGAATTACAAATGCTGGCATATTTAGTTGATACAAGTTAGGCGAAGGAGTCATGGAGAGTATGTGAATCTTAAGGCTACAATGTAATGTACAAAATATGCTAAACTTTTCGGCAAAATTCATGAACCTAGGTGTCCCGATAAAAACCTCTGAAAAAAATGATAAAGGTGTATCAAAATAGGAGCAGTATGAGCATCATTTAGATACCAACCACATCATGAATCACACTTCGTGATTAACAGTAATGATTGTCTGAGCCTTCTTTGGGTTTCTGCATTTCAGCTTCCAATCAACCCATGAATTATGTTTGTACGATTAACTGTTTATAGTTTGTTTCTAGACGATGACTTACAGTTTTCCCTATTCACACGGTCTTTTGACTTGTTCATGTATAAACGTTATTTTCATTTTATGGCGTCATGCGCTTCGGTATATCTGTATATAATCATATTTGTTTGAAATAAAAATATATTAGGAACTGGCTGCTGACTTTTAAACCGGAGGCTGGGAATATGGAGGAGCTAGCGGATGGTCGGAAGATAAAAACTCGGCTTCTGGCTCAGGGTCAGTAGTACTGGTCGAGCGTGTAATTGTCTAAGACACAAACACTAAACTATACATTAAGTAACAGAATAAATCAGTAGTAGGATTCTGATTGGTGAACGCGTAAGTGGTAATTGTCAGCATGGGACAGGACATAATAAGTTACGGTAAAATTTACTGACAGCTTTACATTTTACTATGTAACTGCAATGGATTTACTTTGTTGTGTGTTAAAAGTAGACTTATAAAGATGTTTGACTGAAATTATTCCCTTAACCGTCCAAGTGTTTTGTGAACGTCAACCGTAGGCTCAAAGTGTACTCTTGAAACGGAATTCTGAATGAAGATTTTAGTAACATTTCATGGTTTGATGTAACGAAATTTAGTGGTGGCCGCTTGAGCGACCCTGACGTGCACGAATTGTGCACTATATATTGGGTTCGGATGAATCAAACGTCGGGTAAATAAGGTCAAGTTCAAAAGTTCCTCTTTAATAACTTTGCATTTGCAAGACTTTTACCCTGGTAAGTTGGTTCCGCACATGTTGGTGAAAACAATTCTCCTGGAAATCAAAGTGCGGTAGCACACAGGAATTAATTACATTTTGTTGGAGATCAGTCTTTGGTAAAAATCAAACCTATGACAGTAATTTTCTACACTGAGATTTTCCATCAAGTTAAAAGACAACATCTAGGTGTTGACGGATAGATCCTATCATCAGTTTCTCAAGCAAACGTAAGATTCATTGTGAATCGATAATCATGAGTAAAACTGTCAGTTATGTACGGTTGTATCCGATACCCATTTACCCTCTGGATGTTAGTCTGTAGAGTTATGGTTTAGTTCGGTATTAGTACATTTATCTTCACTGCTTGAATAGTAGACCTAATTCCAACACCGATTATTTTTCTCAATGTAACTACCAAATGTACAAGATCTTACATAGAAGTCAAACCACTGTCTAAACTGACTCGTCATACGTGAAAATCACCAAAATGACGTTGAGCGCTGCTACAGGACATGTTTGGACTTGAGATAGAATAATATACTCAACATAAAAAGGAACAAGCTGAACAATGACCATGCCTTAATGGCCGACTAGTGCTATTTCGATCGCAGTTTAGTAAGCGTTGTTTGTGTTTTAAACTATCCAAATGTGTTTACGTGTGCTGTGTTTATACAGTTATTTAACGAAAGTGATTAGAACATTCGTTTCCCATCGTGTTGTATTTCGTTCACTTATAACTTCTAAGCTTTTGTTACCAAAAGTAGTTTGTTTATTACTTAAAAGCGGCGCTGGTTATTATTAGTAGGTGTCATGCTACCATTCTTAGTAACATTAGTTCAAAGACTTAACTTTGCTAGTATTGGCATGATTATTTTTTCAGTTTATTCCCACCTTTTATATATTAAAAAGGAAGTTTGGCAAACAAAGAAAGCACTCATGTAGTTAGTTGCTCTCAATGAATCGGGATGTTCGTTTCATTCAATTACATGAGACTCATTAATTTTAGTAAATATTGTGTTCTGATTCCCAGAATTCAACCTATAACAAATTATAACAATTTAGAAATATATCGCAGGACACCATTCCCATTATATACATCGGTGAGTATATGTCACTACATGGAGCAACAGTTTACTACTTATCAGTCTTAGTTGTGGTCTCAATTTGACATGCTGGTGTCATATCGTGAAAACCAGTGGTTAAGTGGACGGATTCAAGTATTCTACGAGTGAATAACATCACCTGGTGGCTACCGCTCTAAACGACTCAAGTCAGGTAGTTTTGCTATTGGTTTAATTTGGACGACGATAAACGGGACTTACAAACAGTCCGGTTGCTATATTGTTGTAAATAGAATGTTGTTGTTAGTTGGGTATCTAGCAAAGTCAATTGCAGTCGCATACGTTATGGTATCGTTTTGTGATTTGCGTTATGAAATCAGGTTTTCCGGGTAAAAACATTACACGATATCAAAGACCACGATGTTTCATGAAAAATCACCAGTTGAGTTGTGGTCTTCGTTGATTATCACCCGTCGACATATTTCACAGATTTTCATCTAGATACCGACCCCTCTAACCGTTTTTTTCTTTTTTACATGAATTACTGTCGACTATGATTCTTTTCTCAAGTTTCATTCTTTTCTATTTGCATTTCATTCCAATAGTCTAATCACAAGAAGTAAAAGTCGTCCCAGTTCGTTAGACTGTATACAGTTTACTCATTTATGTACCAGGAATAATAGACCCATTCCGCCAAGGACTTTCGAAAAGTACGTTTGAACTGGAAATATGAAAAGTAAGAAGGTTACATAGTGATGACCATACCAGCATGACAGAAAAATACCAGACTGAACAACTTACCCGCGTCCACTAATTCTGACCTACATTACTTGATGAATCATGAATGTAAATATTCTCGGTTACCTCATATTTGGCTTCAAGGATCATATGATTGAGAACTAATACTGAAGTTAACAAAAACACGAGTTGAGACAACGGAATGAATTTGAACACTAGATCACAGAATGTCTCGCTAAAACATGACAACCATACAGTTAATTGTCAATTTGCAAAATATCACTCAATTGTCTCAAACTTGACAGTTCCTTTCGCAAATATCAGTTCATTGTCTCGGATTTCACTGTTCATGCATTTTAATCCAAATTGCTCTCCGTTCCCGTTCTTTAGCTCTCGATCTTCCACTGAAATACATTTCATATCTGGCCATAATTATACTACTATAAATTTTCTAGCAATTCGTATTGCCGACTTGTGCAACTTTTGCTCCCAAGGATTTATTATTTCGATTATAACGGTTGTTACAACTGCATTTAAGTTATGCATTCATAACTTTAAC